GAGAGAGGATTCCCAAAGATAGAGTGGGGAGCGGAATAGGCAGACTGACTGAAATAGACTGCTGAGGCGAGCAGCGGGCGAGGCAGGAGAGGTCTGCCATGTCATGTAGGTTCCCTGGCTGGGGATCAAACTCATGCTGCAGTGGCTGTGGATCGCTTCATAGGTTGTGTCTTAACCCCTTGCGCCACCAGGGAGACCCAGCTTTCTGAAATTTCTGAAATTTCTAAACACTACCTCACTGGCTTCTGAGAACCTATAGAAGAATTTCTTATTGAACCTGTTTGTGCTACTCTTCCCTGTGCTGTACAGGATATAGATTCAGGAACATAGGCTGTGCCCTCTATGTTTAACAAAACCTTTTCCACAGCTACCTGAAAGGAACAGTTCAGGTACACTCCTCTTTTGGTAAAAATTCCAATGGATAATTCATGGCAGTTGAAGATTTTCTCTTTGCATGTGAAACATTTCAGTCTCCTTGTTACACGGAAATGAAACTCCAGATATGTTTCTCATCTTTCCTTTAAAAAGTATTTTCCACAAGAGAAGAGAAAACACTAACTTGAAACTCCACTCCCAAAGTCTGAGCCCTAAAACACTTGGCCATGTTGGTTTTGAACCCACAATGTCCCTTCCTTCTCTGGGTCACACCCACCCCTTCGGAATGTGATCAGTGCGCAAGGACATGCCCAGGTGCACAACTGCTAGTGCGGGTCACGTGGTTTGCCCTGAACCTTGTCATTTCTGCCCTTAGTAAACTCCAGGGGCAAAACTACTTCTACTTTTGATTTAACCATCTCCTAATGTCTATCTATGATCATGATGTCCACCCTGAACTCCAGAGGGAACATACACTTGCATTTTAGCCATCACATTAGAACACAATATTCTAAATTAATATACACACACACATACTGAAGTTCTATAAAAGTGTCATCTGAGCCCAATTTCTAAAAATAATAACACATTTCTATCTCCCTCAGCTTAGTTAAAATCTGTGACTGTTATTTCACTATAGAATATGTGTATATTGTACTTTTTTATTTGTCAAGAGTTATAAGCTGTAGAAAATAGGCTTGTTTTGATTAATATTGTTAAAACAAAAGCTACAAAATATGCCTGCTAACACCTCCTAGTAAACATGTTGAGAGAACAGAAGACTATATGAGTAAATGCCTGAAAGAAAATACTCCATGAAATACTCCACGAGGAGAGGAGGGAAACTAAGATGCCAGTAAAGTCACAGACCAAGATGAAGTGCCAATGTAGGACACAGGGACTGCATATTGGTGAAGTCTAAGAAGATTTATGGCTATTTATAAAAAGTGGAGAGTAGATGTGGGGGGGATGTTGGCACCCGGAGTAAGGAACGTGGTGAGACGTACACACTAACTCTCCAAGGGCTGACCCGGGAGGGCCAGGGGCAATAATGGTTCAGGTGGGCTCATTGGGGGGCTCTGCTCTCCCAGGCCTTCCTCACTAGAATGAGCTCACTGACCTGACAGGGTCTGATCTGGGGGTCCTTCCCCAGCCCATGGCTGCTCCTTGCTGCATTCTGATCATCAGCTCAGGCTTCATAACTCAACGACCTATTAATGAGAAATACATGCTTTATGTCATAGCCCTGGAAGAAACACCAGAGCTTTCACTTTTGTGTAATAAACTATTATTCAATTGAGAAGGGGACAGTCATATCTCGTTGATCTCAAATCTCAAATCTAAATAGTGTTTCATTACATTCATAGCTGTTCATGTGTCAGTGAAAAACCAATGATTTCACTAGGTTTTAATGGGGAGTTTTTCTCACCAGGGACACCAGGCTCCTGTAGGTCTCCAGCATCACGTCCCAGTAGAGGGTCCTCTGAGCGTCGTCCAGGTCCTGCCACTCCTCTCGGGTGAAGCTCACGGCCACAGCCTCAAAGGTCACCATCCCCTGTAACGGCACCATCTCCTCACTCAAGGTAGCATCCAAAGTCTGAACACTTAGAGGCCTGGGAATTCATTCTTTTCTACCTGTTTTCTCTTATATTAGACACATCACGCTCTGCACTGTACACGGGGAGACGGATCACCAGAAACACCCTACCTGTGTGTTAAGTCATTAGTCCACAAAAATAACGTTATACAGTTTGACTTACAAATGTGGAAATGAATTCACTCTTAAGAACAAGAGCATGAATAAAATTTTAGTTGTCAAGGGCCTGATAAATAAACCCAACAAATATCTGGAAAGATGTGTGCGAGGATTTATAGAAAACAGTGGTGGGTGATCTAGCAAGAACCCCAGCATATAGTGAACTGCATCTGCACCTCCTTGCGTTGCACAGCTGAGCTCCTCACAGGGTCACTGTGCTCCTGAGGATGAGGCTGCAGCAGAATTTAGATGCCATGACACACAAGACAGGTTCATTAAAATGCAACTGACAGGAACCCTATGTCCCTGTGTGGTTGCTATGTGGAGAGTGATTCTGGGTGGTGAGGAGAGACAAACACATTAAAGCTGTTCTTCCTTTAGAAATATGATCTAATTGTAATGATAAGCCACCTTAGTGATCACCGTGTCTCGAATTACTTATACATGAACAGTGTGCTCTGCTCCCCACTCTGGCTCTGGTGAATTCTCTCACCCTCCCGCGCTTCTGACTGTACCCAGTGCTTGTATAATAAATAAATAAATCTTAAAAAAAAATGAACAGTATGCATAAACGCAGCAGGCTCTCTCATCCTGCTAGGGACGATTCTTATGTCCACCCCAGAGGGAGCAATTCCTAAACCACAGCATACAAACAACAAAAGGAAACAGAGAGATGACACACTGTTACAGGCGAGAGAAAAGGATCCTTGGGGGAGGGAGTTATAAAGAATAAACATATTTCCTCTATGATAAAGGAGATACATTTGGTGGACCAGTAGTTTTTCAGTAAGTGCTTTTCAGTAGCTAGAGCCTAAAGATGCCCTCACAGCACACACCAGGTGCATGAAAATTACAGTCCTGTGGGAGCGAGTATATTCAGCTAAAACAGACATTTCTACCAGGAGGTAACACAAATGGCTGGTAAGTCATAAAAAGCAAATCTAAAGCACCAAAAGAGTCACACGAGAAAGGAACAGACCTGGCAGGCTGTGGGCATGGGAATGGAATGCCTGCATTACCAGGCAGCAGGAAGAAAAGTGAGGTGGGTCCTGAGGAGACCAAACCCAGAATTAAAATAGGACCTGACCATGGCCTGGCTCAGGAACTGAGGTGGGAACTGGAGGTGGAGTCCGTAGCTGAAGCCCAAGGCGCCCCAGGCGGCCAGGAAGCCAATGCATGAAGGAACACTAGCATTGGTGAGGGAACAGCATGAAGCTACAAGGGACACAAATCTTGACAAATGTTGCGAGTGGGCAGGACCCTGCCGACCCGGTGCCAGGAAGCAAGGCCACCACAGAGACAAGAGCAGAGCAAATGTTTCTAGACCAGGAGCTGTTTAGAGGAGGCAAGTTCACAGAGGCAGAAGGTCGCATGGAGTCGCCAGGGCCGTGTGACACAGGAATGTATCATCACAGGGTTGCCTCCCTGGGGCACAGGCTCCCTTACAGCTACCCCGATGCCAAGGGAAAGGAACACCCTCCAGACCCCACAGCCCCCTAAAGCTCGGCCCCTGGAAAAGGTCGCAAATGACTGCGGGGGGAGCTACCCGGTGCAGGGGGGCCCCGACTCTCGGCCGCATCAGTCCCTCCAGCAAACCCCACGAGTGAGGCTGCCTCCCATCAAGACGAGGCCACGACGGCGAGCGCCGTTTCCTCCTGGCGTCGGGGCTCTCGGCTGGCACCGCGCCCGGGTTGCGGATGCCAGAGCTGGGGTCACACGGGCTGGTCCCCGCCCAGGTGCCTCCCGCAGGGGGGGGGGCCCAGAGCCGCGACCTGCACCTCGCGGCCCACGGCGCCACGTCCTGCGGAGGCGGGCACCGACCGCGCAGCCAGCGCCGCCCGCGCCCCCGCGGCCCCCACAGCCTCACCACCTCCCTGACCCGCGCCGGAGCCGACCACACCCCTGCACGCAGGCCCCCCCCCCGACGCCCGCGGGGCCTTCTGCCCGCTCCCCAGCGGCGTCCCGAGCGCCGGAACCCGCCGCCCGACACCGCTACGCCCGCACTCAGGCGACCCAGCTTCCCCCCGACTCCCGCTCCAGTTCTCAGCGCCCCGGAACTGCTCCCTCCCAGCGCCCCACAAGCACCTCAGGGCGCCGACGATTCCGAGTCGGAGCCGCGGAGACGCGAGGCGGCGCCGGCTGATGGCGCAGCTGGAGGGGACGGGCCGCGCGTGCGCACAGGAACCCGGAAGACGCCGTCAGGCCTCGCTCGGGGCCGGCGCCGGGTCGCGGAAGGACGCTTTATTCCCGGTGCTGGTGGCCACCTCCAGGAATTTGAACACAAAACCTCCTGCCCGGCCAGACAGGCAGAGGCATGGTGGGAGGAAAAAAAAAATCTCTTCCCCGGGCAGCACGGAAGAGGTTTTTTTTAGCAAAGGAGTCAGGTTTCTCAGATGTGGGGGTCTGGGGGAGGATGAGGAGGACGCCCAGGGCTGATGTTCCCTTAGGGATCTCCTAGAGGGTAACTGGAAGTCCAGGCCCAGGAGCAGTTGCAGCCCAAGAGGCAGAAGCGGTAAGGAGTCCCTGCCTACAGGCCCAAGGAAAGGCAGCTGGGGAGTCTGTGCACACCCCCACCCCACCCTCTGTCTCTGGTCTCATCTCACCTTATTACCTCACACTTTTCCTGTCAACCTACTCAGCTCCAGGGACGAGCTGGGAATGTCCAGGTCACTGCCAAAGTCCACAGTCTGCCAGAGGCAAGGGGAGGTAGGAAAACCTGTGAGTTCTGGAATCAGAGAGGCTGGGGGGTAACGGAGTCCTCTCCTGGAAGGAGTTGGGGCTGGGATGGGGGGGTGGGGTAGGGGACAAGGAGGCTTCCTGAAGTGCTCACAGGACATTCTTCAGGAAAGTGTATTTCCACAGAGGGCACTGCCAAGGCCAAGGCAGCTGCCTGGTTTGGGAGTGGGCCAGGACTAGGCCCTGAGGGCTGGGTAGGGTGAGGTATGGACACTGGTGCCTCAGGACAGTGCCAGGCCCCTGAGTCGGGAAAGACCGAGCTGGCCACCGAGCAAGCCGCGGTCCTCCTCAAGGTAAGGAGAGGGCTCACAGGCCCTGGGGCTCATTCCATGGGTTTGGGTAATAAGGATATTTTAACACATGTGACACACATGAGTCAACCCTGTGGGGGTGCAGTGGTTGGAAGCAAGACCTGCAGCACCTGCAAGGGGATGTACTACCGTCTGCGGTGTGTACCTGGACTCAGCTCAGCAGCCGCTTCCCTAACCTCAGCTTCTCGTCTGCTCTTTTTTTTTTTTTATTTTATTTTATTTTTTTTTTTATTTTTTTTTTTTTAAAATTTTATTTATTTATTATTCATGCAAGCACTGGGTACAGTCAGAAGCACTGGAAGGTGAACGAATTCACCAGAGCCAGAGCGGGGAGCAGAGCAGACAGAAGGACCGAAGTACACTGCTGAGGGGAGCAGCGGGTGGCAGGAGAGGTCTGCGCACCATGTGGGACCCTCCTCCTGTGGCCGGGGAGCAGCCGGGGATTGAACTGGCGCTGCAGAGACCGCGGCAGCTTCGCAACCCAGCACTCAACCGCTGCGCCACCGGGGAGGCCCTTTTTTTTTTTTTTTTTTTTTTAAAGATTTATTTATTTATACAAGAACTGGGTACAGACAGAGGCACATGAGGATGAGAGAATTCACCAGAGATAGAGTGGGGAGCAGAACAGGCAGACAGAACAAAACACGCTGCTGAGGTGAGCAGCAGGGAGACAGGAGAAGTCTGCTGCGCCATGTGGATTTCTCCCTGGCCAGCCGGAAATCAAACCTGCGCTGCAGAGGCTGCGGACAGCTTCACAGCACGGCACTCAACCCGCTGCACCACCAGGGAGGCCCTGGTCTGCTCTTCTGACCCAACACACTGGTCTGGGACCCCAGGCAGAAGGCTGCAGGCCCAAGACCCGCTCCTGAGAGGCCCAGGGGTTCTAAGAACCCACGTTGTGATTTATCTCAGTTACTGCAGCCTAACCTCCAAGAAGCCACAGAAATTATAACAAGAACCAAGGTGCTGGATCGTCACCAGTCAATTCCACGTCCATAGTCCCCACTGACTAGTGGACAGAAAGGACTGGCACTAGAGGCCGTGTGCAGACTGTACTCTCATGGACCTAGCACGTAACTGAGCCCCTTGTTCCAGGAACACATCAGAAGCCCTCAGTGCTGGGAGTCCATCTCCTAGGATGATTGTGAGCCTCCAAGGCAAGTCAAACCCACTAAGATGCCAAGGGGGACGATGGGGGTCTAGTCTGTGCCCTGGGTGACAGTGCAGTGAATTCCATCCAGGGTGCCTTCTGCTGAAAGGCTCCCACACCCAGGTAGGATGGTGACACGGTGGGGTGGAGCGGACCCCCCAGACTCCCCGAGAGCAGTGTTCCATGGAAGAACACGACAGTGGGACACTGGCCAGGCGAAACCTCAGGCAGGACACATGGAGATTCTTGATGAGGAGTCACAGGCCTAAGCTCAGACAGACATAGACATCCTAGATTTTTTTTTTTTTTGTGGGACCCGCGCCGGTGGCCAGGGATCGAACTGGCACTGCAGAGGCTGCGGGCAGCCTCGCAACCCAGCGCTCAACCGCTGTGCCACGAGGGGAGGCCCAACATCCTAGATTTTTGAGACAACAGCTCAATATGGGATCTTCTGGGACTTATTGGAGGCTGGCGTGCGTGTGGAAGGACTGTGGACTCTGTGACCAGAGAGACGGCGTCATTCCGCATCTTCCAATCACACAGATACAGCCCGTCCCATGTATACTTTAATGTACCACTGCAAGATTTCCAGGAAGAGAAGGTTCTATTTCTCCACTGCTTAGGATGGCAAAATGTCCTCCTGGATGCAAAATAAGCCCACTAGAGAATGACTCAACGTAAGTAATTAAACATTTTTTTCTTTGAAATAGTTAACATTTCCTTCTGGAAATCTTCAGCCACATCAATCGGAATTCCAAAGTGATTTAAAAAGTTGGAAGTTGTGAACAGTGGGACACGTTAAAGACATTTCTAAGACTGGACTCTACATTCAGCATTCCCTCTCCTGCCTCTGCCAGAACAGGCATCCTGCCTTTGATTTGGTTTCTTCCTTAATTTTTTGATTTTAACAATTAAGTTGAATGTGAAAGATATTAATACACATTCTTTCCTCAGGGAATCTAATATACAAGATTGGCAACTGCTCATGGAAAATCACACATAGAGTAACCCACCTATAATTCACTCCCCTCAATGCACTGCCCGTGTAGTTCACACAGGGAAGGGCTCAGGAGAAGACATTTCTCACACATGTCTTTGTGTGGTGTGCACTGGGGGAGACTTGAGCTAATCAAAACCTACAAACAAGTCAAGGTTCCTATTTCACCCTGTGGATTTCAGGACACAACTGGGAATCATTTGCATTTCAGGAGAATAGGGCATAAAAAAACTGGAACAAAGATTGTTTGTGACCTTCCTTGAATGTGATGTTCAATATATGTGTTCACATGACCTGTAGTGAAATTACAGGACACCGTGCAAGATAAAGGGTTAGATCTACACAGCTGTAGTATATAAAAAATAGGGACTTCTATAATGTATTGTTAGTATCTCCCAAATAACGTTACACCCTGTGTAAGATCTCTGTTGTGCAGTAAGCAATGACTTCCACGAGAAATATTTTCCCTATTCTTTACTTTCATACAGCTAGTTTCTTTTTTAAAGAAAAAAGAAAGAGCATTACTCAAATACTCAACTTTTCTACCCTAGGCCACCACTGCTACCACAATGACAATTGCATACCAGTCGCTGGGGAATCATCCAGTTTCTATCCCGGGTGACCTCTGAAGGTCAGTGAGATATCACTTGTGCTTGAAAGATTTCCTACAATCCTTATTTTCATGGGGTTTCTCTCCTGTGTGAGTTCGCTGGTGTGCAGTGAGGTTTGACTTCTGGTAGAAAGATTTCTTACACTCTTCACATTCATAGGGTTTCACTCCTGTGTGAATTCTTCGATGTCGAGAGAGGTGTGACTTCTGGGAGAAAGACTTCGAGCATGTTTCACATGCATAGGGTTTTTCACCTGTGTGAGTTGCCTTATGTTGAGAGAGGTGTGTTTTCTGGGAGAAAGATTTTCTACATTCTTTACATTGGTAGGGTCTCTCTCCGGTGTGACTTCTCTGATGAAGAGAGAAATTTGATAGCCAGCAGAAAGATTTCCCACATTCTTTACATTCATAGGGTTTCTCTCCTGTATGAATTCTCTGATGATTGGTGAGAGAACACTTATTTCCAAAAGACTTCTTACATTGTTCACATTCATAGGGTTTTTCTCCTGTGTGAATTCTTTGCTGTTGAGATGTCTCTCCAGTGTGTATGCTGTGATGATTAGTCAGTGCTGATTTCTGGTAGAAAGATTTCCCACATTCCTTACATTTATAGGATTTTTCTCCTCTGTGAATTTCCTGATGCTTAATCAGACAAACCTTAGTTCTAAAAGATTCCCTACATTGTTCACATTCATAGGGTTTTTCTCCTGTGTGAATTCTTTGATGTCGAGAGAGGTGTGACTTCTGGGAGAAAGACTTCCTGCACGTTTCACATACATAGGGTTTCTCGCCTGTGTGAATTCTCTGATGTGTAGTGAGTGATGATTTCTTGGAGAAAGCTTTTCCACATTCCGTACATTCATAGGGTTTCTCTCCTGTGAGAGTTCTTTCATGTCTACTGAGTACTGATTTCTTACAGGTTTTCAAACACTCAGAAGATTTTGCCCCTATTTCTATGCTCTGATGTTTAGTGAGGACAGATATTTTGCAGGGACTTTTTCTACATATAGTATCTTCAAACTTTTTCTCTACCCCAGTCCTCTGATTCTGAGTAATGTGCAATTCCCTACTGAAAATATCCCCATTTTGATTAAATATACTGTGTTCACCGTCAACATCACGATCAGGAAGTAATTGTGTTGGTTTTTCAATGATTTCACACCCTTTGTCACATCGGTATTTGGACTCTCCAGTGTGAGTTGTCTCAGTGACAGTAAAAGCAAGGTTCTTAAAGGATTTCCTATATTCATTATTTTTATGGGGAGCTCCTCCCAAAACAGCTGTGTTACGTGCAAAGACTGCTGACCCCTTGTTCAAGGCTTTCTCTTGCCCACAGAGTTCAGGAGGCTGCTGAAATGTTTGAATCATCTGTTGACCATTAGGATGATCAGGACAGTGGGCCAGTTGCCCACAGAGGTGACAGTCCCCTGCTGTGTCTCCATCAGGCTCCTCACCAGGTTCACCAAGGGGAAATACAATCTCACACATACCATTGCTGTCCTCAGGCATCCTTCCTGAATAATTTCGATGATTTCTTTCCAAAGAATGGGTTGAGCTTAAACTCAATGGTTTTCTCCAGTTGATTCTTTCGCTTGTTGCTGTTTTGTGGCTGGTAAAAACAAAGTTACACCAATGTTTGCCCTGAATGTCCTGGGGAGTCACAAGGGGGTGCGGCCTCATCTGGGCTCCTACAATGAGAGGAAGATAAGCACGCCTTGAACAACACTGACGCATTTCTTGTGGTAGTTACTGCAGAAGTGAAGAACTTAATTCAGATAACAGAATTCCAACAGTTGAAGAGAAATCAATAATCACCATTGGCTTATGCTACACATTAAAGTTTTATGCTATACATGAAGGCACATTTACCCACAGGTATTATTAAAGTATATTATAATGTCAAGCAAGTGTACCCAAAAGACAAAAGCAAAAACAAAATTCTTCATACACTTGGTCAGTGGAGTCACCTCCTCTGTAACTGTAGATCTCTAGTAAGAGGTTTTCACCAACCAGTGGTTAACCCAGTTCTACTCCTCGGCATCCTTCCCATAGTTGTTTCCTGAGCTGGTTTCCCTGTGATCCAGCTGTTAGGGTGGCGAGATTTACCTGTACCAGCTACTTACTAGGGTTGTTGGAGGATCAAGTGTCTGCACTTAAGTAGGAATAAACCTCAGGGATACTTTTGCTGTATATTTGTTTGATGTTTGCTTCTCCCTAGGGATGGCCTAAATGTAGTGGGGTTTTCCCCAAAGACAGAAGCTTCTCCACAGTAGACAAAGACAGCTCTCTAGAATTTGTAAACCCTACCTCACTGGCTTCTCCGAACCTACTGTGATCAATTTTTCCTTTGTACATCCCTTTCCTGTGGTGTAAAGATGGACATTCTGCAACACAGGCTGGGAAAAACAACTTATTCCAGATCTCCGTTACAGCCAAAGTCCTGGTGCACTCACTCCACTTCTTGGAAAAAATATTCAAGTTGAGAATTCACAGCATTTGAAGATTTTCTCTTTGCATGTTAGACATGCATCAGTCTCCTAATTACACTGAAACCAAAGTCTAGACATGTTTCTCACCTAAGCTTTAAAAAGAGATTTCCACAAGAGAGAGTGAAAATACTAACTTGAAACTCCACTCCCAAAGTCTGAGCCCTAAAACACTTGGCCATGTGGGTTTTGGACCCACAATGTCCCTTCCTTTCCTGTGTCACACCCACCCCTTCGCAGGGTGATCAGTGTGCAAGGACACACCCAGGTGCACAACTGCTAGTGAGGGTCATGTGGTTTGCCCTGAACCTTGTCATTTCTGTCCTTAGTAACTCCAGGGGCAACTGCCTCTATATTTCTACTTTTGATTTAACCATCTCCTAACGTCCAACTATGGTCGTGATGTCTACCCTGCACTCCAGAGGGGACATACACTTGTCTACGAAATGTCACATTGAAAATTGCCATCTCTAAATAAAAGTCTTCAGTGTAAATGCTGAAGCTGTGTAAAAATGCCATCTGAGCCCATTCTGAAAATAATGTCCCATCATTATCTCTGTCAGCTTAGTTAAAAACTTTATGACTCTTATTTCACGAGTTAATATGTGTAATTCATATTTTTCTATTAGTCAAGAGTATTTCAGGTGCAGAAAATAGAATTTAAAGTGAATATTGTTGTTTGCCCAACAATTGCAAAATACTCCTGCCTCTAAAACCTCCCAGTGAAAATGCTGCAAGTATAAACAACTATGTGAGTAAATGCCTGAAAGAAAAACCCCCATGAAAAAGGAGAGAAGGGAAACTAAGGTGTCAGGAAAGGTCAGACCAAAATGAAGTGCCAACGTAGGACACGGGGACTGAATATTGGTGGTCTAAGAAGATTTATGGCTATTTATAAAAAGTGGAGAGTGGATGTGGGGGAGCGATTTTTGCACCCAGAGTAAGGAACGTGCATACTAACTCTCCAAGGGGCATACCTGGGAGGGCCAGGGACGATAAGGGCTCAGGCAGGCTCTCCCAGGTCTTCCTCCCTAGAATGAGCCCACTGACCTGACAGGGTCCGATCTGGGGGTCCTTCCCCAGTCCATGGCTCTGCTCCTTGCTGCATTCTGATCATCAGCTCAGGCTTCATAACACAATGCCCTGCTGATGAGAAATACATGCTTTATGTCACAGTCCTGGAAGAACTACCAGCGCTTTCACTTTTGTGTAATGAAGGGACAATTTAAGCATTTATTAGAGAAGGGGACACTCATATCTCATTGTTCTGAAATCTCAAATCTAAATTCTGTTTCATTACATTCACAGCTGTTCATGTGTCAGTGAAGAAAACTGATTTCATTAGACTGTTACTGGACACCTTCACTCACCCAGGAACACCAGGCTCCCGTAGGTCTCCAGCATCACGTCCCTGTAGAGGGTCCTCTGAGCGTCGTCCAGGTCCTGCCACTCCTCCCAGGTGATGTTCACAGTCACGTCCTCAAAGGTCACCATCCCCTGTAATGGCACCATCTCCTCACTCAAGGTAACATTGTTTTGTCTGAACACCTAGAGGCCTGGGAACTCATTCTTTTGTACCTGTTTTCTCTTATATTGGACACATCACGCTCTGCACTCTCCATGGGGAGACAGATCACCAGAAACCCCCTACCTGTGTGTTAAGTCATTAGTCCATAAAAATAATGTCACACGGTTTGACTTACAAATGTGGAAATGAACTTCACTCTAAGAACAAAAGCATGAATAAAATTTTGGTCGTCAAGGGGCCTGATAAATAAGCCCCAACAAATATCTGGAAAAATGAGTGTGAGGATTTATGGAAACAGTGGAGAGTGATCTAGTGAGAACCCCCAGCACTAGTGACCTGCATTTGCACCTCCCTGCGTTGCACAGCTGAGCTCACTTGGGGCCACTGTGCTCCTGAGGATTCTGCAGCAGAATTTAGATGCGATGACATACAAGATAGGTTCATGAACATGCAACTGACAAGAACGCTATGTAAGGAATGATTCTGGGCCATGAGGAGAGATAAACACATTAAAGCTGTTCTTCATTTGGAAATATGAACTAATTGTAACAATAATCCATCTTAGTGATCACCTCATTTCGAATTACTTATATGTGAACAGTATGCATGCACTCAGCCCGCTTTCTGAATCCTGCTATGGGAAATACATTTATGTCCGCCGTAGAGGTAGCAAGATCCATTTCCTAAGCCATAGGGTGTAAACAATGAAAGGAAATAAAAGAGGGAGCTACATGACTACATTTGGCCCAGCTCAGTGAACTCCCAGGATCTGAGGCCAGAGCTGGAGGAGGCCACCCAGTGCTTGAAGAAAAATGAGCATGTTGTGCCAGAACAAACTGAAGCTACAAGAGACACAAATCTTGACAAAAGTCATGAGGCGGCAGGACCCTGCAGCTGGTGCCAGGAAGCAAGGCCTCCACAGAGACAAGAGCAGATCGAGTGTTTCTAGACCAGGAGCTGTTTAGAGGAGACAAGTTCACAGAGGCAGAAGGTCACACAGAGTCACCAGGGATGTGTGACACAGGGAGGAATGTGTCATCACAGGGCAGCCTCCCTGGGGCACATGAGACATTTCGGGGAAGCAGGCGCTGGGGGCAGCCAGCACCAAGAATACCCTGAGGCAAGCTCTGCTCCCTGTGTCCCTCCCCAGTGCTTCTCCTCCTCATCCTGGGAGGGCTCCCAATGCTTCCTCCCCTGGTTTCCAGGCGTCCCCTCTGCCAGAGGCTCTGGATGGCTGGAGAGCGATGGAGCCTCAGCACTGAGCAACACTCCCTCAGCTCTGCCTGAGTGACGACTGGAAATGGAACAGAAGAGGTTGCGTTTGGTTGTGAGCACCACGTAGCCAGCAGAGAACGTCAGAGGCCTAACAAGGAAAGCGCAACATGTAGGAGAGGAGAGGAATCCTGAAGAGAGGTGGAGCCAGCAAAAATCCAGGGCACACCATAGGCCAGGGAAGGAGGAGGATGGGGTCTGTTGAGCCTCAGGTGCCCTCTGCACAGCTACAGAGAAGCAGGCAACAGGGAGGGGACCTGAGCTGGAAAGCTGGGAGGAAGCCAAAAGCAGGTGGAATATGTGACAGATCAGACCAGAACAGCAGAGTGTCAGCATGTCCAGACCAAACACTGGGCTGTACCAAGTCATGAGCAGAAGACACAGAAATCAGGGAAGCAGCTAAGATGTTGTCAGAGAACCTAAGAGAGAAAGTGACAGAGAAAAACTCCTAGGAGGTCATGGATAATAGTTAAAAAATGCCAGAAGATTCCAGGCAGGCAAAGCCTAGACAACAGTCTGTGGATGAAGATTACAGTATTAGTGAGCTTGATAAATGAATCTAGGCCTCCCTGGTGGGGCAGGGGTTAAGTGTCAGCACTATGAAGTGATCTCCAGCCAGGGAGCAGACCCACATGGCGCAGCAGACCTCTCCTGTCTCCCCACTGCTCCCCTCACTGTCTTTCAGTAGATCTTCCTGTTCTGCTCCCCACTCTACGTCTGATGAATCCTCAACCCCCACAACCTCTGGCTTGCACCACAGTTCTTGTATGCATAAATCTTTAAAAAAAAAAGAAATGAATCTAGATACATGGAGCAGTGAAAGAGAAAACAGCTGTAGAAACATCTGTCAAAAAGACAACACTGGACCATCTGCTGAGCAAGCTAAACACACAGAGGAGTAGAGTCTCCGGAGAGTCACTGCAGGCCCTGCAGTCACCTCGGTCCTCAGACATTGCCTGTGGCCTCAAGCAGGGCCTTCCAAGTGTCGTCTGCACCACACAGTTTAGCCCCCACAGACAAACTTCATCAGGTGTGCTTTCTGGGGCAAACCATAATCACTGCTACAGGCAGGAAGTGTTTTGTTCCACATGGGTAACAGGACATGGTCACCATCATCATCTCTGTAGCCTGCATACTCTGGTACATCTGTGCCCGCAAGTGTCCGTGTCCCAGGAAAATGCAGGCTGCTACGTTGTAAGGGTCCATTCTGATCAGGGAACCATGTGCTTCTCTCTTGGTCATGGTTTCAGGGCGACCAGACACAACATGCCCTAAGCCTGGGGGCCCTAAGGTTGGATGACCTGCCTGCATCCACTGGTCTCCTTCCTCCTGCGTATATTGATTTCATGAAGTGCACGTTTTCCTTTTTCTTTTGCTCATTTCAGCTTACGAGCCCTCGATAAAGCTCAATATGAAACGAGCTGAGAAAAATAAGTGACTCACCAGAGATTCATTCATTTTGTGATCTTCTTGGGAACACGTGGAGAACACTGGAAGCAGAGCTGGGAGAAAAGAATGGAGTCTTAAGCAGACTCGTGTTCCTGATAGTCTCCCACCAAAACGCTGTACACTCTTGCTGAGGCTAACACCAACACTTGAGGCTAACAATTTAAAATTTAAAGATATTTAGTATAACACACTATGTTTCTCGCTTCATTTTATAGAAAAATTGCATCATATGTGTATTTATCATCAGGTCTTTAAATCTTCGGCCAGGGAGCTGACCCACAGGGTGCAGCAGACCTCTCCTGTCTCCCTGCTGCTCCCCTCAGCAGTGTATTTCAGTAGATCTACCTGTTCTGCTCCCCACTCTGTCTCTGGTGAATCCTCTCACCCCCTGCACCTCTGGCCTGCACCCTGGCTCTTGTAAGCATAAATAAATAAATCTTAAAAAAAATTCCCATCTGATCTTCATCTATGGGCATTTGCAGTCTTCATCACTCAGACAATTATTGTTTTATTCTGATACTTGTTACTAGTGTGTTTCATCTTTAAAAAAATTCATGGGAAGGACCTGAATGGGAACACAAAATTATAGGTCTCCATAATTTGAAGATCATAAAATTGAACCAGATTTAAAAAAAAGATTTATTTCTCTGTAGAACTGGGGTACAGGCCAGGGGTACAGGGGGAGGGAAGTGAAAGGATTGACCAGAGACAGAGTGGGGAGCAGAACAGGTGGATCCACTGAGATACACTGCTGAGGGAAGCAGCTGGGAGACAGAAGAGGTCTGCTGCACCCTGTGGGTCAGCTCCCTGGCTGGGGATTGAACTCAGGCTGTAGCTGTGATAGCCTGGTAGTGCTGAGACTCAACCCTTAGGCCATCAGGGAGTCCCTGCGCCAGATTTTAAAATAAAAATTTTAAAAATACCGTTTCACTTGAACATAATTTTTCAAAATATACCCTGGTGAACAAGGATGGAATGTTTAGTTTTTCTACCTAATCCCTTGTAAACTAAAGTCACCAATGAAGCTGCGCCCCTCTCCAGGTCTCCACTGAGGGGCACAAGGAGAGTCAGGCTCAGCTGGCCTGGCCCTGGGAAGAAGCTGTTTCAGCAACAAGAAGTCGTTTCTGAGCAAATCATCAACTGCCAAAGGACAGACTTTCCAGGTTTGTGGCACTGCTAAAGCTTCCAGATCCCAGAGGATAAGCTCTAAATACAGGGGCTCAATTCTAACTACACACCTGTTTCCCTCAATAAATACACAACATCAAATTAACCAGGTGCTTTCCTGAACTTTCTCTGCAAAAATCTTTGAAACAAACAAGTAATTGTTGACTGAATATTCATTGTGAGGCCACCTTTTGAACATTCACTTAGAGGATACTGCCTAACACCCCATTTCCAGGGCTGTCCCTCATGCTTAAACATGGCCTTAAACTAAAGTTACTGCCCAGTGTTCCTGTATCTCTTCAAATTTGGATGTTACAACCTCTGACACCCCAGTGCATGGGACTCTTAATCGTGTATATAAATATACGCCTCTCTCAATGCTCTCCAGGGACAGATCTCAATAAGAAGTGGGAATTATGGAAGGTAAAATTTTAAAAAGAAAGTCATGGGCCTCTCTGGTGGCTTAAGGGTTGAATCTCAGTGCTCTTACTGCTACGGTCTGAGTTCGATCCCCGGCCAGGGAGCTGACCCACATGGTGCAGCAGACCTCTCCTGTCTCTTTATTATTATTATTATTATTTAAATATTGATTTATGCATACAAGAACTGGGGTGCAGGCCAAAGGTGCTGGGGGGCGGTGAGAGGATTCACTAGAGAAGAGTTGGGAGCAGAACAGGCAGATCCACTGAAATACACTGCTGAGGGGAGCAGCGAGGAGACAGGATAGGTCTGCTGGGCCATGTGGGTAGCTCTCTGGGCTGTTAGGGATCGAACTTGTGCTGCAGAGGCTGCGGACAGCTTCACAGTGCTGTGCTTAACCCTTGTGCCACCAGAGAGGCCCTGCACCCCAGTTCCTGCATGCATAAATAAATAAAAATCTTTAAAAAAAAGAAGCCTCCTTTCTGGGCCCTTCTGCTGTATCTCTGAAGGGCTGGTCGTAGGTCAGGGCACTGGGTGCAGGATACTGGAACCCTCCCCGAGGCACCGCCCTTCAGGTTCCCTAATAGCTACACTGATGCTACAGGAGAGGGAAGGACCTCCATCCAGAGCCCAGTATCACCCGAAACCAGGTCTTGTATAAACTTCTGTAAAATTGTTACCAGCACCCAGCAGCCTCAGAGGTGGCAGCCTGCACTGCTCATGTGTCAGTTGTGGCAGTTGCTCCTCAGCACCCAGCAACCACCCTTTACTTCCAGGATCATGGATTGGACCAATCAGGTACGAGCTATGAGCTGATTGGTGCTAAATGGTCCAATCAGCCACAGGATTGGAAAAGGGTCCAATCAGACTTGTGAGCGTGGCACCTTGAAAGAGGATATAAGCCAGGGTTGAGGCGCCCAAGACAGTCTGTTCCCAGGAAAGGGGAAGACTGTTCCTGGCATTTGGAGAAAGAAGAAGGACCAGAAGCTGAAAGAAGAAGCATCCAGCAGCAGACTCCCAAGGAGGAAGGCAGAGAAGCCCACCCTTTGTGAGAGGCTGAGCCCCGGTCCTGTGTCTAACACCGCCTGGAAGGAGCACCAAAGGACCTGGGCCTGGTGTCTCAGAGTTATTAACACTTGGTGTCTGCGACACCGCCTCAGGGGAGCCGCTCGTGACCATCACAACTGGCCAGCGCTGCCCGGCACTCCTGGAGACAGTACAAACTCTGCTTGTACTTCTGGTGGGCACTATCTGGGTGAGGTAGCCACCACTTGTGGCTACAGTCAGCAATTTGTTGACCTTGTTTGTAAAATAAACCCCATGGGTGGTGTTCCCTGAGCCCAAGGGCTCTTGCAGTTGAGCATGGGTGAGAACCCACAGTGCCCCGTACTCTGTCGGGCACTGTCCTGTGATCGGCTGTGGCCCATAGAGCCCTGCTGTGTGGCACTGTATTGCTATAGCCATCGGTTCTGATTTTTGGCCTTTTGGGGGTCTCTTCTCTTAGCGCCTGGGCAGGTGGGTGGCCGTTCTGGCCTACCCTGGAATCCCATCCTCCTGCCCCTACCACCCCTGTTTCAAAATCACAGCCGCTGCATGGGGAGCTGCAGAGCACAGGGGGGCCCTGACTCTCGGCCGCATCAGTCCCTCCAGCAAACCCCATGAGTGAGGCTGCCTCCCAGGACGACAAGGCCACGACTGCAAGCGCCGTTTTCTCCTGGCATCGGGGCTCTTGGCCGGCACCATGCCCGGATTGCAGAAGCCAGAGCTGGGGTCACACGGGCTCACTCCCGAGTGGGCAGCCTTTGAGGATGTTTTTGTTTACTGTTTGTGAGGCTGGGAAGTTCTGAGTCCTGAGGTGTGGGTGGGTCCCCCCAGGAATTTGACTCTGATGAGAAGAGAGCTTGGAAAAGGAAAGTAAAACTTGTTTGGAAAGGAGGCCCGTGGGCTCCTTCCCTCCCCGCTGCAGCGGGGAGCTAAAGGCGTGCAGGGGCGAGTGGACAGACGTCCTCTAGGCCCGGTCTAAGTCAGACCTGACCACACAGCTCTCTGCCCTTGAAGGATCGAGGGCGGCCCGCGGAGATGGCCAACCTGCGCTCCCGAGTCCCTCCAGGGAGAGCCCAGCTCCCGTAGGGAGGAATGGAGAGATGTGTTGGGCACGGCGGCCTGGGGCCAGGCTGGCAGGAATGACCCTCGGGGGCAAGCTGAGTTGGCACCGAGAGCCATGGGAACAAGGTGGCGAGCTGCGTTGTGGATCAGAAGAAGCTTGTTTGGGAGCAACCCCCTCATGGCCCTCTCTGGAGGGAAGGGGATGGGGAGCCTGGGGCTGGGGACCCGACCTGGACTTTGGGACTAGAAGCTGCTGCCAGCTCAGGCTGGCGGGGCACTGGGCGCGGGGCTGCATTAATTCTCAGAACCTCCTGCGACTGCCCGGGGCTGGCTGTTGTGATGGCAGTAGTCACCCCGTCTCCTAAAAGGCCCGAGACTGAGCTGCTCTTACATTCTCCCACTTTCCCAGCAGGCCCATGGGACAGGGAGTAGTGTCACCCACATTTCCACCCCTTGGTGATGGGACCCTTGTTTTCTGGCTGTGGAGACAGTAGCAGGTCCTGACCACAACTCAGCCCAGCCTCCCGGAGAAACTGCCCCAGCCCTTTGGGCATGGCCACCTGCTGGCCTGGTGACTCAGTGGGCAGAGGTGGCCCCCATCCTGTCAAGGAGGCTGCTAGGGAGGCTGGGACCTGACAAGACCTGGGACCGCCACCAGCATGGGCCCAGGGCCGCCCTGCTGCTGCTGTTCGGGGGTTCCCTGATGAGAAGCTGTGCTGTGTGCAGGGGTGATGGTGCGGAATGCATCCTGTAAGTGCATAGGGGCAGATTGGCAGAAGTGCTGTGTGCAGGGAAGGCCTGTCCCAGCCAGACGCACCCCGTCCTTGTCCCCTTGGAGTCACTGTCAGTACTGCCATTGACCCAGGCACCCATTTCACTCTTCAGGGTACAAAACATGAGTGACCCCTCACCGCAAACCCTGGGGAGCTGGAAAGCCTTAGATTTGGGGAGCATCACTTCACTAACTGCCCCAGCTGGGCCTGGCACTTGGTTGCTTGTGACACTACCATGCAGACAACTGTCATAAGGCCTCAAACCTAAAAGAGGGTCCCTTGCCCTCCAGGAAATGAATTTCCCGGAGTACAAGGTGTAGTTGAGCCAGGCAAGGTTTTCTTAGAGACTCATGCATGAGAGGGCCAGTTTGGGGAAGGAAAATATAACCTGTGTCTCCCAAGGGAGCTAGGAGGAGACATTTAAAGGGGAAGTTCACGAGGTGGGGGAGAAGGGCAGTGCCAGCCTGTCCTGGCCTATGCCAGGCGGGCTCAGGTAAGTCACATTCCAGCTGCACCTGTGGGCTGCCTTCTCCCTACAGGAGACTGAGATGATCCTTAGTCAGGGTCTAACACTGCCTTTCAGGGTGCTCCGTGGTCATGCAGTGGGGGTATTTGCTTGGACACAGCTTCCCATCCATGATTCAGTCCACATGTTCAAATGGGACTGGGGCAACGCAACTCAACCTGCAGGTTCAAAATCTCTTGCCTTTGCTGGTTGTGCACCCACACAATCCCCTAAGAGAGAACCGCAAGTCAAGTGCCAGGCCCAATAGGTCCTTCAAATTCCATTGGAAATTAGTCCCTTAAAAGTGCCACAGAGCCACAAAAGCAAGTCTCATTGGAAGTGGCTCTTTGGTCTCATTCTCCCCCTTTTTTTTGTCCCAGGGGCCCGTCAGAGGCTAGAACAAACCTATCTGTTGCTTCAAACAGGTAGAAGCAACATGCAGCTCTACCTGGGGACACAATGCTGATGGCTGTTTGGCCCCTTCCCGGAAGCACAGCGTGTGCTGGGAGCAAGGGGGGAACTCCCTGAACTAACAAGCCAGGGGAGAGAAGAATCAAGAGGCAGCTGAGGGGAAGCCTGTCACCAAGGACCTGGGTGTGGGATGGGTGAGAGCAGGAACAGTTAATGGAGCAGCTGGCTCAGCTGAGGCTGGAGGCCTCAGAACGACCTTTTGGACCATCACTGAGGGGCTACTTCCCCAATCAGGAGGCAGCGCTTTGGGGGACCGAGAGTCTGGTTTGGAGTCCAGAGCTGATGGCCCCTCAGGCCGCTGGCAGAGAGAGGCAGGGAGGCACAGGCACTCCTGAAGCAGCGCAGCACAAGAGGCAGAGGTGGGCACGGGGCCCCTCTCCCAACGCCCAGGGGAAGTCGGCTGAGGAGTCTGCACAACCCTCTACCCCCTTCCCCAGCCTGCCTCCTGGTCCCTTCTCCCCTCCCCTCTCCCTTTCCCACTCGTGTCAGCTCCAAGAAAGATCTGGAAGTGCTCAGGATCCTGCTCACGCCCACAGGCAGCTGGAGGGGGGCTGGCCTGAGATGGGGTGCAGCCATGGCCACAGTGCCTCCTGCCTCGGGGAGTCCACACAGGACTCCCCATAACAGCTTCCCCACCCCGAGTGTCTGGTCTGCTCATTTCAATGAGTGACACACTGTTCTGGGCCTCCTGTAAGGGATGCAGGCCTGACACCCTCCCTCCAGCCCAGGGGTTCTGAAAACACACCTCGTGGTTAACTCCTTATTCAATCCTGGCATTACAGAACTCCAGAACTTCCAACGAGGACCAAGGTGTTGGGTCCTCACCAGTCCCCTTCCAGTGTGACAACCAAAGATGAGGGCACTATAGTTTGGTCCAATTTGAGGGCCAGTGTATAGACCAATGCAAGAGCCACATCACAGTTGGGGAGCAGAACAGGGCACGAACACTCGTGTGTAAGAGCCCTCTCTGACCCCCTCGGTGGCAAAAACCTTGAGAGAGTTGACAACACTCAGCTTTTGCCCGCTGGTCAACCATCAAGCCAGCACAGGATCTGTACACAGGCCATAGAGATGAGGCCCTGTTTTTGTTTTTAAAGATTTTACTTTTATTTACTTACGCATACAAGAGCTGGGGTATAGGCCAGAGGTGTATGTGTGGGGGGTGAGAGGATTCCCCAGAGACAGAGTGGGGAACAGAACAGGCAGATCTACTGAAATGCACTGCTGAGGGGAGCAGCAGGGAGACAGGTCTGCTGTGCTGTGTGTGAGGCTCCCTGGCCGGGATGGAACTCGTGCTGCAGCGGCTGGAGATAAAGCTTGACAGCGCTGAGACTTACCTCTGCGCCACCAGGGAGGCCCAACGCCCTAGATTTTGAGACAATAGCTTTCAGAGACTTTGGGATTTGACTGGCATGGGAGAGTCATGTGAACTGGGTGATCAGAGTAGTCTCATTCTCACCCCAAAGATGGCAAACTAGCATGTTCCCTCCCACACACTTTGCAGTGTGCTACCCAAACATTTCCCTCAGAAAGTAGTCTATTTTTCCATGCCCGAGAAATTTCTATAATTCTGAACAAGAGAAAAAGGCAAAATTTTATGTGATTGGTTGCACAATGTCCTCTGGTGACAAAATAGCCCGTGTGGGGAACCACTGTGCTATAGTGAAGTAATCTTTAAATTATTTCTTCAGACCACTCAACAATTCTCTTTGAAAACTCTGACATTAAAGATCATTAGAAAGGTGGAAGATTTGTTGAGCAATTAGACACCTTAGTGGTTATTTTCAAGCTTTTACTTTTCAGTTTGCAAAGGCATGCGATGTGTGTTACATTGTTCCCTGTGTTAATTTTTCCATTATCTAACTTGAAAAAAAAGTGACACATGTTCTTTTCTGTGGGCATTTTCTACAACAGGCTCAGGAACTTCTCATAGAAGCATGTCACACTTTCATAAACTGCCCACAGTGCACTGCTTGGGTTGTAAACAGATCACACAAATACACACAGGCTCTTAAGGGAGCACATGTGTATCTGCACTAAGGCAAAGAACACATGGAGACTTTTGGATAAAGTGCAGAAGTTGCTCTCTGGTCAACCTGTACCGTCTTAAATACACTGCCCTCTTCACCTTATGGATTCTGAGGAAAGTCCAAGGGGTCCTTTAGCTTCAGGACCTCTCTCATGGGTGGGGAGAGCAGACTCCAAGAAAGCTTTCCTATATTCTTCACATTCTTAGGGTTCCCGTTCTGAGTGAGCGCTCTGAAGTGCAGTGATTTCCTTGCAGTTATCAAGTTCTACATTCATCTCATTCACACCCTCCTACCCACTGTGAACTTGCCGATCTGAGTGAGATTTGGTTTGTGGTTGAAAGGTTGTCCATATTCCTCCTATTCATAGGGTTTCTAACCTGTGTGAATGTTGTGATGCTGAATCAGACTTGATTTCTGGTAAAGTCTTACTATTGTCTCTACATTCATAGGGGTTTCTCTCTTGTGTGAATTCTGTGATGTTTAGTAAAGTCCGATTTCCGGGTGAAAGATTTTCTACATTCCTTACATTCAAAGGGTTGGTCTCCTATATGGGTTGTATGGTGTTTAATAACTTCTGATTTCTGCTTGAAAGCTTTACCACATTCTTTACATTTATAGGGTCTTTCTCCAGTGTGAATTCTCCGATGTGCTGTAAGGTTTGACTGCCAATAGAAAGATTTTTCACAATCTTTACATTCAAATGATCTCTCTCCTGTGTGACCTCTCTGATGTGTTCTGAGGTTTGACTTCCGGTAGAACGTTTTCTTACACTCTTTACATTCATAGGGTCTCTCTCCTGTGTGAATTCTCTGATGTAGAGTGAGGCTTGATTTCCAGGTGAAAGATTTCCTACATTCTTGACATTCAAATGGTTTCTCACCTGTGTGCAATCTGTGGTGCTTAGGGAGGTACGACCTGCGGCAGAAAGATTTTCCACATTCTTTACACTGATAGGGTCTCAGTCGTTTGTGTGTCAGACAGTGTTTCATGAGGTATGCTTTCTTTGAAAAGCACTTCCTACAATCCTCACATTCATAGGATATGTTCCCCGTGAGGAGTCTCTCATGTGTACTGAGGGGTGACTTCCAGCAAAAATTTTTGCTGATTTCTTTACATTTATAGGGTTTCTCTTTTGTGAAATGTCTCTGACGCCGGCTGACGGTTGAATTTTCACATGTTTTTGCGTATTCGTAAGGTTCCTCACCTGCTTCTATGTTCTGATGTTTGTTGAGGACAGAAGACTTACCGTATTTACTGTCTTTAATATTTGCCTCTCCTATCTGAGGACGCTGCTGCTGAATGAGGTGTAATTTCTTGTGAAAGATGTTCCTACTTTGACAAGGTGGGGGTGTTTGTGCTCTGTGTGTCTACGAAGAATCAGTTGTGTTGGTTTCTTAATAACGATTTCCCACCATTTCTTACATCTGTAGCGATGCTCACTCGTGTAACCTGTCTCTCTGACAGTGACAGCCGACTTCTCTCGGGCTTCCCCACCTTCGCCTTGTTTATAGGTGGCCTCTCCTGTAAGAGCCCTCTTAGGGACGGTACTTTCTTGTCCATAAAATTTTAGAGGCTGCTGCAGAACTGGAACCATCTGAGGAAGACCGGGAGGCTTGGGCCGCTGGAAAGATTCCCTGGTTACACTCCAACCCTGCAAAGTCTTTCCAGCATGCACGCTTCCAGGCTTGCCACGGTGAAGATCATTCTTACATACACTAACATCTTCAGACACCATTCCTGAAGGAGCTCCACCATCTCTAACCATCTCCGATCTATGGATTGTGCTTAAATTCAATGTTTTCCTCAGGTCAATCCTTTCATTTGGTGATATTTTGTTGTTGGTGACTCTACCTTGTCGCAAATGTCTGCCCTGAATTTTCAGGTTAGTCTCCTCTGGGTTATCCATAGTCTGGAGATCTACAATGAATGTAAAATTACCACATCCATGATCAATATCTAAGCATTTCCTCTGAATGCTATGGTAAGGTTGAATTTACTTTCTATAATCACACAAGATTTTAACTACCATCAACATTGGTCACTGGTTTTATGCTAGGCAAAGAAGTACCTGTTTCCCCTAGCTAACACAACAAATTACATTAAAATATCTTTTTTTTTTTAAAGATTTATTTATTCAAGAACCGGGGTACAGGCCAGATGTGCGGGAGGGTGAAAGGATTCACCAGAGACAGAACAGGGAACAGAACAGGCAGACTGACGAAATACACTGCTGAGGGGAGCAGCGGGCGAAAAGGTGAGGTCTGCCATGCCATGTGGGATCCTTGCCAGCCAGCTGGGATCGAACTGGTGCTGCAGAGGCTATGAACAGCTTCACAGTGCAGTGCTCAACCCACTGCGCCACCAGGAGAGGCCCCATTAAAATATCTTTTTTTTTTTTTTAAAGATTTATTTATCTTATACAAGCACTGGATACAGTCAGAAGCGCGGAGGGTGAGAGAATTCACCAGAGCCAGAGCTGGGAGTAGAGCAGGCAGAAGGACCGAAGCACACTGCTGAGGGGAGCAGCGGGCGGCAGGAGAGGTCTGCGTGCCAAGTGGGACCCTCCTCCGGTGGCCGGGGAGCAGCCGGGGATCGAACCGGTGCTGCAGAGGCTGCGGGCAGCTTCGCAACCCAGCGCTCAACCACTGCGCTGCAACCCAGCACTCAACTGCTGCGCCACCGGGGAGGCCCTTAAAATATCTTTTAATGTCAAGTCATGTTGCCACAAAATATAGAAGAAAAAAAATTCTAGACATGCTTGGTCAATATATCTGCCTACTCTCCTGTAGGCATAACCGAGAGGCTGCCAGGTACTGCTTGACCTAAGCTGGTGGCTGCACTCGCTTTGGGACACACACCTGTCCACGGACACATACCTGTCCACCGCCACCCCCGTCACACTCCTCTTCACGCTAAACCATGTGCTGGGCCTCTGTGCATCCACAATTTGTAAAAGTAGACAAGGTTTCCTGGGAACCTTTCATTCATGTTCTCAGAACTCCCTTGGTAACCTCCTCTAATCACGCCTAGTGATTTACTAACTTCGTGGAGAAAAGCAATACCAGATTGTATGTCTCTCTATAGATGAAGCGTCAAAGTGGGTTGACTGTCATCTCCAACTGAATGTCTTCAATGTAAACACGTCAGAAAAATCCACTGTCATCTGCACACCTTCTTTTGAAAGAATGTGTGTAAAATACACATGCCATTTTTCGGCCCTCATCCTACTGAAATATTATGTGACTCTTATTTATCTATTACCTTTCTTTAATTTTTTCTTTCCACAGAATATAAGCTGCAGAAAACACTGCTTTGACTATTGTTGCTATCCCTATACCTAAAAAAAATACATATGTCTAGAACGTGACAATGAGTATGTTGAAAGAAATGAATACATGTCTGAAAGAATAATCCATGAAAATGAACAAATGGAGGGAAACATGGCTGACAAGATAAGCCTTCAAGAATAGGCAAGCATGATTAGATTTTGGTTAAGATGAAGAAAATACACAACCGTTTAAAAAAAGGTGCAATAGACACGGGAGAGCCATAACCGGATACTGAATAATGACAGGGTTTGATACACGCAGACTAACTCTCGTAAGGTCTGAACCCAGAGGGAGCCACGGGCGATAGTAGCTAGTTTGGCCAACTGCTGGGCTCTCCTCATGGTCTGCACCGACTGACCTGAGAGGCTCCTGTTTGGGGGTGCTCCTACAGCGCACGGCTCTGCTCCTTGCTCCATCCTGACGATCACCTCAGGTTTCATCATGCAATGCCCTGGTGATGAGAAATATCTGTTTAGGCTTCAGTCTTTGAAGAGTGACAATAGCAGAGTTGTAACTTTTGCACATGAGGGGCTAATTGTATACATTCTTGGGGTGGTGAACAATCTAGTTGGCATGAAGTCTTAAACCTATAACGTACATAGTTAGAAAAAGCTGCACATGTATCACTGAAGGAGAGTTTGCACTTGGTGGTGAAGGAGTCTGGCTCACCCAGGGATGCCAAGCTCCTGTAGGTCTCCAGCATCACGTCCCTGTAGAGGGTCCTCTGAGCGTCGTCCAGGTCCTGCCACTCCTCCCAGGTGAAGGCCACAGCCACGTCCTCAAAGGTCACCGCCTCCTGTAACGACACCATCTCCTCAACTCAAGGCATTTATAGTCGAGTCAGAAGAACTAGAGGTCTGAGATTTCATTCTTTGTGTCTCATGTAACACACCTCATGCTCTGTACTCTACATTGTGACACTCAGAGACAGCACCACAGAAAGGTCCTGTGCGTTAACACATTAGTTTCCCAAAATGCTATCTGAAAGTTTGCCTTATAAATCTGAAAATGCAGTTCATTTTTTAAAAAAACATTTTATTTATTTTTGCATAGAAGAATTGGGGTATGGGTCAGGGCTGTGGGGACTGAGAAGATTCACCAGAGATAGAGTAGGGAGCAGAACAGGCAGAGCCACTGAAATACACTGCTGAGGGGAGCGAGTGGGTGAGCTCCTTGGCCGGGGCTTGAACTCAGGCCAACCAGGTGATAACATTGAGACTTTACCCCTAGGCCACCAGGGGGGCCCTGCACTTCATTCTTAGAATAAAACTCTGCTCCTGAAAGGACCTCATCATCTGGATTGGAGACATAATCATAACAAATACACGGAACAATGTATTTGTCAAAAACATGCTCAATATACACAGAATGTGGGGATACAGTGAGAAAGAAACAGCACTTTCTATCATCCATTAGCTCTTCCATGTGAACCACGTTTCTCATGTATGTGAGGCAGTAACTGAACTCAGGATGCAAGGAGAGGACGAGTAGTTTTTGTGAAATGAGACAGTCAAGACCCCTCTGCCCAGGTTAATGTTCCTCTCTTCGGTTGTGAAGAGACAAATATATAAAGGTATTCACGAGACACGGAGTGACATCATTCTGCATTTCTATATACAACAATAAGAAACCTTACATGGCCCAGTGTTTTTCACAACTTCTAAATGGCCAGTTATGTGTGTATGCGTCCTGTTTCCTAAAAGGTCGTCCATTTCCACCCCACAGTGAGTGGAAACCACTCCCCAAAGCACAAGGATAACGAGGCCCCCACAGAGTAAGTTACATGATTGTATATGCCTTTTTATCAGCTCCCTCTTAAGAGATGGACTCGGGCTTCAGGGACACTCAGAGAAGAGGCCAAAAGAGACCACCCACATTGAGATTACACAGCAATGACAGACCGGAGGCTGCTGCTAACACGGGGTGAAAAAAACAGGACCAGAACTAAATTCCTGTCAGAAGGCTAACTGGGGAATTTGACCCCAGGCTTCTGGAATGATTCAGGTACATAATGGCACTGTAAATGGAAACTGGGTGAAAGACTAGGATGGGTATGGTTGAGACAGAGAGAAATTGAGGCGTCTGTGGTCAAACATGAGACTGTCCCACTAGCATGGGGACGGCTCATATACACACCGGAGACATCTGAGGCGAGATAAAATGCGTAAGCGGTCACGCTTCAGTGGTAGCTGGAGACTGAAAGTGAATGAATGGTTCAAAGAGAAAGGAAGAGACTGAACAGAGAAACAGCACAGAATCTCCACCATCAGATTTTGTGTCTTTTCATTTTTACCTTTTTGTAAAATATTTACTTCACTCTGTGCCCTTAAGCCCATACTCCACTGAATAAGCTATATTCTTGTTTGTGGAATTTCTTTAAAATGATTCTTTCCAATCCTTTGTTAGTCGAGGCCTACATCTACGCTTCTGCGGGCCAGTTAATGGAACTGTTGTGCGTCCTTAGGGATGTCACGGCTCCTTGGTTTTCTGGTTTCTGGCAGCCCAGCAAGCCCGTGGGGGCAATGCCTCTGCCACAATAGCCTTCCTCTCCAGATGTACAGAAGGGGTCCCTGTTTTCAGCATCTGCCAGGGAACAATCTCCTTTTCTGTAGTGGGACAGTGTGTGGTCGAAGGGGACACTTCCTGGCGCTGGGCTGGTTTCCATGCAGCCTGGCACTGGTGATGGCACCAGCGGGTGCTGCTGGCCACCTGTGGGGCATCTAGAGCTGGGGACTGGCACACTGATGCTTGGGTAACAACAGTGGCTCTGGGACTGGGGGCACTGGCTATCTTGTAGCAATAGTGAGTATAGAAAATTCTAATGGAGAAGAAGAGTTACTGTATTTCTTTGTGAGCACTAATGCAGATATCATATTATATTAAAGAACCAAAAAAAAAAAGTGGTAATACATGAGATTGCTCCTGAGAGGCAGGAGTCCAGGAGAAATGCCCATGTTGCCTCCCTGGTGGAGCAAGGGGTTAAGCACCGCACTATGAAGCAATTCGCAGCCTCTGCAGCACAAGTTCAATCCCCAGTTGGCTGGGGAGCAACCCACATGGTGCAGCAGACCTCTCCTGATTTGCCCGCTGCTCCCCTCAACAGTATATTTTGGTCAGTATATTTTTGCCTATTCTGTTCCCCTCTCTGTCTCTGGTGAATCGTCTCACTCCCGCATCTCTGGTCTGTACCCCAGCTCTTGTATGAATGAATGAATAAATAAATAAACATGCCCATGTTGAGGCCTGAGTCACTGGCTGGAAGGAAGTGACACTATAAGTAAGGACAGACTTGAGAATGTGGTTTTTACTTTGGAGTTCCTGAGCTCCAGGTGGCCCTTGGACACTAACAGAAGCAAGCAGTGTGTTGGGGCGCTGGTGGAAAGGGTGGGGAAAAGGTCAGATCTGCAAACCTGAGGGCTGACTCGGTTAGGGAGACCTGCACAGTGCTAAGAACGGGCCTGGGTTTAGACACCAGCATAAGCAGAAGAAACAAGAATTCAGAGAAACAGAAGAAATCACAACAGATTGTGACAGAAGCTAACAGACAAGAATTTCCAGGAGTGGATCACGACTGCAGTTTCATATCTGGCAGGACACTGCACTGAAACAGAGTAGAGAACAGTCACTGATCAGACTATAACCGAGGGCATAGGTGAGCTTTACAAGAAATGAAGGACTACATTGAAATGGTATAAGAGCAAAACAGCAGTGGAAACATCTGTGAAAAAATATAACTTTGGGGCCTCCATGGTGGCACAGGGGTTAAAGTCAGTGCTATCAAGCTGTCACCAACAATTGTGGTCGGAGTTTGGTCCCCAGCCAGGTAGCTGACCATGGCGCAGCAGACATTTCCTGTCTCCTGCTGCTCCCCTCAGCAGCGTATTTCAGTACGCCCCACCTCTGGCCTGTACCCCAGTTTCTGAATGCATAAATAAATAAAAATAAATGTTTAAAATAAACACACATATATATGTTTATATATATAATAAATGTTATATATATAATATAAATGTTATTTTTTTATATATACGTATATATATATATATATATATCACTTTGAACAGTCTGCTGTGCAACCTGCATGTGGAGACCAGGGGAGAGAGATGCATGGAGTTATTCAAGGACCTGTGGCCAACTCCATCCTCACTGCCTCAGGTAAGGCCTTCCAAGTGTCGTCTGCACCGCACTGTTAGTCTCTGCAGACAAACCTCATCAGTTGGTGCTTTCTGTGGAAAACCATCGTCACTGCTACATGCAGGAAGTGCTAAGTTCTGATGGGGAAGGAGACTCTGTCCACGGCATCATCTCTCCGACCTGCAGACTGTTTCAGACTTCTGTGCCTGCAAGTGTCCAGGTCCTCCGAGAAAGGGTCTGATTTCTGATCAGAAACCAACGCATCTGTCTTTCAAAGCAGTGGTGTGAGAGAGACCAGAGACAGTGTTCACTCACCTGGATGCCCCAGTCAGATGACCTGTCTGTGCCCAGTGGCCACCTTCATCTACTTTATGCAAATGTTGTGAAGGGCAGTCTTAACTACATTTCCATTTGTATTGAGTTTTCCACGCTAATTTATCTCCACAAAGCTCAAGACAAAGTCGCTGAAAAAAAAAAAAAAGACTTACCATTTCTAAGATTAATGTCTCTTGTTTCTTGATCTAAGAAACACTTAGAGGACTGTGGAAGTTGAGCTGAAAGAGAAGGAGAATGGAGTCAAGTTATGAAATGACTAGAGCTCCTTGCTCCTAGATTCTCCTGTGCAAAGAACTCCACACATTAGCTGGAAAAGAAGAGTCTTCTGGGGGACAGTACTATTTTACATGTTTCAAAGATGCAGGGAGGGAACCCAGAAGTCTTTTAGTTAGTAAAATTTAGACTTAAATTTATCCTTAAGGTAATTAAACCACACAAATCCCACTGACTTACCAACAAAGAATGCTGAGAATTTATTTAAAAAATTTAAGGACACTTACAACACTTTTGAGCCTAGATTTTAGAGGAAAGTTGCACATATTGTACATTCCTGGTGGTGTGCTGTCCTTGTACAGGTTCCCAAAGACTTATTCAATCAGTGGATATGATGCAGAGGATGGAAAGTAGTTTTTCAGAAAAGTGGTTTATCTCTGGAATTTGCATTCTTGGGATGCTGTCACTTGTGAGGACACCTGGGGATAGTGTTGGGGATACATGGATTAGCCAACAGCCAGAACAAACCAACAGAAAAGTAAATGAAGTCACTTTAAACCAACAGCTTACAGGGAAGAAACCAGAAGACTAGCCTCATTGGGATGCAGGCAACACAAGCATAAAAATTGATGAAACTAGATGCAGGCCCAAAACGTGGGAACTTCCAAGGCCTCCCTGGTAGCTCGGGGGTTACGTCTCAGCACTATCACAACTAAGGTCTGAGTTGGCTCCCCAGCCAGGGAGCTGACCCACATGGTGCAGCTGACCTCTCCTGTCTCCCTACTGCTCCCCTCAGCAGTGGATTTCATTCAATCCACGTGTTCTGCTCCCCACTCTGTCTCTGGTGAGTCCTCTCAATGCCCCCCACCCCCACACCTCTGGCCTATACCCCAGTTCTATGCAAAACAAAAACCAAACAAACCAAAAAAAAAAAAAAAAAAGCAATGTGGAAACATCCGCAAATAGAGTGCTTGGGTCTTTTATTTCCCCTGCAAGCCAGAGAAATTTGGTTGGTTCTTTACACAGTAAATGCTAAGTGATATAGCTAAACCCCTAAACACAATGTTTGTAACAAGTCAAGTGTGGAAGGGGGCCTTGAATTATACATCAAATACAATCAAGATAACATCACCACGACATCTAGAAATGTTAAGCCATAAAGACTGTCAAGCAGATGGATTCAGTAATAGGGGAATTAACAGAGGGCATGGGAATCACTCACACTCGCTGCCTGCAGAGCGTAAGACTGTGTTTTCCATTGTTTACATCATTAAGGAGACTTATGCACTCAAAACGCAGTTTGCTTTCGTTTTAAAAAATAGCTTAGGAGCTGGCATGTGTATTCTAATGTTCCGATTTTATTTTTCATTTTTTATTTTTTTAAAGATTTATTTATTTGTTTGTTTGTTTATTTATTTATACAAGCACTGGCTACAGTCAGAAGCGCAGGAGGGTGAGAGAATTCACCAGAGCCAGAGTGGGGAACAGAACAGGCAGACTTAACGAAGTACACTGCTGAGGGGAGCAGTGGGCGCTGCAGGAGAGGTCTGTGCGCCATGAGGGACCCTCCTCCGGTGGCCGGAGAGCAGCTGGGGATCGAACAGGCGCCGCAGAGGCTGCGGGCAGCTTCGCAGCCCAGCGCTCAACCGCTGCGCCACCGGGGAGGCCCATGTTCCAATTTTAAATAGAGAACATGCCCCTTAGTCATTTTCAAGAGATTTTACATTAAATGTGCGTCATGAACCACTTGGGCTCACGGGAGAACAGGTGTGTTTATGGGGAGATCGTGTGCTGTTTCTCAGGGGAAAACCAAAAACCAGAAAAACCTCCAACCTCCGTGCTTGGGCTTCACTGTGTCAATAGGGATAAATCAGCCAAAAGTCAAGCAGCCTGATGTAAACAGCCTGATGTGACCTGGCAAATAATTTCTCAAGTCAAATTATTGCATGTTTCCTATAAAGCAAAAGTCAGGAGGACAATCCTTCTGAAACTCCAGGAGCAACATTAAGATCGAGGGAGGAGGAAGGGTCAGCATTGGGGGCGGCTTAACTGTGATTCCGGAAACGGGGGAGGATGAAGATGTGAGTATGAACTTAGGCTGGAACATAAACAGGCCTTCTCAGCTGGGACAGCGCCCAGTACCCCAGAGACTGCCTGCTTGTGCCTATGCAAGTACCTTTTTACCTTCCTTTTTTTAATACTCCTTCTCTGGTAAAATGAAGCCTTTGCCTGTTTGTATCTATGCAAACCTCTTTCTTCCTTAATAAACTCGCAATATGCCATTGAATGGGAAACTGCCCAAACTTTTCTCAGAGGTAATCCAAGGATACCACTTGCTGAACCCCTATATCACATCTGAGGACCACCTTTCTGAACCTCATCAATTCCATGGGTTGCTCAGCAGCCTTTACTCTCCCAGATATGACCCAATGTCCAGGACCCCCCTTTATCCCCACACCAGCACTCAGATCCCTCATCCACCCTGCCGACTGGCTTCTGAGCGCCGAGGGGCTGCTTCCTCACACAGCCCCCCCGACTCAGCTTCTGGACACAAGGTACTTGGAAACGGAGCAGTGAAAACACAGCTCCGAAAGATGCTGGCACATGGAGAGGCTGCTGGCCTGAGGGCAGGGGCCCCAGGCTTCTGGGGCTCCATTTTGTGTACCTTCTGTGACTTCCGGGGATTAGCTGTTGTGAAGACAGAGCTAAACTATGAATTTGATCTACTCTCAGATTCTCCTGATTTCTTGGTAAATGGAATTGATGGGTACCCTCACATCCTGTCAGGCTTTGCATAAATACCTCCTTCTTTCCCCTTCCCCTTATCTCACAAGTATGTGTTTATAGCACACAGGTAGCATATGTGTATGTGTATGTGTACATATATATATAGTACACAAATACACTACAAATATAGTACACAAATTGTGTGCATACATGTTTTCCAACAGTGGTTTACTGCCTATTGATGGCTTAGAGAAAATTATAGTGGGGCAGAAATAGCATCATCTTACTGGGTTTGAAGAGAGTTGTTGTCAAGTGATGCTGTCCATGATCTGGCTGCCTCAGCTTGCATAGAATAGACACTTTCCTTCCCACAGCTGTGTCCTAGACAACAGTACACACAGTCAAAAATAGGGGTAGAGCCTCCCCTGGTGGCGCAGGCAGTTGAGCGCAGTGCTGTGATGCTGTCCGCAGCTTCTGCAGCACCAGTTCGATCCCAGCCGCCGGGTGAGGGTCCTGCATGGCGTGCAGACCTCTCTTGCTGCCAGCTGCTCCCCTCAGCAGTGTACTTCAGTCATTCTGCCTGCTCTGCTCCCCGCTCTGGCTCTGGTGAATTCCCTCACCCTCCCGTATGCTTCTGATTGTACCCAGTACTTGTATAAATAAATAAATAAATCTTTAAAAAAAAAAAAAAAAAAAAAAAAAGAGGGCCTCCCTGGTGGTGCAGGTGATTGAGCACAGCGCTGTGAAGCTGTCCACAGCCTCTGCAGTGCGGGTTCAATCCCGGCCTGCTTCGGAGATGCCCACATGGCACGGCAGACCTCTCCTGTGTTGCCCGCTGCTCCCCTCAGCAGTGTACTTCAGTCTGCCTAATCTGTTCCCCACTCTGTCTCTAGTGAATCTTCTCACCCTCCTACACATCTGGCCTGTACCCCGCTTCTTGTATGAATAAATAAATCTTTAAAAAAAAACAACACAATTCGGGTAGCCTCCTGCTGTGCCTTCCCTTGTGATCCTCAATCTCACTTTCCTCCCAGGACCTTCATTGCCTGGGCTCAGTAGACAAGACTCTCTGTTGGGGTACCATTTAATAAGGCTTAAACACTAAGCTCCCACTTCTTGCCCAGTGGCAGGTTTGCAAGGCTTGTAATACATAACGATGGATAAGGTTGCTATGGAAACAATGCCCCAAGACCAACCACCAGGGCCAGAAAAACTAGCCCAACCAGGAATGTGGAAGCAGAGCCAGCACCAGAGACCAGACATCCCAGCAGATAGCTGATGCAAACTGGCGCCCCAAGTTAGACAGCCCCGAAAACAGTATAAAAGAGAGACTCAAGTCGTCCTCGCACAGACCTCTCCCATCTCGTCCCCTGCGATGTATGACAAGGGACCCCACAAGCTGATCAGTGTAAACCTTGCTGATAAGAACCATGGCCGGGGGTGTGGGGTCTGGTTTCAATAACAACACTTGGTCGTCAAGCTGATAACATGGTCAGCAGACTCATGTCCCCCAAGCCCTAAATGACAGTCTTTAGTTTCACCCATAGTTTTCTCCTGTCTTGCTGCGTATTTCAATAAATGCGCCTTATCTGTTCTCCAGTCTGTCTCTAGTGAATTTCCATCCCCGCGCCTCCAGCCTCACCCCGCAATTTCTCCCAACTGCACCCACCCTCCCCGCCCTCACAGCTTCCCAATACCGCACTCCCGAGGCCCGTCAGCAGTGGACCCCAGTAACGCGCGGACTCCAGGTCCTGCCGCGCCCTGTGCCTGCACCCCGAGGCTCGGGTGCCCGGGCCCCGAAACCTGTGCTCTTTTGCTGAACCCACCAGTCGTGTACTTAAATTATGTTCATTTAACTGAGCCACACCAGCTTAACAAAACGCAGTCGCCGTGACTGTCACTATTCGCGGTTTCAGGGAGCGCAGTTTGGACGGGACTGCCGCCATTCCAACCCAAACGGCGAGAGAGTGTCTCCTGCCAAGGTCTAGCTTCCCCAAATCGAATTTTCCAACTCAAGGGCATTACACTGGTATTAACAGGATTTAACAACGAACCAGACTGTCGCGTGGGTAGCCGCAGTCCCTCAAGCCTCCTCTCAGGTCTTAACCCAACAAAGCGGAACACCGTGAAATTGCCATTTTCTGGGGCGCCTGACGTAAGACGCAGAGCCTTGTGGGAAATGTAGTCGCGCTGTAATGGCGACACCGCGAAGAGTCCTTTCTGCGCAGGCGCGATCCCGCCCACTCATATATTTGGCCGGAAGTGTGCGCCCCCCCCCCCCCCCCCCCCGGCATTACTCTCGGTCGCTTCGAGGAGGGTGGGTTCTTGGATGGATGGGGATTCTGAACTCTGTCACCACAGGGCGGGAGGGAGCAGAGGGGCGAGAGGACGCGAGTGTAGGAGAGGAGGTGAAGGAGGAGCCTGCGCTCTGGGACGGAGCGACCGTAAAGGCTGGAGGTAATGGGTGTTCGGGCCGCAGTGCTGCTAGGAATTCCGTGCAGATGCCCCGACGCCGGGCTCATAGGGCGGGGTAGGAGCTGAAAGCCCAGTAGGTGCCGGGGGCGCCGTGGACCAGGGCGGGTGAGGGAGAGCAGAGCACTGGGGCCGGGGTCAGGCCGGGGTAGGACCAGTACCTGCTCTATGCCCATGGCTCTGTTGGTGCGGCACCAAGGGGTACTCCCGGCCCTATCCCACCTCGGGCGTCCGTGTTGGCGCGGGGGTGAAATCTCCCGCTATCACACTATCGCCAGCACTGCAGCCTGAGTTCGATCCCCGGCCAGGGAGCTACCCACCTGGCGCAGCAGACCTCTCCTGTCTCCCTGCTGCTCCCTCCAGCAATGTAGCTCGGTAGATCCGCCTGTTCTGCTCCCCACTCTGGGGAATGCTCTCACCCCCCCACACACACACCTCTGGCCTACACCCCACTTCTTGCATTCATAAACAAATGAAATAAATCTTTAAAAAAAGAGAGAAAGTATCCAACCATCCATGCACACAGAGGCAAAACATACTCTTAGAATGAATTTTAATAGAATTAGCAAGTATGGAAAAGGAAGGCTAATAGTTTTGCAAAAAAATACCACAAAGTACCCATCTTCTCTGGGGTAAATGTCCAGACAAACAAAATTTTACCAAAGCAAGGTTGATGGAAGCCCTAAAGCGTGCCGCACGTTTTAGGGACCTTCTGGCAGGGACCCATAGGGAAGGAGTTCAAAACCAGGTCCCAGAAATCTGGGACAAAAGCGTAGTGGGGATGATTATCAGGGTGTGGCCGGAGGGGGGAGGATGTGAAGAAAGACCTCACAAGACAGTGGAGAACAGAAAATGTGGATTTATTGAATCCACTGCTGAGAGAAGCAGCTGGCGAGATGGGAGAGGTCTGCAGAAGGAGTATTTGACGCTCTATTTTATACTGTTTTCCAGCCTTTTTAAATTGGGGCACCAGTTTACCAGCTGCAATGTCTGGTCTTGGATGGTGGCTTCGGACACAGAAACATGTCCTGGCTCTGTCACTGTGTTCCTGGATCTTGGGTGGTTTTTCTGCTCTTGATCTTATGGCTTTGTTCCCATGGCAACTTATGCATCCACCTTACCTAGTGAAGCCTATTAAATTGTACCTGACGAAAAGGAGATAAGCTGTCAAGATAGCATCTGCCCTTGTCAGGCTCCCCAATGTCTCTCACCCAAGTGTCTATTTCAATTGTCTCTACCTGTGTTTCCTCCACATGTTGCTTAGCAATAGTAGGTGTACCCTGAACACTCCCGATCTCGTCTGATCTCGGAAGCAATAGCAGGTGCAAGCTGGGCCATGGGTTCCAGAGCTCTCTCCCCAGAACCCAACTACTTTCTGTGTTACATAACTTCTATGAGCTTCTCAGCTCCCCCTTTGGTTAATTAGGGATGATGGGAAATGGTACCTCTCTCTTTTATGGAGATGTCTCTGTGACAATACTTCCTCAGAATTAGATAGGTAGTGCTAACATTGTGTTTCCAAAAGCCTCCATAGCTGGGTGGTGTGGAGTCTTAATACTGAGAGTCCAACACCATAGGGATGTCAGGGGGCCAAGGTGTTTGTGTAGAGCATGAACATCTGCATTTCAGTGCCTGTTTGATCAGGAGGCAACATGGGCAAGTTAACAACCTGTATGACATTTGGATTGGGCATCTGTAAAATGAGCACGTTAACGACTGGTGAGATGCCCAGATTGCAACAGAAATCTCATAGAATTTGGACCTCCCTGGTAGCCTAGGGAGTTAAGACTCAGCACTATCACCTCTATGGCCTGAGTTCAACCCCATGCTAGGAGCTGACCCACATGGCGCAACAGACCTCTCCTGTCTCCCCGCTGTTCCCCTCAGCAGTGGATTTCAGTAGATTCGCCTGTTCTGCTCCCCACTGTGTCTTTGGTGTATCTTCTCATGCCCCCTCACCTCTGGCCTACACTCCAGTTCTTGTATGCATAAATAAATAAAAATAAATCTAAAATTTTTAAACTCAATTCTTACCATTACATGTTGATATATCAGTAGGAAATCTGTGTTTTCATTGCTTTTTTTTGTTTTAAAGATGAAATAGCACTGAGACTTTAACCCATGTGTCACCAGGAAAGGGCCCAAATAGCTACATTTGCTCCTTTCTGACCCCTGTCAACATTGAGTCAGCTGTTGACAAATCTTTTACTTCATTCGGGTACTTTTTTTTTTTAATAAAAGTATTTTTTTTCTTTTTTTTTTTTAAAGATTTATTTATTTTATATAAGAACCGGGGTACAGGCCAGATGTGCAAGAGGGTAAGAGGATTCACCAGAGACAGAGTGGGGAACAGAACAGGCAGACTGTCGAAATACACTGCTGAGGGAAGCAGCGGGCGAGACAGGAGAGGTCTGCCACGCCATGTGGGACCCTCGCTGACTGGCGGGGATCGAACTGGAGCTGCAGAGGCTCTGGACAGCTTCACAGCGCAGCGCTCAACCGCCTGCGCCACGAGGGGAGGCCCAAAAGTATTTTCTTTTTTAGAAAATTTTATTTTTGTGTAGACGAACTGGGGTGTAGGCCAGAGGTGTGCGGGGTGAAAGGACTCACCAGAGACAGAGTGGGGAGCAGAACAGGCAGATCTACTGAAATCCACTGCTGAGGGGAGCAGCAGGGAGACAGGAGAGGTCTGCTGACTCTGTGGGTCAGTTCCCTGGCTGGGCATCGAACTTAGGTCATCTCGGTGATAGCGCCTTGACTCAACCCCTAGGCTTCCAAGTATTTTTTCATATATATGTTTCTAAAATAGATAATAAGAACCTCAGAGGAAAAGAATTTTATTTATCCTTTTGTTCTTAGCAACAAGGCCATTTCTATATAGAAGGGCAATTAGCTGATGAGCTAATGCAGAGACAGGCTATGTTTACTGTGATGTCTCTTTACCTCACAGTACATTGTAATAACGTGATGCAACCCATACAAGATACAACAGCCACGAAAGAAGGAGCTTTCAGATTTTAGGTCTTCTGACTCTGGATACTGCCTCCATTTGAAGAGATGGTGCCACTGCGGGAGATGGTGACCTTTGAGGACGTGGTAGTGAGTTTGACCTGGAAGGAGTGGCAAGACCTGGACAACACTCAGAGGGCCCTCTACAGGGACGTGATGCTGGAGACCTATGGAAGCCTGGTGACTCTGGGTGAGTGAAACGCCTATCACTGCTAGAGTCAGGCACTGACCTCTTCATTGCTTATGTCAATATGCAATTTAGGGCCTCCCCCTGTGGAGCAGCAGTTGAGCACTGGGTCACGAAGCTGCCCGCAGCATCTGCAGCACCGGTTCGATCCCCGGTCGCCAGCGAGGGGTCCCACATGGTGCGCAGACTTCTCCTGCTGCCCACTGCTCCCCTCAGCGGTGTATTTTGTAAGTCTGCCTGTTCTGTTCCCCGCTCTGGCTCTGGTGAATTCTCTCACCCTCCTGCACTTCTGACTATACCCAGTGCTTGTATAAAAAACAAAACAAAACAAAACAAAACAAAACAAAAAAAAAAAAAACGCAATTTAGGTTTAAGGTTCCAAGCCTAGGAGAATGTGAATGTTCATTTTGCTTAAAGGTTGATTTTGAGGGCCTCCCCGGTGGCGCAGCGGTTGAGCGCTGGGTTGCGAAGCTGCCCGCAGCCTCTGCAGCGCCGGTTCGATCCCCGGCTGCTCCCCGGCCACCGGAGGAGGGTCCCACATGGCGCGCAGACCTCTCCTGCCGCCCGCTGCTCCCCTCAGCAGTGTACTTCAGTCCTTCTGCCTGCTCTGTTCCCCGCTCTGGCTCTGGTGAATTCTCTCACCCTCCCACGATTCTGACTGTACCCAGTGCTTGTATAAATAAATAAAAATAAATCTTTAAAAAAAAAAAAAAAAAAAAAAAAAAAGGTTGATTTTGACCCTACAGTCCTACAGTCCACAGGCACAATGTCCTCTTTTTTTCTTTTTAAAGACTTTTTATTTATTTATGCACACAAGAACTGAGGTGTGGGCAAGAGGTACGGCGGGTGAGAGGATTCACCAGAGACAGAGTGGAAGGGGGGCACAGAACAGGCGGATATACTGAAATACACTGCTGAGGGGAGCAGTGGGGAGAGAGGAGTGGTCTGCTGCACCTTGTGGGTCAACTCCATCACCAGGGCTCAAACTCGTGCTGCAGTGGCTGCAGACAGCTTCATAATGTTGAGATTTAACCCCTTGAGCCACCAGGGAGGCCTTGCAAGTACCTTTTAAATCAAGGGGTTGTGTGGGTGCAGAGCTAGCTAAGGTGATGTTGCCCCCCCTTTTTTCCCTCAAAATTGAGGTGTTTATTAATCAGTGTAAACCCCAGCATCATATACCATCATGATTTCATGCATTACAAAGGGAAATACTACTTAGTCAAGTGGAAAATCGTGCAGATGTTCATGTTAAGCAGCTTTATAGTGGAATGTTTCATTTAGGAGTCTGGACCTTCATTCTTTAGTTTGCTGTCATCTGCATCCACTGAGAAGAATTTGTGTTGTTCATTGGGACCCACTTGTTCCATGTTCTGGGTTATTCTTTGTAACTGACATGAGGACTGTACAAAGCAAGACTGATGACATACAGGGCTGCTCCTGCCCCTTTGGCTCCAATAAATAAAAATGGGGACTCAAGCTACACTGCTTCTTTGTCTGACTGAGTATCTGGGAAGCATGGTTGTGGGGGGCTGGGCACTACCTCATTGTTGACCTCCTTTATGCAGTCCTACAGGGCTGGCACTCTTAAAAGCCGGCCAAGTCAGAGTCTGCAGCTCTTCAAGGTTTCCTCAGGGAGGTAATGATTGGCTTTCTGTTGCTAGCACCTTTATATGCTGTGGCCTGATTTGAGTGTGTTTTAGGGCACTAATTGAAGTATCTGTGGGTGAACTTGTAGCTCCAGCATTAGCCATTAGGCAGGCCCTCATTCTAATTTTTTTTTAAAGATTTACTTATTTATTTATTCATACAAACACTGGGTACAGTCAGAAGCGCGGGAGGGCGAGAGAATTCACCAGAGCCAGAGCAGGGAGCAGAGCAGGCAGAAGGACCAAAGTACACTGCTGAGGGGAGCAGCGGGCGGCAGGAGAGGTCTGCGCGCCATGCGGGACCCTCCTCCGGTGACCGGGGAGCAGCCGGGGATCGAACCAGTGCCGCGAGGCTGCGGGTAGCTTTGCAACCCAGCGTTCAACCGCTGCGCCAGCGGGGAGGCCCCCCTCATTCTAATTTGATACTTATAGACATTAAATTGTGATCACCCCCAAAAGTAGTTTCCATCCACCCCCAGGTTTCCCATTTGACCCAAATCCCAAATGCTTTCCACTCTGCTCACACCCCAGCTGTTCTCTGTACCTAAGCGATTCTTTGTATTTGGTATGGTTGGGTCATTGACTTTGTCTTCCTATTCGGCATAGAAATAAAATCATTCGTGGGGGCAATCTTTTTTTTTTTTTTTGAAAGATTTATTTATGCATACGAGAGCTGGGATTCAGGCCAGAGATGTGGGGGTGATAGGATCCACCAGAGACAGAGTGGGGAACAGAACAGGCAGATCGACTGAAATACACTGCTGAAAGGAGCAGCAGGTAAGACATGAGAGGTCTGCCTTGCCCTGCGGGTTTTTCCCTGGCTGGCTGGGATGGAACTCGTGCTGCAGAGGCTGCGAATTGCTTCATAGTGCAGTGCTTAACCCCTTGCACCACCAGCGAGGCCCCGTGGGGGCAATCATAAAACATGCAAAGCACATGCATCCAGGGCAGGTGTTCTTGGGATGTTGGATCCAGCATCAGCCAACCCTGGGCCCTGAAGTGTCAGCAGCTTCTTTCTCTGGAATGGGGGCTGCCAGATGCCACATAATCTGAATAGGACCCTCCTGTCATCTTGGTCTGTGCTAGGTGTCTTTAGGATCGTCCTCCGCACCCCTACCCAATTCCTCTGGACGCTCACAGGAGGGTACTGGGGGGGGGGACCTGGGTCAGCTCTGTCCACCCCAACGGACCTTGCTGAGTCTTTTCATGCACTTTCCGTCCTGGCCCAGAAAGCAGTTCTCTGAACCATGAGCTTCGTTCAATCCTCCCCGCCTTAGAAGCCCTTTCCTTGCGCGGCAGGGAGGGAGGAACGGCAGGAGGGGGTCTGTTCCCTACTCTCAGTCATACATTTCCATATTTCCCGATGGGTCCGCCCCCCCCCCCCAACATCACTTCGGGTCTCGGGACAAGGGTGATGAGACAGAATAAACAAAAAGTCTTCGCTGGCGTCCGCAGGGCGCGCGCAGAAGCCCGTGGGAAGCGCAGCCCCGAGGTGACGACTGCCCCGCGCCGGCTCTGCGCTCCTTCTGCGCAGGCGCAGCCCGGCGCCGCGCGCTTCCGTCAACATCCGGCGCCGCCGCGGGCCTCCGCCGCTGCTCAGGCCGGGTCGTCGCGGAAGGTCTACGCGGGGAGACTGTGAAGGGGCGGCCCGGGCCGGCGGAAACGGGGCGGGAGGGAGCGGGAAGATGGGCGAGGGACTAGAGTGCGGGTCGGAGTGACGGGGGAGCCCCGACGCTCGGACACAGTCGGGGAGGGAGCGGAAGTGCTGCTCAGTCGTGGGTGCAGGGCGCAGAGGGGGTGCTCGAGGGCTGGTGGGGACACGGGGTGGGAGGGAGCGGGGTGTCGGGGTGCTGGGCTCGGGTGCAGGTGTGAGCCTTGGACCTGGACGCAGCGGGGAGGTGGTTGGAATTTCGGGGCCACTGGCCAGGTCGGGGCAAGGCCAGTACGTGCTCTGTCTGATTTCATTACACATTAAACGAGGTTCGTGATACAAGGGTTTCTGCTGAATATCGTTTTCTTCCAATCAGTTGAGGCTGTTCTCTAGCAGGAAAATTAGACTGTTACAGCTAACTGATTTCTCAAAATAGAAAGCCCTGTGCAACGCGTGCATGGACGCATTTATGATTTTAAAAACTGAAAGCATCTTGTTCAGACCTGCAGACAGTTGCGTTATGATCTGCACGGTCCTCCTTTGTTCCAGTAACCTCTCCCTGGGTAACCACTTGACATTCCTATGCTTTTCTAAAGTTCTACATGTGGCTGTGATGCTTTTTGTTGTATTTGGGGCGTCAATCAAGCCTTTCTCCCCTCACTTAATTTGTTTCAAGCATTGAGCTTGGGGGGCTTAGATGTACCAGTTAGCTTTATTGAATGGTGAACCAACCTAGAACCTCTGGATTTCAAAGAAAAGAGGGCAGACACTTATTTGCTGAAATTTTAGTGTTCTGCAATCTGGGTGGATTTATTCACTAAGTTTCTATTCTGGTGTTGCCTGGATCACAGATGAGCCTGTAGTCATGTAGTGTGTTGACTGAGGCTGTTTGATTTAATATGACTTCATTCACTTTTTTGGTGGTTTGTTCCGGTTATTGGCAAAGCCATGTGCAACTGTCAGACTAACCCAGGGGCTTCACCAGATGACATTGTTGCAAGTAGGTAATCGCCTGTGGAGAAGTACTTTGAATTCCTGCATAATTTATACTGTTTTCCTTATGGCTAAAAGGCCAAACCATGAGGAAATGAATTCAAGGTAACAGGTCTGTGAAAACCTTTCCTGCCACAGTATAGCACCAAAAATGTACATTATGTGCAACTTTTCTGTAAAACTAAGGGTCAGATGTTGTGTTGTCATTAAGTATCTGGAAAAAAAAATTCCCCACTTCATCTAAATTTTTATTTTCACCTAAAAAAAAATCTCAAAGTTTTGTTTCTGATTTTTTAAATTTCATTTCAATTATCTGAACTTGCAGAAATTACTGAAGTTCTAAATAACATCTGGGGCCTACCTGGAGGCCTAGGGGTTAAGTCAGTACTGCTATCACCAGTAGGGCCTAAGTTCAATGCTGGACCAGGGACCTGACCCACATGATGCAGCAGACCTATCCTGTCGCCCTGCTGCTCCCCTTAGCAGTGTATTTCAGTACAGCTGTCTGTTCTGCTCCCCACTCTGTCTCTGGTGAATCCTCTCCCTCCCACCCCCACCTCTGGCCTGCACACCAGCTCTTCTATGCATAAATAAACAAAAATAAGTGGCCTCCCTGGTGGCGCAGCAGGTTGAGTGCAGGGCTGTGAAGCCCTCTGCAGCCTCTGCAGCCCTGGTTCGATTCCCAGGGAGATTCCCACATGGCAAGGCAGACATCTCCTGTCTCCTCCTCTGCTCCCCTCAGCAGTGTACTTTGGTCCTTCTGCCTATTCTGCTCCCAGCTCTGTCTCTGGTGAATTCTCTCACCCTCCCGTGCCTCTGGCCCGTACCCCAGTTCTTGTATAAATAAATAAAATCTTTAAAAATAAATAAATAAAAAGTCTTTAAAAAAAATAACCTATCTTTAAAGTTACTGTGATTGTATAAATTGTTTCCTTTCTTATGCTTTTGGTAGCTGGATTCTGAGGAAGCTTTTCCAATGTCCACAGAATTCACTTTCTTTTATCTTCAGAAGAAAGTTTTGTTCTAGATTGTCTCTGTAGTCCTTTATAACTTGATATCTTCTTAAATATGATGGCATGTAGATAAATCATGGATACGAGACTTCTAATACAACATAACTACTAAAAATATTATCCTTCATGTTTTAATTAATCTCATCACATTCCACTTGCTAAGCTAAGAATTAAGTGCTGTTTTTAATCATATGACCTTTGACAAATACTGGATGCACTACAGTTGATTGGAATGGAGAGAGTACTGCAGATTTCTGATTTCGTCTGCTCCATTCAGCGGGCCTAAATTCTGACCTTAAAAAATTCCTCCAATTTCTTCTGGTTTCAGTTATTTTTTTCCCCAAATGGGACAATAAAAGAATTTTCTGCCTGAAGACAGGGAGAGCTTTTACTGTGCTGCCTGAGCCAATGAACCTTTATTGTTAATAGATTATTTCTGTTAAATCAGGGGGGAAAAAAGGAATAAGCTGGTTCTCACTTATGGTTAAGACGTACATTTACCTATGTTAAGAATTAACCCTCTTGGGCCTCCCTCGTGGCTGAGGCCTGAATTGATCCCTGGCCAGGGAGCTGACCCACATACTGCACAGCAGACCTCTCCTGTCTCCCCACTGCTCCCCTCAGCAGTAGATTTCAGTAGAGCCACCTGTCCTGCTCCCCACTCTGTCTCTGGTAAATCCTGTCATCCCCTTACACCTTGGGCCCATACTCATTTCTTCTGTGCACAAATAAATCTTCAAAACAAAACAAAACAAAAACCCCTGGATAGTCACATTTGAGTCATTACAGATGGGAAGGTTTTTTTTTTTTTTTTAAAGAAACTTTTTTTTAAGATTTGATTTATTTATTTATGCATAGAAGAACTGGGGTATAGGCCAGAGGTGCAGGGGGTGAGATGATTCCCCGGAGAGATTGGAGAGCAGGACAGGTGGATCTACTGAAATACACTGCTGAGGGGAAGAGCGGGGAGACAGGAGAGGTCTGCTGCGCCATGTGGATTATCTCCCTGGCCAGGGTTCAAACTCAGGCTGCAGTGGCTAGCGATAGCTTGATATCAGAGACTTAACCCCTGTGCCACTAGGGAGGCCCATGGGACGTTATCTTTATGGATTCCTACTCAACATCTATGTGGATGGTCTTAGGATTTTCTTCACAGAAATATGAATATTAATACTGAAGCTTTCTTATTTCCAGCATAATCTCTTCAAAAATTCTTTATCATTACGGTCTGTTTCTGTTTCTTTTTCTTTCTTTGGCTGGTACAGCATGCTTTATTGATGGTATGTACAAGGCAGGGCGGCCAGTGGAAAGCAGGCCTGGTGACCCCGTGCCTGACCCAGCCACCTCTGGTCACACCGACTTGAAGTGTCTCAGGGATGGGCCGGCCCCGCGCAGGACGAGGCGGTTATAGGACCCGGAAGAGCAGAGAGACACTCCATGTGTCTTTAAATGTGAGTGTTCCTTCCAAATCTCCACTTGTTCCTTTTCTATAAATATCTAAGGTGTCCTCCAGCCATTTCCCTCACTCTGATGACTTCTGTTTCCTCCGGCCTTGTCATGCTTCCCCAACCGTGCCTGCAGCCGGCAGAGTCCTCTCCTGATTTGCAGATGCAGGAGCCACTTTGTGATGATCCTTTCTCGTGTGCTTGACCACCGAAGCTTCAGGGATGATAGGTTCAAGATCTCACTCTGGCTGCCAGATTCTTTGTCCTTTTTCCCGGTTCCATGGGCCAGTGCCCGCCAAGCTGGTTACGCAGAGCACCTGCCAATGAGTCCTGTTCACCCTACTGACAGCGAGCTCTGCTCCTTGGTATTTTTCCGTTTCTGTTTTAGGATTAGTTTCCTGTTCTATGTTCCTCTTGCTCCAGCACCTCAGCATGGGTCATCCTCTCTCCCTGGCTTCTCTCTTTTAAGCCTTTCCTCAGCCTCCTACCAGGGGATCGCTGTGAAAAGGCAAATCTGATCATGTGACTGACACCTGTGTCTGTCCCTCCCCCTCCCCATCCTCTGTGGGGTAAGAAGAGGGCTGGCTTCCCTCTGTCAGGGCACACTTACTTGTATGTATCCATTGCTGGAAGTGTAGGGGGGATGTGGCATGTCTTGGGGCCACAGGTGGGCCAAGTCCTTATCTCTTCACACCTTAACTTCTGCTGTGGTCGCGTTCGTGAGAACACTGGTTCGTGAGGAGGAACTGAACATCTTTGGGGCTTCAGTGCAGCACAGCTGACAGCGTGCCGTGGCCATGGTTTGGGTCGCTTCTGTGACCCGTTACGCTTACATCTCTAAACCAGATTATCCAGCCCTATGAGGAGCAGAATTTTATGCTTTCTTTGATTCTTAGCTATGAGGACATTTCCAGATTATCAGTGATAACTGTAATAACGCTTCTTGGAACAGTCGATGCGAGGACTGGCATGTGCTGCGATGTCTCTTTATCTCACAGCATAGCCTACAGGGCCTGGTGTGTTCTATACAGTATAAAGGTCACCTAAAGAATAAACTCCTCCATATCCAGTTCTTCTGACCCTGCCAGATGCCTTGAATTGATAAGGAATGTGCCACTGCAGGAGATGGTGACCTTTGAGGACGTGGCCGTGAGCTTCACCTGGGAGGAGTGGCAGGACCTGGACGACGCTCAGAGGACCCTCTACAGGGACGTGATGCTGGAGACCTACGGGAGCCTGGTGTCCCTGGGTGAGCCAAACTCTCTGGTAATGGCCAGAGGCAAAATGGTGCTCTTCGTGGGTAGATGTGCGACTCTTCATGTAATTAGCGGCTGTGCAGATTTCAGATTCCAGGCCAAGAAAAATGACTGTTCAACTCTCTCTTTAAGAGGTTCCAACTGGCTGGTGGTTTTACAACCTAAAGCTCTGCTGTTGCCAACCTCAGAGGCCAGAAAGCTTCAGCAGCTGGATCTAAGGCAGCCATTATTATTTCTCATCACCAGGGCGTTGTGTTGCCAAACCTGAGGTGATCGTCAGGTTGGAGCAAGGAGCAGAGCCGTGGACTGTTGGAGCACCCCCAAACGGGAGCCTCTCAGGTCAGTCAGGGCTGATGGGCATGGGGGCTGGGGAGAGGGGCGCCACTGCATGGTCCGTGTGGAGCTGTCTGTCACCATGTTTTCATCTAGGACCAGCCCCTAGGCAGGTAGCCTGCATGTGCCAGCCTCATTCATTATTATGCTCCAACAGGCTCCCTTTCATGAATTTCTCCCTCTTTATTCTTTTCAAGCCTTTTAAAAATTTTTTTTGTTTATTTTTACATAGAAGAACTGGGGTGTAGGCCAGAGGTGCAGAGGGTGAGAGGATTCCCCAGAGAGAGAGTGGGGAGCAAGCCAGCTCTACTGCAATCCATTGCTGAGGGGAGCAGCGGGAAGACAGGAGAGGTCTGCTGTGCCATGTGGGTCAGCTCCCTGGCCTGGGATCGAACTCAGGGTGCAGTGGCTGCCAATAGCTTGATAGCACTGAGACTTAACCCCCAGGCCACTAGGGAGGCCCTCTCCCTCTTTTTTCTTAATGACTGCAGATGTTCTTAGACTTACCAAAAGCCAGTCACTACCTAGCTTCTCATCCTGTGTTGGTCCCTGCCTCTAGATTCTTAGTTGCCCCCAGTTCCTCCATTCTCAATCTGTTTGCTCCAGCCCTTTGTGCATACATTTGTTAATTCTTCCAACGTGCTAATTGGGAGGTTTTCAACGCTGCTTATTGCTGTACCTCTGCTGATGTTAACCGTAATCAAACTACTTTATCTCTTTTTTTAGAGAGCTTAAATTTGTTGGTGGAGAAAGTAAATACACATGTTAAGTAGTGAAAGAAGAGCCACAATTAAAGTTTAAACATAGTGAGAGGTAGCAATGGGGGCATTATTTTAATAATGGACCTCGGGAGGCACTTTTAGGGAGATAATATGTGAAGTGTTTGCCTGAGTAGAGCTTAACTTGGAGACGAGTGTTTTCCATTTTGACATAAATTTTAGGTGCAGATACCAGTTGGGATAGAGTGTGCATCACCACTGGGGGAGGCCCAGTGAGGGAATCTTTCACTCAGATGTGAAGGAGTAGGGAGGTTCCTGGGCAGCAATTAGGGCCTGGCAGAGACATCTGGGACATGCCTGTGGACCAAGCTTAGCCTCCAAGAAGCTGAGCAGGACTCAGCCGGCTGCTCACCTGGGAAAGGTGCAGGCGTTACCTGGGGGAGAAAGTTTGTTTCTCCTCTGGAGCCAAGAACTTTAGACTGGGGGACTCACATTTTGGGAGCGCAATTTCAAGTTAGCATTTTCACTTTCTTTTGTGGAAATTATAAAAAGGAAAAAAAAGCCACAACATAATAAGAAACAAAGAAGGAACTCTACTTTCTTTTTTTTTTAATATTTTATTTTATTTTATATATTTTTTACATCATTTTTCATTTTTGCACAATGTATGCATTTTCATCTTGGTTATATTCCCCATACAGTTCCCACCCCCTATTTTGACTAATCCCTCCTCCCCCCGCTGCCCCCCCCCCCCGCCCCATAGTGTGTCTCTGGTTTATTGTTGATTTTGATTTTTACTTTATTATAATTAGTCTTTTTCCTGGTCCCTTATTTAGGTTTTCTAAATTCCTGCTATGAGAGAGACCATCTGGTATTTTTCTTTTTCTTTCTGGCTTATTTCGCTGAGCATGATCCCTTCCAGCTCCATCCAAATTGCTGCAAATTGCATGAGTTTATCTTTTTTGTTTGCTGAGTAATATTCCATTGTGTATATGTACTACTTTTTTTTTAAGATTATTTATTTATTTATTTATTTGTTTATTTATTTATTTATACAAGCACTGGGTATAGTCAGAAGCGCGGGAGGGTGAGAGAATTCACAGAGCCAGAGCGGGGAGCAGAGCAGGCAGAAAGACCGAAGTACACTGCTGAGGGGAGCAGCGGGCGGCAGGAGAGGTCTGCACGCCATGTGGGACCCTCCTCCGGTAGCTGGGGTGCAGCTTGGGATCGAACTGACACTGCAGAGGCTGCAGAGGCTGTGGGCAGCTTCGCAACCCCGCGCTCAACCACTGTGCCTCCTGGGAGGCCCTATGTACTACTTCTTGATCCAGTCATCTATTTTGGGGCATTTGGGTTGTTTCCATAGCTTACCTATTATAAATAGTGCTGCTATAAACATAGGGGTGCAGGTACCCTTTTGAACTAATGATTCTGTGTCCTTTGGGTAAATACCTAGGAGTGGAATTGCTGGGTCATATGGAAGTTCCCTCTTTAGCAGGTTGAGGAATCTCCACACAGCTTTCCATAGTGGTTGGACCAGTTTGCACTCCCACCAGCAGTGCAGGAGAGTTCCTTTTTGTCTGCAGCCTCGCCAACATATGTTGTAGCTAGTTTTTTAATTTTTATTTATTTTTATTTTATTTTTTAAAGATTTATTTTATTCATGCATACAAGAACCAAGGCATAGGCCAGATGTGCAGGAGGGTGAGAGGATTCACCAGAGACAGAGCGGGGAGCAGAACAGCAGATCTACTGAAATACACTGCTGAGGGGAGCAGCGGGCAAATCAGGAGAGGTCTGCCGCGCCATGTGGGATTCTCGCCGACTGGCTGGGATCGAACCCGTACTGCAGAGGCTGCGGACAGGTTCACAGTGCTGTGCTCAACTGCCTGCGCCACCAGGGGAGGGCTGCTAGTTTTTTAAATATGAGCCATTCTCACTGGTGTAAGATGGTATCTCATTGTGGTTTTGATTTGCATTTCCCTGATTACAAGTGATGCTGAACATTTTTTCATATGCCTGTTGGCCATTTGCACTTCCTCTTTGGAGAAGTTCCCTTTTAGCTCTTCTGCCCATTTTTTTACTGGATTATTTACTTTGTTTTTGTTGAGTCTCATCAGCTGTTTGCAGATTTTTGTGATCAGTCGTTTATCATTAGTGTTGTATGCAAAAATTTTCTTCCAGTCGGTGGGGTGTCTCTTTGTTTTGGTTACTGTCTCTTTTGCTGTACAGAAGCTCTTTAATTTGATATCATCCCAGCTGTTTATCTTTGCCTTCGCTATCACTGATTTGAGTGATGAGTTTTTAAAGATGTTGCTGAGGTGTATGTCATGTAGTGTTTTGCCTATATTTCCTTCTATATATTATATGGTTTCAGGTCTTATGTCTAGTTCTTTAATCCATTTTGAGTTGGTTTTTGTGCATGGTGTTAGGTAGTAGTCAAGCTTCATTCTTTTGAATGTAGCAACCCAGTTTTCCCAGCACCATTTATTGAACAAGCTTTCTTTGCTCCATTGCATATTCTTTGCTCCTTTGTCAAAGATTAATTGACCGTAAATCTGTGGATTTATTTCTGGATTTTCTATTCAGTTCCATGGGTCTCTGTGTCTGTTCTTGTTCCAGTACCATGCAGTTTTGATTGTTATGGCTTTGTAGTGTAGTTTGGAATCTGGGAGTGTGATGCCTTCATTCCCTTCTTTTTTTTTTTTTCTGGAGAGCTTTGGCTATTCGGGGTTTTTGGTGGCTCCATATGAATTTCATCAATATTTGTTCTATTTCTTTGAAGAATGTCATTGAAATTTTTTTGGAATAGCATTGAATCTGTACATTGCTTTTGGTAGGATGGCCATTTTGATCATGTTAATTCTTCCAGTCCATGAGCAGGGGATGCCTTTCTATTTCTTTGTGTCTTCTTCTATTTCTTTTAACAGTGTTTTATAGTTTTCTTTGTATAGGTCCTTTACCTCTTTTCTTAGGTTTATTCCCAAGTATTTGATTTTTTTTTGTTTCAATTATAAAAGGGATGGTTTTCTTGATTTCTTCTTCTTCAGATTTATTGAGGAACTCTACTTTCACTGTAACTGAAAGACTCCAGAAACTCCCCCATACAATATAAAAGTCTTCAGAATCAGTGAATTATCAAGTAGGGACTCTGGTACCAACCAGGACGCCGGGGTGGAGGGGGGCATGTCAGGGATCCTGATTTCAGAATAAGCTAGAATAAGGCTTCTCAGAGGTGGTGGGCACAGCATAGGTTGCAGAACCTAAAATCAGCAAGGAAATGTACAAAATGGCGTGTTTCTGCTGTGTTTCCAGAAGCTAGTGATGTAGTATTGAATTTGGAATTTGCAGAGAGCTGTCTTTTGTAATGTGGAGTAGCTAACTCGTATCTGAGAAAGCCGACCGATGCCCACAGCTTCCCCCAGGGTGTAGAAACCCCTCCACAAATGCGGATACAAAATCCTTATTCCTCTGCGGCATTCCTGCTTAGATGGCAGACAAGTGTCCCGCCCCTGAGTCAGTGTGTTACAGATCCAGGAAAATAGTGCCATTTTTTAATATTGTGTCATCAGGAAAGTTAATCACAAGAGCTCCACAGATAGTATAAGGGGAAAAAAAGTGAAAAAGACTGGAAAAAGAAATGCCAGGGGCAAAGCTCTCAGCTGAAATCTGAAATTACAGAGGAAGTAAGTATTTTGGCCAAATATTTTGTCTTGATTTTAATTTTTTTTAAAGATTTATTTATTTATTTATACAAGCACTGGGTACAGTCAGAATCGCGGGAGGGTGAGAGAATTCACCAGAGCCAGAGCGGGGAGCAGAGCAGGCAGAAGGACCAAAGTACACTGCTGAGGGGAGCAGTGGGCAGCAGGAGAGGTCTGCGCGCCATGGGGGACCCTCCTCTGGTGGCCGGGGAGCAGCCGGGGATCGAACCAGCACTGCAGAGGCTGCGGGCAGCCTCACAACCCAGCGCTCAACCACTGCGCCACCGGGGAGGCCCTGATTTTAATTTTTTTATGTTATCTGAATAGGGAGAAAAATCATCATAAAATCAATTCTTTTTTTTTTTTTTTGGCATTATAAAATCAGTTCTTAATTTCTGCACTAGTATAAGAAAGAGACGTCTATTTTTATATTTGCGTTCACATGAAGTGCTTCGTTGTTTATGGAAATGGTTATTTTCTTCTCGTTTCAGATGTCCAGACTGTGGGTGGCCTGCCTGAGAACAGCCCAGAAAACCAGAGAAGACATCTGTGGCGTGTCGCCCTCACCAACAGCAAAACATCCGATTTTGAAAGAAGTGACTTAGGAGCAGAAATTTATTTGAGCTCAGGGCTTGTTTCAAAATTGATTTTAAATAGCAATGGAAGCTGTTCAGTGATGGTACCTGAAGAGATTCAGGCATGTGAGATGTCTCTCCCTTGGGAGCCTGTTAAGTTGCACACTGATGGGAAAGCTGAGGGCCATGAGGTAAGTGGGCAACCCCTCCAGTGTCTGGAGCTTACAGGTCTTTACCACAGGAGTCAAAGTGGGCAGCGACCTTTTGATGGTAGTGGAAAATGGAAAGTCTTCAACAACAACATAGTATTCCCACCTAGAAGGAGTCTCCGGGGCGAGACCCGCTATAAATGTAAAGGATTTGGGAAAGACTGTGACAGGTCAGTTGTCACTGCCCAAGAGCGAGCCTCCAAAGAGGAGACTCCTGATAGAGGTAATAAATGGGGAAAGACCTTTTTGGAAAAAGCAACAAAATCAAGTCTTCATAGAGTTCATCTTGAGGACCATCAAAAATGTAATCAGAGTGGGAATGATGTCAATAAAAAGTTACACCTCGTTCACCTCCAGCGATCTCAGTTAGGGGGGAAATCTGACTATAATGTATCTGTTAATACTCCCTATAAATTGCCTAAGCTCAGTAAATCTCAGAAAACACATATAGGTGAGAAAGTCTACGAATGCGAAGAATGTAGGAAACGTTTCTATCATAAGTCAGCCATCAGAAGACATCAGAAAACTCACACGGGAGTAAAACCCTATGAATGTAAAGAGTGTAGGAAACCATTCTCCTGGAAGTCAGCCCTCACCAGGCATCAGATAATACACACAAGTGAAAAGCCCTATAAATGTAAAGAATGTAGTAAAACTTTCAACTGGAAGTCAGCCTTCACGGTACATCAGAGGAGCCACAGAAGTGAGAAACCTTACGAATGTGAAGAATGTAGGAAAGGTTTCTACCACAAGTCATCCTTCAATAGACACCAGAGAATTCACACAGGAGAGAAACCCTATGAATGCAATGAATGTATGAAAACTTTCTGCTACGTGTCAGAACTCACTGTACATCAGAGAATTCATACAGGAGAGAAGCCCTATGAGTGTAAAGAATGTAGGAAAACATTCTCTCAGAAGTCAGAACTCACTGTTCATCTGCGAATTCACACTGGCGAGAAACCCTATGAATGTAAAGAATGTAGGAAAACTTTCTATCATAAGTCATCCCTCACTGTCCATCAGAGAACACACACAGGGGAGAAACACTATGAATGTAAAGTATGTAGAAAATCTTTCTACCAGAAATCAACCCTCACTGTACATCACAGAACTCACACAGGAGAGAAACCGTATGGATGTGAAGAATGTACAAAAACTTTCTACTCCAAGTCAGAACTTACTAAGCATCAGAGAATTCACACAGGTGAGAAGCCCTATGAATGTAAAGAGTGTAGGAAATCTTTCCACTGGAAGTCCGGCCTCACTGTACATGAGAAGACTCACACGGGAGAGAAGCCCTATGAATGTAAAGAGTGTAGGAAGACTTTCTACCTCAAGTCATCCTTCAATAGGCATCAGAGATCGCACACAGGCGAGAAGCCCTATGAATGTAAAGTGTGCAGGAAAACTTTCTGCTACTTGTCAGAGCTCACTATACATCAAAGAACTCACACAGGAGAGAAGCCTTATGAATGTACGCAATGTAAGAAATCTTTCTATCAGAAATCAACCCTCAGTCGGCATCAGAGAATCCACACAGGAGAGAAATGTTATGAATGTTACGAATGTAGAAAAACTTTCTACCAGAAATCCTCCCTGGACAGGCATCAAAGAATTCACACGGGAGAGAGACCCTATGAGCATAAAGCAAGAAATATTTCTCTCATGAGTGAGCCCTCACTTTATGTTCCAGAACTCACAGAGGGGCTCGGTCCCGTGTGGCAGAGTGTAACTGAGTGAGTGATCACTAAATTCAGCTTTTGTTCTACAACAGCCTGCATTTCTCATCCTTCATTTATCTTGGGTGGGACATTGTGACCGAGCCTGGTCCAGAAGAAAATGAACACAAATGATGAGTATTTCTACCAAGATGTGTTTCTAAGTTTTTAATGCCATGTGACTCTGAAGTGCAGATGGCTGTCAGGCTTTCCCTTGGGAGCCAAACATGAGATGCCTCCATGGCTGGAACAGAGGGGACGGATTGGGAAGCACACTCTCACTCTACCTCAGACGTCTCCCTTGTACTTTTCCTGAGTGAGAAATATTTACTCTGTCTAGTCCTTTTGTGTATGATCTTTTCATAGCACTACCAGGCCAGAGGGATGAGCTTGCTATATTGAGCTCTTACTGCCTCTGTATCAATTTACCAGCCCATGTAGGAAATGCATACGGGATAGAACCTGTGTTGGTACCTTTCATCTCTAGCCCATCGATGGAAGTCCAGAATGATCGTCAGGAGACACAGGACAAGACTGAATGTCTTTACCATGCAGGGTGTGCTCACTGAGCACTGAGAATAATCCCAGGCCTTACAAATACATTTCATGTGTCGAAGGTCCAAGCTTATCTACATATCTATAGAAATTTCTATATATGTCAGGTTTTCTTCGTGAAGTTTAGGTAATTCAGATGACAATTTTCAGAAAGAAATGTTAAATACTAATTGAAAAATTTCTAAACCTTGTCTAGAGACCAGTAGTTCTCCTCTGGGGGTGATTCGATGTCCAGGGGACAGTGCTCTGAGCTCCAGTGTCAATTTCATTTCTATTTTTCAGGGCAGTTGAAGGGCCTCGAAGGTTGTAAGGGGTGGAGAATAGAGTCTTGTCTCAGTGTGACTGTTGTGAGAGCACATTACCGAATAGTGTGGGGATGGGATGCTTTCATGTCATCATCTTTGGCAGTTACAGAAACACACTGTCCACTCTGTGGCCACTGAGGAACGTGACTTCCATTTGCAACAATACCAAGTATCCCCACCATCTAATGTCACAAATGTCGTCTTGGAATCCAGTGTTTTGTTAATCTGTATCATGTGTGTATATGTCAGTCTCTGCACAGCTCCTCTGTGTGCTGAATATCAATCTGAAGAGGCATGGTCTGAAGTGACCAGTTACCTGTCCTGGACACAGGTCCTGGGCACAGGTTGAAAAGGTGACATCTGTTAATCAGTCATTAAAATGGAGCTGGGAGCTGTTCACCAGGTTAAAGATCTTTGGACTGGACCAGATCCAATTGTATCAAACAAATTTTTTTAAATAAAAAGAAAAAAATATTAAGCAATTATCCGAGAAGTCTTCGTTCCCTCTTCCTCTTTTCTGGAGAATCCATAACCAATTACTAAGACTAATTCTGTTAATACTAATCAACTTTAAAAAAAAAAAAAAACATTTGGCTCATCTTCCTCTTTTCCTCACGTAAAACCTCTTGACATTATCCTTCTTGGGAACAAATTTTAGGTTTCTAGTACCTTGGATTGTACTTCTTTGATCCAAAATTAATGTTCTTTGATCCCAAATTAATGTTTACTGGCCTGAATTGTAGGTGGACGTTGGCACAGAAATAAGATACTCACAGATGGTTCCTTGAAGGAATAGGAGGACTAGGTGACACTCATTCGTTGGATGATACCCCCTCATTTAAGCTGCCAATCTTGTCTGATGCTGAGAGGATTGTTGTCATGGTCCCCAAACCTTTCTTTGTATGATTTGGGAATTGATTAATCTCCTTGGGGCTCCTGCTTACCGTGGGTTCAAAAGAGCATGTCTTGGTGGTTGGCATTTTATAACAGCTTGTGCTGTGTGCTGGAGGGATTGCTGCTTTGACATCTGTTCTCCCTAGCAGGGGTGTATTTTTCTATGGTTCTGTTGCTCTTTGGCTTGATCAGAGCAGGGGCTGTTGTGATGTGTTTGGGTGTCTTCTGTCCTGGGTGTTTGTCCTCAACATAGAACTAAGACAGGAGCTCATTTGGGAAGCCGCGCCCGACACACAATTGTGGGGGTGGGAAAATGAGAGAAGAGGGAGGAAACACCTTGGAGGTTGTGCCGAGGAGCTGCTGTCCGAGGGAGCGAGGGGACCCCCTGTAAGGAGCTTAGCCTGTTCATAGCTCACCAAAGAGTAAAAAAGGAAAGTAAATAGAAGTATAAGGAGTCCTTGCAGACTGTCAGTTTCTGCAAGTGTCTAGTTGACATGCAGCCACATGGGAAATACCTGGAAATCATTAGAAATGTGGAGGTTGGTGACAGTATCTTGCTGGAGCTGTAAAATGAGTTAAATATAGGGCCTCCCTGGTGGCCTAGGGGTGAAGTCTCAGCGCTATCACCACTATGGTCTGAGTTCAATCCCCGGCCACGGAGCTGACCACATGGTGCACCTCTCCTATCTCCCAGCTGCTCCCCTCAGCGGTGTCTTTCAGTAGATCTGCCTGTTATGCTCCCCACTCTGGCTCTGGGGACTCCTCTCACCCCCTTCCTCTCTGGCCTACACCCCAGCTCTTCTACAAAGTAATCTTTAAAAACAACTAAGTGCAAAATGTATTTTTTTTAAGATTTATTTATTCATACAAGCACTGGATACAGTCAGAAGCGCGGGAGGGCGAGAGAATTCACCAGAGCCAGAGCGGGGAGCAGAGCAGGCAGAAGGACCGGAGTACACTGCTGAGGGGAGCAGCGGGCAGCAGGAGAGGTCTGCGCCCCATGTGGGACCCTCCTTCTGTGGCCGGGGAGCAGCCAGGGATCGAACCGGTGCTGCAGAGGCTGCGGGCAGCTTCACAACCCAGCGCTCAATCGCTGCGCCACCGGGGAGGCCCAAAATGTATTCTTGTGAAAAATTTCATGTCTTCATCCTATGAGACCTACAGATCAACACTAGGGGAGGAAATGTATGTTTATCTCACAACATTTGATAAAATCAACCCCTTGTCTCCAGCCATCCATCTACAACCCTCTTAAATCTTAATGTCTAAATACAGAAAATCAAGTGTCAAATGCCACCAAAACCATGTCCTTGAGTGGTGTTTACTCTTCTCTTGGAAGTCCTGTAACTTAAACACTCTGATGCAGTTGGCAATACTCAGACACTATGATATGAAGTTAATGTATCTCTGTTACATCACAGGGGGAACAATTTAACAGCAAAGAACAAAAAATAAACATAGTAACAGAAGAGGAGAACAAAAAACAAAAGTAACAACAGGAGACTGCAGGGAAGATAATCACACACAAATGTAACCACAAAAGGAGGAGGAAGAGACAGTCAAGACAGAGTCATCATGTCCACCTGGTCTCCAAGTCACAGTTGTCTGTTCCCTCCCACTCCTCGTGGTCACCTTTGCCTTCAGCAGGCACTGAAGTTTTGTCAACTTCTTTGCCTAAAGTGACCCAAAACTTGATTCCTGAATGCTCTGACCCACCATAGTCCTGCCTGTGCTGGGTTGTTAATTTTCCATTGGTTTTAATCCCAGCAGAAAGTAACACTGAAGGGAACTAAGGGCTCTCCTTTCACACTATTCTGCTTACCTCCCCTGCTCCTTGGGGTAGGATCCAGTGTTTCTGTGGAAACACTATTTAACCTCACCATTGGATTCCTTTCATTGGGTTGCAAACCAGAGTCCCAAAGTTCTAAGTAAGCCATTGCAGAAACCGTGGTAAAGGCCCAGGCCTCATGCCATCAAGGACCCCCATCCTTGGCCATGTCTGAGGCCAGGGTGAGGGCGCGCACCTGGGGAGCCCGGGCGGAGCATCCATGCACAAGGAATTTAACGCAATTTAGTAAAAGGTCCTTTGAAACACAAGCGCAAGGAATCTTTCACAGACTCACGAGGCCTTCACCCACTCTGCGAGAACAAGAGCCACAGCAACAGAGATGAAACACGTGCCATTCACACGGTTAGAAAGAGTTGAACAAAAAAGGTGGCGAGCTGACCTCCTCCCAATCTCCCTTTAGGACACACACTCAGGGGAGAGCGCGGGCGCAGACCCACCGCCACACCTGACGCTGCGAGTTTCCCGCAGGTGGGGAAGCCGCAGGGGTCGGCACGCCCGGGGCGCAGCGGACCAGCCTCGCCCTGGGAGAACCACCTTCGTGATCGTGATCGTCGTGTCTCCCCTGCCAGGTAAGTAGGAGCGGCCCGCGCGCCGCCGCGTGCGCCCGGCTCCCCGCCTCGCTCTGCACCCACAGCTCGGCTCGCGCCGCCCGCCCACCCCGACGCCCGCGACGGCCCTCGCCCCAACCTCGCCGGGCCCGAAAACACTCCGGGGGGCACTTGCGCCCCCAGATCAGCCCGCTCAGGGCCAAGCGCAGCAGACCCAGCTTCCTCCGCGCGCTGCTCCTCTGCATCCGCCACGCCCTCCATGCGCGCGGTCTGGTTCGTGCCCCAACCAGGCTGGAAGAGTAGAGAGCACCCGGGGGAAGTCCTGGAGCAAATAAGAAAGAAGGACGAGGGGAGGTTTTTATCAATGGCCAGTGGGGAACAATTTGTGATGATGGGTGGACTGATAAAGATGCAGCCGTCATCTGTCGACAGCTTGGCTACAAGTAAGGCCAACCTGATTATTTATTTATTTTTTTAAAGATTTATTTATTTATACAAGCACTGGGTACAGTCAGAAGCGCGGGAGGGTGAGAGAATTCACCAGAGCCAGAGCGGGGAGCAGAGCAGGCAGAAGGACCGAAGTACACTGCTGAGGGGGGCAGCGGGCGGCAGGAGAGGTCTGCGCGCCATGCGGGACCCTCCTCCGGTGGCCGGGGAGCAGCCGGGGATTGAACCGGCGCTGCAGAGGCTGCGGGCAGCTTCGCAACCCAGCGCTCAACCGCTGCGCCACCGGGGAGGCCCCAAACCTGATGATTTGGGATGGTTACTTGATGAATATTGACAAGTCTTGACAAGACTTGACCAGTCTTTTTCAGACTTGTCCTAATGAATTTTTTCTTACCTGAAATTAACTATATCATCCCATTGAAAATACTGACAGCATGCTGATTTCATTCAGAATTATAAATAATACTACAGGGCTAGAGGGCTAGAGGGCTAGAGGGCTAATAATACTAAATAGGGCTAATAATACTAAATAGCATCGATTTACATTTTCTTTCTTCTCTCAAGGAATGTACATGTCTCATAAGTAACGAAGTCTTTATTTAATGATGAAATAGTTTAATATTCTTGACTGTTCATAATACTGCTTCTGTCAGCCAAAGGTATTAGCTTTTTCTCTGTGGTTTAGGTGGTTCTTTATTCACAGTGGTTATGCTCTATCAAGTCACTCCGAACACTGAATTAGCAAGTGGTGAGCCATCGCTGCTGGAACTGAGTTTGAACCAAGGAATCTTTTTCTGTCCTCTTTTAGTTCTCATGCTTGCAAACAGTTGTCCTTTTGCAGTCAAGTTTGTGTCATTTATTTATTTATTTATTTGCATTTTGGTTGATAATCTCACTGTTGCCTTATGGAGACAATCTACATGTTAGATAATCTTCATTGGGGCATGAGTAATAGTATAAAAAATGTAGCCCTAACTAGCTGGGAAAGGATACTTGTTTACAATTTGAGAGTTGAAATGAAAAGACCTATCATCTCAGCTAGGTACCTCAAAATTTTTGAGGCTGTGTGCGTGTCTGCACCCAATTTCTGTAAGTATTGATTTGGGAACTGCAAATACATAGCCCATGTTACAGTTTAGAGAGTTATCAAATTTTAGCTAATAGTGGTTTGAATTTTAAAATATGTCCTGAATTAGCTGTTTGCATACCATAAATATTGATAAATTAATTGTTATTCCTATGCAGAATATCATTTTTATTTTTAAAAGTATTTTTATCTTAATAGTAGTGCAAATGTTTTTTCTAAAGCTTTCTTTTAGATTATTCAGGTACTATATACTTCAATTTGCTGTTTAGTTTTGGACCTCATGCCACTCCAGTTGCCCTGTTGTCAGTAGGTCCACTGTTTATAATAGAAATTTTCAGCTTTCAAAATATGGGCCAGTAGGAAGAGGCCACATTAAATGACTCAGTGAAGTCAGTCAATGATTTCAGTTTTCTTTGCTCAATACATGTTTAACACTCCACCCTCCATTTGTAAAGAAAAAAAATATTTTTACATTTTCAGTGAAATGCCTTATCCAAAAATCAGCCATCAGAGTATATTCCTGTTTGAAATGGATTTTGGCCATACTTTTATTTTTTGGTATGGATGATCCAGGAATTCTAGTATTACCTTTGTAAATATAAAGGGAGATATCAAATTTGATGCTTGAATTGTATGGTAAATCATGTTTAAGGGGAAAAAGAGTTCCTAAGCATATTTGTGAAATTTAATTTCTACATTTTTTATTGCTTCTGATTTATCTTTATTTAACCCACTTTACATTTTATCTTAGATGATGAGCTTAGTTTGTAGCAGTTTTCAATAATATTCATTAATATTCCTTTAACAATTATCAAGAAAAGCATCCAAATATCTCACATTGTAATTGCTTTTTGAATAGTCTTTTAAGAAGTGAATCAGTAAGTTAGTTATTACAGCAAATTGGATAATTATCTTCTAGTGCACAATCTGTAATTTGCCATCAAATAGTTTTTAAATGAGAAGCATTTAAATATTTGATCAATTTAAATATGTTTGAATGTTTTATTATAATTTTCCACTAATGGGAAATGCGATTTCATAAAAGAACATGTAGTCTGAAGAGGTGGGAACCAATACCCCTACATCATTAAGTGTTGTAAACCAACATTATCACAAGTAAAAAAAAAAGAACATCTATATAATTTACAAATAGACATGAGACTAGGGTAGGGGATCTTTCCCCCATATATACTCTATACCAACAAATATATTTGTAGATATCTATTGCAAATATAGTCATCAACTTTAAAGCTTTATCTTTTCACTCTCCTTAGGGTGGTTTTCAGTAAAGTAGCATTTTTAATTTAAATTTTTGTTGAAATTAATAATGTTTTAGTTAAGCTATACCATCTTTGTCTTGATTTGTTATCTTAAATATTTATTAATAAATCTTTCCTTCATCTGAGGTTATAAGAAAAAACTTCCTGTGATTCAAACATTAACATTTTTACCTTTCATAATAATGTGACTAATTGTTCAAGTATTGAGTTTTGAATGTTAGTTTGAAATCTTTCATGAAAGCTTTAGTGTGAATTTTTCAAAGTGTTGTGTTATTAAAAAAAAGTACCATACCAAAAATAATCCTGCCTTCTATTCATGATTCCTGGTGTTCTCTTTCTATGTTCAAAATTATACTTTCATACTTCTAAGTGAGGCAAAAAATTAGTTCTTAGCTCCCTAGGTAATTATTTATTAATATCTTCATTTTCTTGGAAATATACCAATTTGAAGAGAGCATTATTCTCTGTAAGGGGAAATAAGATTTGGGATTTCCTGCTTAAAACAAAGGTTTAAGACTGGCAGGATTCTTGGATGTGCCAATAAATGTGACTTGCTGAGCAGAAGCTAAATTAAAGGCAACTGATATGATACAAAAGCTCTGGGGTATGATAACAAAGAGGATGTAGTTACACCTCTCTGAAGCTTTTCTTTTTTTTTGACAGAGTCAAGAAATAAATGATCTTTTAATACGTATAGATGCTGATTTTAATATATAAAAGTTACAACATATAATTTAATGAGAGTTTATGTTATGATTTATTCACATGTGTGATTGATTCCCCACACCCTCAAGAATGCTGTGTTTCCAGGGGTCCTGCCAGAGCAAGAACTATGGCTTATTTTGGGGAAGGAAAAGGACCCATACACGTGGATAATGTGAAATGCACAGGAAATGAGAGGTCCCTGGCCGACTGTATCAAACAAGATATTGGAAGACACAACTGCCGTCACAGTGAAGATGCAGGAGTTATTTGTGACTATGTAAGCAAGAAAGCATCCGCTAACAGTCATAAAGGTAGGTGTTCTTTTGCGGCCCTAAACAGAGAAATACCTCCAATGCACAGTTTGTTTCTGTAAGCAATACTACTGTAACAAAGAGTTCTCTTCCACAAGAATTAATAGAATTCCTTTTCCTTGTGCTAGTATTTAGAATCAGTGATTCTGGATGAACTTGCATGAATGGGCTTACAGGGATAGCAGGGTTCAGGGGAAGAGGTAGATTTAAAAGGCTTTGTAATCTCTGGGGTGACCCCTTTTCTATAGTCTCAGTCAATTTTAAAATAAAACAAAATTTGACAATTTGATGTCCTTGAAAATTCATTCTTTCATGAAAAGGAGGAAAGAAATAGTCACAAAAAGGCACTTCTAGTCTTAATAATATTTTAAACAACAGGGAAATTATTTTTTTAAGATTTATTTATTTATACAAGAACTGGGGTATAAGCCAGAGGCTCAGGAGGATGAGAGGATTCACCAGAGACAGTGTGGGGAACAGAAAAGGCAGACAGACCAAAAACATTGTTGAGGGGAGCAGTGGGTGAGATAGGAGAGGTCTGCTGTGCCATGTGGGTATCTCCCTGGCCGACCAGGAATCAAACCTGCGCTGCAGAGGCTGCGGACAAACTTCATTGTGCTGCATTCAGCCCACTGCACCACCAGGGAAGCCCTGGGAAATTCTTTTTAATTAATCGCAAAAGTGACAATTATCTTTTGAACATTTTATCCTTTGAAATTTAAAAGCATATGGAGGTCCTCCCCGGTGGCGCAGCGGTTGAGCGCTGGGTTGCGAAGCTGCCCGCAGCCTCTGCAGCGCTGGTTCGATCCCCGGCTGCTCCCTGGCCACCGGAGGAGGGTCCCACATGGCGCGCAGACCTCTCCTGCCGCCCGCTGCTCCCCTCAGCAGTGTCCTTCGGTCCTTCTGCCTGCTCTGCTCCCCGCTCTGGTTCTGGTGAATTCTCTTACCCTCCTGCGCTTCTGACTGTACCCAGTGCTTGTATAAATAAATACATCTTAGAAAAAAAAAAAGAATTTCTATAAAAAAAAATAAAAGCATATGGAAAATGAGAAGTAATTTCTTAGTATACTTAGTATAATATAGTTTGTATAATATAGTATAATAGATGTCTTGTAGGTAAGTAAATAGAAGAGTTCTTGAAAACTCTGAGTTCTTCATTACATCAGTACTGTTTTAAATAAATGAGGAGAAAAACTAGCTATTTTGGAGAAAAGTGTGGTTATATTTTACAAAAGCATCAATTGCCTGTTTGTGTGAATTGTCAGTTCACAATTTTGGTACACAGGATTTTCTTACAAGCACACGCATTTACACTGGAGCATGCACTTTTTATAACATCTTTTAATAACTTTTAATAGAAATAATGCAAACAAATAAATTTGACGTTATTATTTTTTGTTTTTGAGGGACTTTTGTGTATGTCGAACACTTTATAACCCTCATGTTTTGTCTATGTTGTTCTATTATATATGTTGTGGATTTATTATCTGTGTTATTTAACATAAATGATTATATTTATGTTAGAAGGATACTTTGCTAAACCGATTTTTCCTAAATATTGATTACAACTTAATTTGTATAAATTGAATAAATTTCAATAATTTAAACTGCAGTAGAAAAACATAAAACTTCAATAATTACAAAATGTTTTATTTATTTCCTCATTGTTTGCACACTTATTGTTATGCATTTCTACAGCTGTAGTAAGACTTACTCTGATGTATTTCCATGGTTTTAGTGCTACCATTCCTCAAGTTAAAACATTTCATTTCAGACCAGCTAGATTACAGCATCTGGCTTGCTTGCCTTTTGTTGAGGCTTAATAACTGCTTACTTCATAAAGTAATTAAAATGCAAGCCATTGGTTATTGGTCATGTGCTGAGATCCTTTCATAAATGAAATTAATTCTGTTCTTTAATCTTGTTATGACAGTGTATTTTATGGCTTGAAATAGACTTTCTTGCAATCCGGTGCTACTCCCCAGAATGATGTAAGCTTTAAGTTCGGCTTGCTTAGTATTACATCATCCCTTGTCTTGGCATTATGTACATTGACCTGACTTGGAACGTTATTGAAAACTTGTGCTTTATAATTTTCTATAATTTGTAGTGTCATCTAGAGGACTCATGTCCTAACAAATGAGGCTCAAGTTTGACAATGTCCCTCTGAGGTCATTTGGCAAATTAATCAGCTTGCTACACAATGCAAATCCTCTTTCTCCATCAAGAAATAACAAGTGCTGATTCCCTACTGGGCTCTGGGCTACTTGATTGTTATCAGAGACCATGAGTACTGGCAAGGTTTCATATTCTTGTCACAAATCCACCCCCTCCTTCTGTCTTTTCACAGAGAGAAAACCAGTGCCTATCTACACTTATTTACATCTTCTTAATAAATGAAACGAAATATCCCAATAAAATGCCACTTCCTTATGATTTTGGAAAACAGTCTATACCTTGTTATATTTATCCTTCTTTTGTACACCAGCTTTCTTGTATTTTTTAAATTTGACTCTTCCTTTTTATGCTCTGTTAACAGAAGTCTGTTACCTTAGGGAAATGACTCTATGCCCTTAAATACAGTTTGATGCTTACGTTGGCTTTGCACACTCTTTCTGTAGATTAATATTCAATATGAATTCATGTAACTTCAGATCAGAAGTCCATCCTGTTAATTGACTTTGCTTCGCTGAGTTACTGTTGTATACGTAGCTTGGGGGAGTGTAGTATGTGAAAAGCAAGTAATTTAAACTGTCACTGCATTGGCAGATCTCTCATCTTATTTAATGCTACTGAACTCTAAGACGACCTCTGTAATCAGTCAGGAGAGGACAAGGTGTAGGCACTTACGGAATGATATGCTGGACAGGGTCAAGCCATCTTGCAACCTGTGGAGCCCCTTCAGAGCTGAATGTGGGAAACCCCATAAACTTCCCTGTAGGCTTGCAAATTTTATTACCTTGATTAAGTGAGAAAACAACTTTTTTATTTTTATTAGAGGAAAAAATTTCCTATAATTTGAAGAGAAAAGGCATCTTAAAATAGAGGCGGAAGCCACTGGGGGGGTTGTCACTTGTGTCTTTATCCCTCCCTCAGCAGTAAATGAGCTATTTCTGCTTCAGAGTCCTTCTCCTCGGTTTGTGGTTTGAGATTCCTGCACCGGCGGCAGAAGCGGATCATTGGTGGGAAAAATTCCTTAAGGTAAAGCGTTCTTCAGAAGAGAGAGTCCATGTTACAGAATTATTTGATAGTCATACAGGTTTAAAAAAGTGGGAATTTTCTACTGTTGCTTAAGGGATTTGTTTTATTCCCATTGTTCTCTAATAAAAGATATTTTGGAGTTAAATACAGATTACATTGATCATTTCACTGTTCTTGGACCTTCACTCACTCACTTTTTATAGACTTGGTTCTTCTATTATCACCCCTGATTTATATGACAGATGTGTTGCAGAGAAGCTATATGGAGAAACATAATAGCTGACAGAAGATTTGAAAAAAATGTGTCACTACAAGGATTCACTTAGTTTAGAATATGTTTGTTTCAGACTTGACTCAATAGAATTTTATTGTTTCTTTAATTTTCTATTGGAAAACCTGCACTTTGCTTACTAAATACTTCAGGCTGCTTAAGTGAGGTAGGAGAAGGGGAGAAAACACATTTGCAATCATGAAATATAAAGAAGCCTCAGGGCCTCCCCGGTGGCGCAGCAGTTGAGCGCTGGGTTGCAAAGCTGCCCGCAGCCTCTGCAGCGCCGGTTCGATCCCCGGCTGCTCCCCGGCCACGGCAGGAGGGTCCCACATGGCGCGCAGACCTCTCCTGCCGCCCGATGCTCCCCTCAGCAGTGTACTTCGGTCCTTCTGCCTGCTCTGTTCCCCGCTCTGGCTCTGGTGAATTCTGTCACCCTCCCGCGCTTCTGACTGTACCCAGTGCTTGAATAAATAAATAAATAAATCTTTAAAAAAAAAAAAAAAAAAAAAGAAGCCTCAACTTCCTTCTAAGAATGTCTAAGAGAGGGGGTGCTTCTAAATGCCTGTATGTAATTCTCCAGCATGCCAGCTCCAGGGTGGAGGGGCACCACTTTGCACCTAGGAAGGGTTTTGTGTCCTGGGGTCTCTTTCATGCTCCTATTTCTTCACCCAGAAGCCTCTGTGTCATTATTTTAATGAGCGCTTGTCTTGGCTTTTCTGTCTTTAACGACGTGGCTGTGTGCCGCCCTTTCTTCCTAGGGGCGGCTGGCCTTGGCAAGTGTCCCTCCGGCTGAAGTCTTCCCATGAAGATGGCAGGCTCCTTTGTGGGGCCACACTTCTGAGCAGCTGCTGGGTCCTCACAGCAGCGCACTGCTTCAAGAGGTATGTGCCCTTTCTTCCAAACAACTCTGCTTGCCTCTCACTTGCCAGTTCTAAAACATTTTTTCTATATTTATGTTTTTAATCTGATTACTGTTTATTTTGTATATGGTATATGGCACAAGGAAGGATTCAAATTACTTTTATTTATGGATAGTTTCCCCAGTACTTTTATTGAGCATTCCATGTTTATCCACTGATTTATGTCAACTCTGTCATATGCCAGGTTCTCATGTATCTCTGTTTCTGGGATCCCTGTTCACTTCCTCTTATCTAATCTTTCATGTTCATGGTGCAACAGAAGATAGACGCCTATGTTTTACATAGCCTTTGACATTTCTGGCATAATAATGGAGTTTGAGGGTTCACCTCTAGAGTAGCAGGTTTAATGCATTTGTGTATGACAGGAGTGATAGACGATGAAGATTATATAACAACAAGTAATTGCTCTGCTCCTAGTTTTCCTAAGGATGTTAGATCAGTAGAGATACAGTGCAGAACCAGACAGGAACCATGCTATCGTGAAAATTTTCTGTAGCTACAAGATCCCAGAGGAGAGAGACACCGATATTGTAAATATGATCTGATGAAGGAAAAAAAAAAAAGGACTTAGGGCACTGTGTTTAACTTGTGGACTTTTCACCACAATATTAGATGCATTTAGCTTTGTTAAGAATCCGGTCTCTGGGTCTCTATTCCATATCTACTGAGATCTGTGGAGGTGAGACCCAGGAGTCTGCATTCTTGCCAAGTCTCTCAGAAGAATCTGATGTACATTCAAAGTGCAGATGCATTTACTGAGTGGAGAGAATAAAAATGTGGTCTGGATGTTTGAAGAATGATGATGGAGAAGAATGCAGTAGGTTTGATGGGATACTTATCCTTGGCCTATACAACATGTGAATCATTTCACTGGAAAAGGACACTGATGGCAAGTTAATCACATTTTTGGATCCCTGGGGATCGGGAAGACAAATCATGTGTTGGAAAACAGAATCCACGATGACCAAAAATCTTGATGGGATGATTCTGGCGAGTAACATGGAATAAGGACGATGTAAAATGCCGCCTTTAGTTCCAGGAAATATGGCTTAAATGCAGCACAAGTGAAAAAGACCTCACAGGCAGTGGCATCCTTCCACTTAATATGTGATTGCCCATGAAGTTAGCAAGTGTTGGGCAGCACTGACAGAGCACTGTTCAGACAAAGCAGCGAAGAGCCTGGCTATTCTGTGTTCTTGTGCTCAGCTATTGTTGGGGACAAAAGCACTGTCACTCTCCAGCAGAGAGAACTGTGCTGCATTCTGGGTGTGGCAGGAATGTGATACACTCAGGAAGACAAGCAGCCAGGTGACAGCATGTGGAGTCCCACTGGTGCATTATCTGTGGCTTCAGTATCATGGGTGTTAATGAAAGATGGGATGATTTTCATTTTAACACAAGGAAGAGGTTCTTTGTGTTGTGTTTATTTCTTTAACTGTAGGGCTGCTGAAAGGTGAAATGGCCTGTGTGTGGGAGGAAGAATGAGTTCTGTTGTGAGGTCTGGTCAGAGAGGCTGGATTCTTCTATGAGTGGAGCTGGGGGTAGATGATGTCTGATTTAGAGCAGAGAGGGGAAAATGGAGCCAGCTGTACTGGAGGGATGGCAGCTATCAACTAGAGTAGCGATCTGGAATTTGTGTAGTAGACTCACTAGAGAGAAGCAGGAGGGTCTGGGATGTGAGGGGAATGAGTGTCTGTTCATTTACTAGGTGGTAGGAACCCGTTGAATGATTTTGAGGCTTGAAATCTGATCAAAGAGTAGTTTTAGGAGATGAGCCATTTGGGGATGTATGGGATAGGTAGAGGGGATCAAGTCCATTGATTAGGGGTCTGTGAATGAACTTTAAGCTACATGAGCAGATCTTTGGTAATATGCTTATATGCCTTTTTTCTGCAATGACTGAAATTGGTCTTGTGTTTCAGTGATTAAGATCCAGTGTGGTAGGAACTGGAGGGGGATAGGTTATAAAGTAGAAAGAAAAGGAGGGCGAGCAGGCAGGGGTACTATGATAGGAATCAACACTTGGTGCTGTGTAAGAGGAAGGGTAGACCTGCCCTCCCAACCAGGGTTACAATTCTAGCTCCTCTGATGGTTTATTGTTTAACTTGCGGAAATTACTGAACGTCTAGGGGCCTCAGTTTTTTCATTTGTAAGATGAAGGCAGTAACGTTCCACAGAGAAGTATGTGAAAGTAGTTGATAAAGTGTAAAATTCCAAACAGACATGGGCTGTTATTATGTTGGAGTTGAAAAACATGGACTCAAAGATTATTATTGGCAAAAATCAGGAACTCAAGATGATTTTATTCTACTCATCTATAGAGAAGACTGAGGTAAGAAACTGCAGAGATCTGGCCCTGGGGCTCAGAGCTTAGGCGATTAATTCACTTGGTCCTTAAAGATTGTTCTCATCATATTTAAGACTCTATCTTTCAAGTCTCTGCTTAAATTTATAGTCTGAAAAGTTCAAGGCTTAAGGTATTAAAGGAGGGAGATTGCCACAAATTCCACATTCTACTTGAAGTAGAAAACTTTGATCAAACTGTTGGGTTCTCTGAAAGGTCTTACTTTTTTTTTTTTTTTTACTTACATGTTGGATTTATTTGTTTACATGTCATTATTCCTCCTCTGGCCTGGTCCTGCTAGATTATTGCTTAAAGTCAGTAATCGTCTCCTTTGTGTTTATAAGCCAAGTGTCTAGTATATTACTTGGCACAGAGTCGATCATCTTAAATGATTGTTGCAGGATGAAAGTGGGGCTCAGTTGCTAGAGAATGGATGTACTTAAGGGCATTGGATTCTTTAGAGGATGGTGGCATTTTAACCTTAGGTCAACAGATAACTTTTTCCATATGTCATTTTGGATTTCTTCCCATTATCTGCACAGCATAAGGGAAAGGCAACTGATTAAAAAGTAGAGGAGCAGATTATGATATGCAGCATTTTGGTGTGCTTTGGGTTGAATGCCAAACTCTACTAATGTGAAAAGGGTGAAGGTTGTTTTGTAAATGTGTTGTGCATCTATTTGACTTGGTCTGTAACCTATATCCAGTTTCATAGACTTCCTGTTTTGATATGCCTCACGGTTCTATAACTCACATATTTATTGCAGTAAGGCTTTTGAAATGCATAGGGACAGTTACCCCTGATTAGAACAAGCACCCGATTTTTTTTTTCTAGGTTCAGGGACTTTGGTTTAAAACAACTGTCCCTTAATCATCAGGGACTCGGAAGTTTGCAAAAATAGATTTCCCCTGGAATTGTTGAGATTGTAGTGCAGGAGCATTGTAGTCAGACTCTGAAAGGCTACCTACCTTTTGGATGTCATGGGAGCCTAATTTAGAGTCTATTGGTAGGGGACCTCGATGTCATTTTTGGTGGGAAATCTTTCTGTTTGTATCTCTGCTACTTAGGCATGTACAATGTATGTTCACTGGACCTTCATTGGTGCCTAATACTTGCAGTGATGATAAAGGCCAGTGCTTTTGAGCCGTCACTGCTGAATAACAATAGATTGCTATTGCCATCTGTGTTATTTTCTTCTATGGGATGACAGTTTTTTGCTTGTTTGTTTTATCTTCATTGAATAGTTATCTTTATATTGGGTTGTCAGAAAAGTCATGACTCATTTTTGCGTAGAAAACATAGAAAAAATATGGCATGTGTTTTTTGACAACCCAATATAATCCCCTATCAGAATAATCTAGAAATGATGACCTTGGCAGGAGAGACCAGGATGCAGTTAACTTCAGATCCAGATCCACCATCCTCAGCTACCCTCACTTCATACGCAGCCTTCTGTACATGATAAGGGAATTTGACTGGAAGGCTGACAGACCTCTAGTGTTCAACTCTAATTTGCCCATAGTTTTCACATACTATGAGGTTCAGAGTAATCTGCTGCCATTCTAATACAGATAACCAAGGCAGTGTGAATCACCATTTAAAGATCTTAAATTTTATTTTTTATATTTTCCCCAGTGTTAATACAATGCAGACGTTGGAATGCAGCATCCTGTTGGCAGTTTGAAGAGGAAACTTGAATAAATCAAGCTTTTTTTTTGTACTTGCCCTGTGAATCTTGCACAGTAAATTTCTGGCTTTTGCTATTTTCTATTCTAAATGACAACCACAGGTACCAAAAAATGACCCTCTCCTATGGTGGTGCAGCAGTATAATTGAGAGAAAAATTCCTGAGAATTAAACTAATTCCTTTTAATTGCTTATTCTGATAACAAATACCATTTGGGAGGAAAAAATGTACTTGCAACAAGTACTGACTTATTTTTGTAAATCTACTGCAAATTGAATTTGTTCAAGAATATAGCTTTACCCAATTTTATCTTTTTGATTTTTTGCCTAGAAATGCTAGAGTAGCAGAAAATTATCAAAGATTATAGCTCTGAGTCAGAAATGTTTAGGTCTTTATAGTTAGATGAGCCACAGACTAGTGCCATTTGCTTTTGAAGGAATACAGTATTTGAGGTGCTTAACATATACTCTGTCATGACCTCGTGTGTGGTAGAGTTCTTAAGAATATGGTCTTGTATGGGAAATGAAAACAAACAAACAAAAAAGGATATGGTCTTGTTGATATATATAAACCTATCAGTCATGCCCAAAGCAGTTCTTAATTCCTCGTGTGTGTGTGTGTGTGTGTGTGTGTGTGTGTGTTTGTGTGTGTGTGTATGTATGACACTGCAAGCTTCTACAGGGAAGGTCATTTTTTCCTAAGCAAATAGAACCATTTACATAAGCTGCTTCAGTCAACCACTTAGAAGCAACTCAGTCAGGCCCTTTTTGAATTTCATCGAAACAACAGAGAAAAACAGATTCTAACAGTAGCAGATGTGCACAAGCTGGTGTACAACATTATCTTTTTTTTTTAAAGATTTATTTATTTATATAAGCACTGGGTACAATCAGAAGCGTGGGAGGGTGAGAGAATTCACCAGAGCCAGAGCAGGGAGCAGAACAGACACACTGACGAAATACACTGCTGAGGGGAGCAGCGGGCGCGGCAGGAGAGGTCTGCCATGCCATGTGGGACCCTCGCCGGCGGCCAGGGATCGAACCAGCGGCCAGGGATTGAACCGGCGCTGCAGAGGCTGTGGGCAGCTTCGCAGCCCAGTACTCAACTGCTGCGCCACTGGGGAGGCCCTACAACATTATCTTTTTAAAGAGCTGAATCCATGTAAAAAATATGACTGCAACCTGAATGAACACCTCTATTTTTAAAATTTATTTATTATTATATTATTATTTTAATTTATACATTTTTACATCATTTTTCATTTTTGCACAATGTATTCATTTTCATCTTGGTTATAATCCCCATACAATTCCCACCCCACCTTGCTTTGATCCCACTCTCTCCTCCCACACCCTGTAGTGCACCACTGGTTTATAGTTGCAATTTGCAGCAACATGGATGGAGCTGGAAGGGATTGTGCTCAGCAAAATAAGGCAGAAAGAAAAAGAAAAATACCGGATGGTCTCACTTATAGCAGGAATTTAGAAAACCTAAATAAGGGACCAGGAAAAAGACTAATTGTAATAAAGTAAAAATCAAAATCAACACCTCTCTTTTTAATAATGGTGTTTAATTTGGTGGTGGTTTAGCGCTAGAAACTCAGACAAACTGGGATCTTGGATTTTACTAAACTGCAGATTCTCTGTATCCCAGATCCTCTGTATCTCAAACTTGCCTGGGAATTTCATCAAATTTTTACTTGGGGGGGGAGTTGAAAGCAAAGCAAACAGCCAAATGGTGCATCAGCCAAAACAGGAAATGTTTGTTTTAGAAGCATTTCTCAATATAATAAAGTCTGTCAAAATAACAAAGGCTCTATTAGAAAGACCTTCAAATACACGGAAAAAGAGGATTTCATCATAGTTTTTTGAGAAGCCTAGAACTGTAATAGATACTTTCATAGTCCATGGTCATATTGGGAACCACAGCCAAAGTGTTACTCCTGAAGCATGTAATAGCACCTGCCAGGAGAGGTGACAGTAGAGTATTTCCAATACTGTGACTGGAAGCTAATCGAATCTTGTGTCAGATGCTCTTTAGGTTTCCAGGTATAAAGTCTATTTTAAGAATAACTGGAGTGAGAGGTGTGTGGGAACCACTGCTTAGGTTTCGCTGAGACAACTTTAAAAAAGAGGTGCTACTAAAGACCTTTCTTTTGAAGAGAATGCTGCTCTTTTTCTTCTTGTCAGGGAAATATTTTATTTTTAAAAATATTTTGTTCTCAGTTTAATATCAACTCCTGATTGATGAGAATATTAACTGTGGTGTGTGCCCAAATAATTTGATCTGAGAACATGGCATATGTATGGAATGTGTTTGACTTTTCCTTTAGCTATTGATTACTACTCATGAGAATGCTTCCTACGTCACCCAGTGAAATTCTAGGCATGGAAGTGCAGTATACTCATACCTTTTGGAGCTTTTGGGTCGGTGATTCTCAAGTCTGTGAAATTGAATCACCTATGATTCTACATCAGCCCTATTCATTTATTTTTTATTTCATTAATTTTTTAAAGATTTATTTTTTATTTATACAATAGTTGGGGTACAGGTCAGAGGCACGGGAGGGTGAGAGGATTCACCAGAGACAGAGTGGGGAGCAGAGCAGGCAACAGACCGAAAGCACTGCTGAGGGGAGCAGTGGGCGAGGCAGGAGAGGTCTGCCACGCCAAGTGGGAATCTCCCTGGCCGGCCGGGAATCGAACCCATGCTACAGAGGCTGTGGACAGCTTCACAGCACTGTGCTCAACCCGCTGCACCACCAGGGAGGTCCCATTTAATTTATTAATTATGAAACTCTGTGTGACCTGGACATTTGTATTTTTAAAAGTGGTACAGGTAATGGGGGCATACATCCGGCATGAACCGTAACATTAAATCTCTTTTGGGGATTTATTTTTATGAAATAGAAACTTTTGTGATGTTATCATACAGGAGGGGGTAATTAGGGTGATTGTTGTAAAATGTATGTTTTTCTATTCCAGCAGCGAAATACTAGCGCAAAGTCGGTGGTGACTTGATAAATCCAGAATTACAGTTTCACCAGAGAAAGAAAGATTAATTTTTTGCAAAAGAGCGATTGTGAATCCAAGACTTGTAAGAAGAAGTTGTAGCAGTCCGATTGAAATGGGAAAAAAAAAATGAGTAGGGTCAAAGTTTTGAAGTCAAAACGGGTTGAAGGATTGTAGAACTGTAAAACTGTGAAGGTGGTAAAAAGTGAACTGCTTGACATCAGGATTCAGAAATGAAATGTGTAGTATTTTCAGGTGAGGACTTAGAGAAATAAAATGGAAAGGTTGGAAATTAAGTCATTAAAATTGTTACAGGAAATAATAAAGGGGATGAGCAAGGTGCTCTAATCTTCACTGGGAGATTGGACGTAGGGGCCAGCAGGGGGTTGGTGCATGTGTTTTATGTCAGTGGATGTCAATTGAGGACAATTTGCACAATAGGGGACATTTAGCAATGTCTGGAGACATTTTTGTTTGTCATAACGAGGGGTGTGTGTGTGTGTGTGTTTGCATGTGTGTTCCTGGCATCCAATGAATAGAATTTCGGGATGCCTCTAAACCTCCAACAATGCACAGGACAGCTCCACAGCCCCTCACAACAATCTGGCTCCAGTTGTCAACTGAGGCTGAGAAACTACTCCAGAATCAAGGTGTATGTTGGCTGATAAACAGACCAACAGCTATCAATCTAATAAATATTGTGTTTCTATTTTAACTGAATAGTTCCTTATGGAAAGAAGACATAAAAATGTACATTTGTTCACTCAATCAACAAACATAAGCTACATTCCTACTTAACAGGGCCTCATTGTTCTAGGTATTTAAGATTCATCAGTGAACACAACAGATATTGATGCCCTTGAATGCCTTTTATTCAAGCAGGGGAGAGAGAGAATAAAACACACAATAAATAGTAAATGACATAGTCTGCTTGAAAGCGGTATTAAAAAGAAAAATGAAGGCAGCAATGATAGTAATTTTGCCCTACACTATTTATTTATTTTTCACTTGATGACAGGTTAATGATTAGCTCCTTATTTTCCACACTTCTTTCACATTTGCTTTTTCAGAAAATAGATGGTAATCTGGATTAAATGCTGAAATGAAGAAAGGAAGTGATGGGTTTTGAGTATAGAACTGAGACCAGTGGGGTCAGAGAAATGGAAAGGTTAAATTTAAAAAAGGAGCCAATGATTTGTAACAAACTGACAACCCAATTGTCTGCAGTGTCTCTTATTAACCTACTGAAGAATTAACCTGCTGACTCATTTCAGCATGTAAGACAAGCCTCTCATTAATCTCTCTGCCTCTCAGGTATGGTAACAGCACTAAGAACTATGCTGTTCGAGTTGGGGATTATCATACTCAGGTGCCGGAGGAATATGAGGAAGAAATTGGAGTTCAGCAGGTCGTGATTCACCCAGAGTACCTACCGAACGGCAGCGACTACGACATCGCCCTGGTGAGACTGCAAGGACCAGAAGAGCAGCGTACGAGGTTCAGCAGCCACTTCTTGCCTGCCTGTTTGCCCCTCCGGAGGGAGAGGCCACAGAAAACAGCCTCTAATTGTTACATCATGGGATGGGGAGACACAGGTAATGCAAACAATACAAAGGAACAAATGTGTCTGCACATTTCTCCAGTCTGGGGTTCTCCTCACTTTGGGGTGCACAAAAGGTAGTAAAATCTAAAGGAGTTCAGGCTTAGTTATTGGAAATACTGCCAAGTGTGAGATGCATGGATGTGATTTGGATTTATATCCTGAGGGCACTGTTGGTTCCCATAAGAACCTTAGCACAAACTGACAACCCAACTGCCTGGGAGCTTACGGGGTAGAGAATTCTCTACTTCTTGTTCCGCAGACTAGTGAGGAGACAAAGGAAGATTTCAAGGCATACTGTAAGACTTGGGCCCTGGCAGTCTCTATTTTAAGCTTTCCCGACTGATTTTGATGTAGCTAGCCCCGGAAAGCGCTCAGTGTTTGATTCTTTCTTTCTTTGCATGAAGCCCCAACTCTTGGAGAATTCCTATTCAGATCAGACAGAGCAGAGCCGCTGAGGATTAACTGAAGGGACCCCATCCATTCCAATTTCTCCTCAGTGTCTCCTTCCCATTTTCCCCATCTCCGAACCCCCCAAAGTCTATTATTCAGTTTAAGCTTATTTTTCATAAGGGAACAAGGCTTTGTGTAGTCTTACTAGAGTTCAATCCATGGATGCTATGGTGTTGCAAACCATAGAGCTAGCACTCACTTGAGTTAGGTGTTCCCTTTACAAGAGACCAGAAAATGGTCTTAGTACACTGTGCTGACCAGGATGCCAATAGTCTCTGAGAAAGCTACAGTCTAATCTGTTAGAATTATGAACACTTCCGTAGGAAAGAAGATTCAATCATCTTTTGGATACATCTGCAGTAATAGAAATGACCAATGAAGCGTATTTTACAGAATGTTTTACTATAGACTGATGATTCCAGTTGAATCAATAGGATCAGAAAATAATGGTGGAATTTAAAGCCAAGAAAAAGATGTCATGGAACATATAGTAAACATATTAGCCACTAAACAAAGAGTGAATGATCTTACTAGAGTGGTAACATCAAGTGGTGAAAACTAAGCCTGTCTACATAAGGAATGCTTTCTCAATTATCCTTATGAAATACTGTATTACTGTTTACAACAGCGAGCGCTACCTTATGTGCTTATGTGTAATTATTCTTTGTAATTCTCACATTAGGTAGAGTAACCTTAGAGGAATGGGTATGTCACTGCAAAGCCAGCATGAATGCATCCTCAGCTTTTCGATGGGATGGCAATACTAAAGCTTGCATAAATATGCTTTTTAGTTAACTTCATAGCCGAGTACTTAAGTGTTACTCAATTACTCCCACAGAATACAGTGGTGAGAAACACATTAGTGAAGGATAGTGAGAAGAGCCAACATTAGAAAAGGCAGCTAATGACGTTACATATAATTCAGTTATCACTCATTTAAACTTTACTCATGTCATCATAGGGTTTATTTTCAAGATGACTCAGTGTTCAGTAAACCGTTCAATGTAGCTCTTTTCTTGTGAACCCTTTAATTGGAATCTAATTTAGATTATTTGGTCTGAGTAGGACGAGCCTATTCAAGAACTCTTCAACAAGCTGCCATTCCCTTACTTCCCAAGAGGTTTTGTGAAGAACGTTATAAAGGCCGGTTTACAAGGAGGATGCTGTGTGCTGGAAATCTCCAGGACCACAAACGTGTGGACAGCTGCCCGGGCGACAGCGGAGGACCACTCATGTGCGAAAGGCCAGGCCAGAACTGGGTTGTGTATGGGGCGACCACCTGGGGGTACGGTTGTGGAGTCAAGGATTCACCAGGTGTTTATACAAAAGTCTCAGCCTTTGTACCTTGGATAAAAAGTGTCACCCAACTCTGATTCTTCCTGAAAAACTCAAGAGAAAACACACTATCGAAATACCTGTTGGAAAGATTTCAGGCTAAAATTCACTCAACAAGGGAGGACTTTTATGTTTATGTTGTAATTATGTTTCCCTCCCTTTGCTTCTTTTGAGATTTGTGATGTGAACATTTTTGGCTACAGATACCTCAGTGTGATTCTGATTACCTTCAATTAGCATTGTTGCCTGCCCAAAGCAGTTTTACTGGCAATTAAATTCTTTATTCTCATTTAAGCTACATTGATCTCTTTTGCCTGTTTCTGAGCATTCTCGAGATTATCAAATATTGAGAAAAAGGCCATTTTTACATTTTGATTGAGAATGCCTTGTAATTGAATTGATACATGGATTCACATTTTAGATAAAAAAGTACCCTTACTATACTCAAGTAGTGGGAGTTCTTAAAAAGTAAGAATACGTGTTTCTATCTGGGTAAGCCCTGTCAAGTAAGGAAATCCAAGGCCAAAATGGTAAAGGAATATTCATCATAAATCTCAACTGGAACAGGATCAAGCCACAGGGATATCTGTCCAATCACAATTATTCCCGAGAAGCCATCATACCAAGCACTATGGCAACTATGACAAAAAATAGATTCTAGCTCCTGGTATGTTACAAGCAAAACTTGTAATTCCTGCTAACAAAGAATGCCTTCAAGTTATTGGTTGCACAAGTCAATCTATCCACTTTTCTATCTCCTGTTCTTGCTTCTAACCTTACAAGTCTTCTGGGTATGATGAGAGTGCCACCTACTGCAACTTCCTAGTAATTGGTCAAAACTGCAGATTCCCCAAGACTGTTACTACCTTATAGAACCTGACAGGGGTATACTGTTTCAAAAAAATGCTTTCCATGCCAGTTAGGTAAAGGCTCCACACAAGTTTTCAACCAACTTACTGTACTAAATACTGCGTAAGTTCACTGTGCACCTCAATTTACAAAGGACTGAAAATTTTAGGAAAACAGGTCTAGAAGCCAAGTGAGACAGCTGATTTTGAAAGGCAGCTGCAGAAAGAAGTCCTGATGCTGACAATGGTTACCAGCCTACACCCTGAAGTTTCTCCTCTACTTACCAAAGGGCAAGAGAAAGCTGCTTATCACACATTCTGAAAACTATGCTTGGCAGCAGTACATAATCTGTACCCAAGTATGAGGTATGTCCCTCGAGACACCTAAATAATTTTTAGACATGACTGCCAATGAATCCTCCCTGAAATCCTAAGAAAACTCTTGTTATATGCAAGAGGTAGATGTAATGACCAAAAACCATAAAGTTTAATGTTAACTTTAGCATTGAGTGGCTTAGCCTCCCCCTCAAGTCGCTCATAACAATGGACTTGACCTTTTGCATCCAATCATGTCATTTTTGTAAATCCTCAGCTTTGTTTAAAAAAAAAAAGTTAACAGGTGCTTACCTAATGGTGCTTTATAGTTTACAACTTTGCAAAAATGTAATGTTATTTAAGTAGGATTACATTAAAACTTCTAAAAAAAGCTCAAGATTTTGAAAGAGGGAAAATGTTTAAGTGTCACATAATGTAATGATTGAGCTGCATCTAATGTAGCTTGCACAAGGGCTTGGGAAGAATGTGCAATACAGGTGAGAAAATCTGCAGAAACCCCTCACAGGCTGCCCTTGTAACTACAGTGCTGGAGGAAGCAACATTTATATTAAAATTCAACTGAGCTAGGCTGGCAGACAAAGTTATCAGTTTGTTCAAGCCTGAATTGGAATACTTTGTAACATGTTATAGCTAATTTCTTGGTAACTGTGACTTTTACTATATTCAAGTGTTTGTTGCATATTTATGTAAATAAAGCACATAGCTTTTCACCTAGTATTGTTGCTTTAATCTTTCATGTGATATGAGAACGAGCACTTTTTTCTAGGGTTGACATGTTTTAGATTCCCCAAATGCTGAAAACACCCTTACAATACTGGAATTCCAAGGTAATGTTTGCTGTTCCTTGTATTTACCGAGTGAAGGTACACCAAATACCATTTTACAATTGTAACAATGAACCACTATTTAAATAGTACAGTTTATTTAGACATTTGCATTTAAAATACAGCCAGAGTAGTCTTCATAACATCAGCAGTCACTCCCCTGGTGAGATTTAAAATCACAAATCACAGGTACTGTATGCAGGATACTGATCAAGACGTCACCCAGAATTTTTTTTTTTTAAATATTTCTTTTTTTTTTAAGATTTATTTATTTATGTATACAAGCACCGGGTACAGTCAGAAGCGCGGGAGGGTGAGAGAATTCACCAGAGCCAGAGCGGAGAGCAGAGCAGGCAGAAGGACCGAAGTACACTGCTGAGGGGAGCAGCGGACGGCAGGAGAGGTCTGCGCGCCATGTGGGACCCTCCTGCGGTGGCCGGGGAGCAGCCAGGGATCGAACCGGCGCTGCAGAGGCTGCGGGCAGCTTCACAACTCAGCGCTCAACCGCTGCGCCACCAGGGAGGCCCTGTCACCCAGAATTCTTGTCTGCAAGGGAAGAAAACCAATTCATAAACTCGTGTTTGGGTACTGAACACAGAGTGAGATGAGGCGACTTAATCAGTTACTCTCAGCCTCAGCTAACACTTTCAAATTACAAAAAACGCCAGAAACGGGCCAATTTAATTTTGGCCTTCCAATTCCTTAGAGCTAGCGCTTTCAGATTAACTCCAAAATACAAACAAAAGGGAACCTTTTTTTAATTTACCTTGTTTTAATTTCCATCACCCATCGGAGCTCGGCTTCCTAAAAACATTGGAACAGTGTTTAGATATTTTCCCAGTAACGCCGCACCCTCCACATTTTTAAGAGTAAAGAACTGTTACTTGTGCAAGTCAGAACCTGATACCAATTAAATGGTGACAGCTTTGCCAATAAACAAGAATATGCTCTTCCATGGCTAGGAAGGGAGACTGCCACAGCTGACAGGTCCCAAAGACACACAACGCCGGGCGTTACTCACCAACGGGCTCCAACGGCGGCCATCAGGACACGTTACCATACAACTAAGGTGGCGCAGATGGAAGGCGGAAGGACACTCTTCCTCGGCGTTCCTGGCAGCGTGTTAGCTCACCCCGAAGGCCCGGGGCCCATCGCGCTCGCGGGCTCAGCGCCCAGGGCAGCACGTGGCCGCCGACGGCCTAACGCGCTAAGTCGGCCCTGGCCGTCCCACCCAGGGCTTTTAAAAGCTGAGCGCCATCTGGCAGCCCAAGACGTCTGAGTCCTTTGCATTTTAGCCAAGTAAAAAATCCTATAGCAGGTTTCTTATTTGTTTTGGCGCACAAAACGCCAAGGCGAACCACCACAGACACACGCTCCCCGGATGCAAAAGAAAGAGAAACGCCGCGCACGCACTTTCATAGCGCTGAGGACGCTCTTTCGGGGAACGCCCCTAGATGGGCGGGGCTTATGCAAATAGTCCTCGTAGCCCCGCCTCGATAGCTCCCCTTGCGTTCACCCGCTTCTATTTCATGGCCCCGCCCATTTCTCCGCTTCTCCCCCTGGCAGGGGAGGCCAGGAGCGGAGCCTCTAGCTGTGGGCCACTCCCGCGGGCTCCATTTTCTGCGCCAGCGCCCGAACAGGGCCCAAGAAGTCTCGCGATACCAGGAAATCCCGAAGCAGCTCGCGTTCGCAGCTGGCGGAGCGAAGCGAGGAAGTTGTTGGCCGGGACGCTAGGCTGGAGCCTTTAGCCGTCACCGTTGTCACGGAAACGCCAGGTTCGGTAGTTCTAAGCGTTTGAAACTTCAGGCGGCGCAGTTTATGTGGAACTCGCGCTGCTTTTAGCTCTTGGCGAGTGAAAAGTCGGCCTCCGGCGTCTGCGCGGGAATTGCTGTTTCTGAGGCGCAGGTGTCCGCCACGCGCCCTCAGGCTTCGTCTGGTGGCTGGTTCCGGGCGAACCTTCTAGAAGCAGCTGCGCTTGGTGCTAACAGCCTCCCCGACGATGTTGTGAAGGAGGCTGAGGAGCGCGAGGCTGGCGGACGAGCGGCGGGCGGCGGCCGCGCGTTTCCCGCGCTCACCCGAGTCAGCTGCTCGCTCCGGACCCCCCGGTTCCGAGCCCACCGTTTCCGGGCCCCCCCCGGGTTCCGAGCCTCCCGGTTTCGGGCCCCACCCCGGCTCCGGGCTCCCCGGTTCCAAGCCCCCCGGTTCCGGACCCCCTCGGTTCCGAGCCCCCCGTTCCGGGCCCCCCGTTTCCGAGCCTCCTGGTTCCGGCCGCCTGGCCGCGGCGCCGGGTCTCCCCTCCCCGGCTGCCCCTTCTGAGGAGGCAGTTAGTGAGGTGGGGCGCGCCCGCGGGTGAAGGGGGAAGTGGTTTTAGGCCCAGGTTGTCTGTGAGGGGGCGCTCAGGCCTTTCAAATTCCGTGTTTTCCTCCGGTATGGAGCAAAGAGAGGATCCCGGTGAGAGTTGTACTTAGCCGTGAACCTTTGGTGCCGAGAGGCTGGTGAGGGAAGGGCTGCAGTCGCCTTCGCCAGAGGTTCGCGAGGTCACCACACACCTGGGGGGAGCAGAATGACTAACGCCAACGCTGCCAGTTTGGCTGAGAGAGGACAAGTGCAGAGGACTTTTTTTTTTAAAGATTATTTATTTATGCATACGGGGGGTACAGGCCAGATGCGCGGGAGGGTGAGAGGATTCACCAGAGACAGAGCGGGGTGCAGAGCAGGCAGACTGACGAAATCCACTGCTGAGGGGAGCAGCGGGCGAGAGCAGAGAGGTCTGCAGCACATGGTGTGTATCTCCCTGGCTGGCCGGGATCGAACCTGCTCTGCAGCGGCTGCAGGCGGCTTGACAGTGCTGCGCTCAACCGCCTTCGCCACCCGGGAGGCCCCAGGAAGTAAGTTTTAATCGGAAAGAACCAGAACTGTTTCTAAGGCTCTCCTTTCCCCCACCTTACCCTACTGTCACTCCACCTCAGTTTACTCATCCCTCTCACTAATGGTATCATGGCTTGGTAGAATGCCAAGCCATAGAGGGGAATTTTGCCAAGTTAGATTCATCTGGAAGCCCGCGCCATCTGTGCTGTGCCAGTGACGGCCAGTCCCGCAGCCTGGATCCCGCACGCAGCCCCTGCCCCAGTGCCAAGGGCTACAAGTGAGGTTGGATGCTTCTAAACCCTTCTCTTGACCTGTAGGCAGCCTCCTTGAGTGCACCAGACATTGGCTGAGCTCGTACCCTGTAACCTCCTTTTACCTATTTACAGCTTTAAAAAATTTTTTTTCATTAAAGATTTATTTATTTATACAAGCCCTGGGTACAGTCAGAAGCGCGGGAGGGTGAGAGAATTCACCAGAGCCAGAGTGGGGAACAGAACAGGCAGACTGATGAAGTACACTGCTGAGGGAAGCAGCGGGTGCCACAGGAGAGGTCTGCACGCCATGTGGGACCCTTGCTGGTGGCCGAGGATTGAACTGGTGCAGCGCCCTCTGGCCCTCGCCCGCCCCCCCTATCTTGTAGCCCCCTGGGCCCTCTACCCCCTCTTACCTTATTTCAGTCTCTTCGCTCCCATCGGTCTTCTGCTGCTGTCTGTCTTCAGCAACCTTTATTTTCACAGCCCCCACCTCAGGTGTGCCCCGGAAGCATTCACACCCCTCCTCACAGGTGTCCACCGTCAGGCTGTGGATGGTGTCTTTCCTCCCACACGCCCCTTCTCTACCCCAGGTTTGCCACAAAGGTTTTCGGAGCAAACCCCCAAAGGCAGCTGTCTTCTCTTACCCCTCAGTCCACACTGCCACGTGTTCTCTCTCCACAGTCTGCACCTGGCTTTCTCTTGGCCCGTCACCCCTGCCTCCAGGACCCACCCAGGTGAGCTGCGACCCTGAGCACTGCAATGGACACAGCAGAAACGGGCTCCCTCCAGCCAGGGCACCCCGAAAGGTTTCATGAGCAGCTCATTGGCACGCGTCCCCCCCAGGTTCGCTCTAGATCGCCCCCCACACCTCCGCTTCCTCCAGGGGGAACCACTGCTCAGTCCCAAGCGGGAGCGCCCTGCTGGCGGCCTTCTCCGGGTCTCTGCCCAAACCGCCCCCCACCCCCAGCCCCCGCTGCGCGCACTCTGACATCACACAGCTTTTTTGGGGGGACAGCCCAGCCCCAGGGGTACTCACTGCCGTCCCCGCCGCATCAGGCTCTGCTCACCGCCGCCGCCAGGCAGCTCCTCTGCAGGTCCCACCCCCCCCCCCAGGATCGCGCTCAACTGCCCCCCGCAGCCGCGCTCCCTCTAGGGGGAGCCCCTGCTCAGTCTCGGACTCTGGCCTCCCCAGCAGGCGCGTGCGGCTCGGGGCCTTCTCCCGGCTGCGGGCTCGGCGCAGGCCGCCCCCCACCCCCAACCCTGGGTGCGCACTCTGAGGTCTGAGACCCTCCGGTCTCTTGGGGGGACCCGCCCAGCCCCAGGGGTACTCACTGCCGTCCCCGCCGCACCAGGTCTCGTCACCGCCCTGCGGGCGGCCCCTGCGTTCAGACTGCCCTCGGCCGGGCATCGCCCGCCTAGGAGAGCGCGCTCCCCGCGGGCCGCTCCGGGCGCCTCCCCGCCGTGGGCGCCCCCACAGGCCAGGGCCCCGCAGGGCCCCCCGCGCCCTGAGGCTCCTCGGGCCCCGACCCTCCCTCTCCAGCCCACGGGCCGCGCCCCCAGGTGCCGCGAGGCGGCTCCGCTGCTCCGGGAGCCTGTGCAGCTGCGTCCCCCCGTTCCGGGCTCCCGACCTGGGCGCCCGCTTTGGGCGCGTCTGGGCGGCTTTTTGAGACTCTCCCGCCTGCTGCGGAGAAACTCCCCGCAGGCCGCTCCGGGGGCGCAGAGGATCCCCTCGCTCCCCCTCCCCGGGCGCCACGGAGAAGGCGTCCCCGCCCCAGCCCCTGGCGTGCTCGGGGGTCCCCGCCGTCCGTGGCGGGGGTCCTGTCAGCGCCGGGCGAGCGGATAGGGCGTCGGGCTCCTGCTCCCCAGCCGCTGCGCCTGCGCCCCGGCTCGGGGTCCTGGGCGGGCCCCGCCGGCCGCTCCCCCCTCCGCTCCAGTCTCCTGCGGCCGCTCCCGGGGCGCGGCCGCCTCCTGGGGGTTCCCGGCGCCTCCAGGCTCGCCCTCCCCCCACGGGCAGAGCTTCGAGGGACGCTCGCCCCAGACCTGCTCTGAGCGGGGCCCAAGTCCGTCGGCGGCCCCCGCCGTGCGCACCCCGCGCCCCGCTCCCGTCCCAGCACTTCGGGGGCCGTGTTCCCGTAGGCGCCGGGTCCTGCCGCCCGGGCCGCTCCGGGAGCTCCGGGCACACGGGCAGAGGGTCCCGGGGATCCGGGGGCTGACGGGGCCTTTCGCGTTCTCCCCGACAGCGCAGCCGGGCGCCCGGGGGCAGGGCGGGCAGGAGGCCCGGCCCTGGGGAACCCCGACTCTCCGCGCTCTCTGGGCGGGCCGAGGGCTGAGGGGCCGGGATGCGAGGCTGAAGTGGGGGACTCCAGGGGGGCAGGCCCCCCCAGCGCCCGGAGATCTGGACGCTCTCGGGGCTCTCTCCGGCGTTCCCGCGGGGTCTGCTCCTGTCCCGGCCGCTGCGCGTCCTCTCTCGCCGCCGCTCTCGCTGGGGGCCCGAGCCCGCCGCCTTATATGCTCCGCCCCCGCGCCCAGGGGTGCGCCCTAGCCCGCCCCGCGCCCAGGGCCCAGGTGCTGCCGCAGAGGCCCCGGCGCCCGAGCAGAGCGGCGGCCTGGACGCCACAGACCCCCGCTCTGGCCCTGAGCCCCACCCCGGTGCGCGCCCCGGATCTGCTCGGAGCCGCCCCTCAAAGGGTCGCAGCGTCTGGTGTGTTTGGGGGGAGACCTTGAGACCGACTTTACAGTGACTTCAAATGCACAGGAAACTTTCAGGGCAGCTCAGGTGCTCTCTGGCTCATGCTCAGATTCCTGCTTTACCGTGTATTTTGCTTCCCATGAAACATTCATGTGTTTTCATCACAATATTCCATTTTGTATTTAACCAAAATATTCCGGGGATCTAGCACATCACCCTCAAAATAAATCATCCTGGTTTCCATGTTAGAATCCATTTCAGCTGTCACCACCTGCTCCACCTGGGTGAGAGCATCTTCTTCCCTCGGATCGACTTTTCTCTTTGGCAGCTGTTCCTGACGCTGCTGCTTTTTCACAACCACGAGGGTGTCTTTTGTTTTTTTTTAAGATTTATTTATTGATGCATACAAGAATTGGGGTACAGGCCAGAGGTGTGGGGGTTTCCGAGAGGATTCACCAGAGTAGGGAGCAGAAGAGGTGGATCTACACTGCTGAGGGGAGCAGCTGGCGAGGCAGGAGAGCTCTGCTGTACCACGTGGTTGCTCCGTGGTTAGGGATCGAACTCGTGCTGTTGTGGCTGCGGACTTAACCCCTTCCGCCACCAGGGAGGCCCAATAAATAAATCTTTAAAAACAATAAACAACAGCATGCTGTCACCGGAGCTCCAGAGACTTCAACTGGGCGTATTATTAACGGGGTGTGTTGCTGAAACACTGATTGTGAATCACTTATCCTGCAAAAAAACGAGAAACTAGAGAACTGTATCCTTAAAACTTTAAAAGACTCTTCGCTTTTGTAGGTGACGGGGGGAGTGGGGGGGGCGCTGAGGTGGGGTCTGCCAACAGGCCAGTGCTGGAGCACAGACATTAAAGGGCAATCAGGCTGACACCCTGTTAACAATCCACACCCACATCGGGCCTGACCACTTATACCTAATTATAACAGAACCCCAGTCATCACATGTCTGGGGAAGCCTGGACAGTTTTTAGAGTTTTGGAAATTCTGAGATGTGGCCAATCCTATCTGAGGGCGTGAGGGTGTAACAGGAAACTGGATGCCAGCCCCGACAGCCCCAGGACCTCAGAGCAGATCTGCCAGTCAAGCTCCAGGCCCAAAGCTGCCTTCAAGTTGCTCAAGTAGCTCAGCCTGGCTGGAACACCAGAGCAAGAAAACCAGGGCTCCCAGCACCCCAGTGGACATTTGCTTAGAAAGGACACCCCAGGGGCCTCCCCATGGCCCAGCCGTTGAGCCCCGGGCTGTGAAGCTATCCGCAGCCTCTGCAGTGCTGGTTCGATTCCTCACCAGCTAGGGAGAACCCCACATAGCGCAGCAGACCTTTCCTGCCTCGCGTGCTGCTCCCCTCAGCAGTGTCTTTGGTCTGTTTACCTGTTCTGTTCCCCGCTCTGGTTATGGTGAATTCTGTCACCCTCCTGCGCTTCTTACCTGTACCCCAGTTCTTGTATAAAATAAATAAATCTTAAAAAAGAAAAAAAAAGAGGGCCTCCCCTGGTGGCGCAGTAGTTGAGCGCTGGGCTGTGAGGCTGCCCGCAGCCTCTGCAGTGCTGGTTTGTTCCCCAGCCACCAGCGAGGGTCCCACAAAAAAAAAAAAAAAAAAAAAAGAAAGGACACTCTAGTCTCACATGCCAGAGAGCACTGCCTGGCCCAGGGGTTCAGCGCTGGACATGATGCCTTCTCTGGAGACAGCTGTTTTCTGGACACCGAAACCTCGAGGAGGCCCTCGACGGATTCTCACTGGCCGGGACATACACTGATGTACCTCCTTTGAGGCTACGGATTCCACTACTTTTTTGCCCCCTTACTTTTTTCACATTCCAAGGGAAAAGAACTTCATTACAAAGAGTAACATCAGAATTGCTGACCACCAGATGCTGGTGAAATCAGGCCGGCATCAAAAGGAATGAACAGATGCTTGTGACTAATGACAGACACTCTGATCCTTGCCCCTCCCCCTTTCTATTTCTTTGTAATTCTAGATAAGCATCCCTGCTTTCTGCCAAAGAGCAGGACAGAGTCTTTCAGACACAATTCAGTCTCTCCAGACAACTGTCCACCCCAAACCTCTTTGAGTTGGCTGGAGCTAGGAAGGCCCTGAAGTGACCTAAAAATACCCACAAGTCATTATAGTGTCATTATAATACTAAAGGATACATCTCTAGGCAACCATGACAGGAATACCCAGATCACAGATTTCAAGAAAGCCCTTACTCTTCCCCTGAAGAAAACTGAGTAGTCCGTCTTCACTATTCATTCACCCGTTCGCCCCCATAAATGTACCCAATATTGTGACCTAGGGGACTTCCTGCCTGGGGGTCGCCTGCTTCCCTCCGGTTGGCCTAGTAAACTGTCCTTGTTTCACTCTGACACTCGCGTCTGGGATCTATTCCGGCTAAGTCCAAGAGCCCTCACTCCCGGTAAGTGGGGCCCGGCCCGTGTCAAGGGGAGGTCAGCTGGACGCCTTCCAATGGCCTCATTCAATCCTTCAAATGCAGAAACTGGTCATACCTGAGTCTGGAACTAGCCTGGGAAAGACGTCTTCCCCCTGAACTCGGACGTGTCATCAACTCCCCACCCGCGCCAGGCAGCTTTCAAAGTGCAGCGAGTCAGGGAAGTCAGTCTGAGAAGCTCCTGTGTTCTGGAGAAAATAACACCTGTCCCAGCCTTTTCACGCCGCCCTGAACACGGGCGCAATCCCTCACCTGCAAATCCCCAGGGCACCCCCCCTCCGACCCTCCCTCTCCCACCAATTCGACGCGGCTTAAGACGCCAGGATGCGCCACCAAAGATCTTGACGGCCCACAGGTGCAGAGGCTTGTGGGAAATGTAGTCCTCGCTGCCGCGGCGCTTCCCGCAAGGGGTTCTGGGAAGGCATCTTCCGCGCAGGCGTGACCCCACCCCCTCTTCCGCCATATTCGGTGCGGCCTTCGCGCTGCCTGGGCTCCGGGTTCAAGCCCAGGAGGTGTGTCTGGGGCGGTGGGAGGGAGTGGCCCCAGGGCGCTGGGAACCTGCCCGGAGGAAGCGGCGAGATGCGTGAGTGATGTGCGTGCAGACGGCAGTGAAGTGGAGCCCGGGCACTCGGGACGAGCGGGGGAGATCGCCGGAAGGTGGGGGAGGGGAAGTGCGTGCTGGTGTGGGGGTGAAGGGGAGGCCCTGGCCTGGGGCCCCGGGTGGAAGGGAGGGTAAACGCTGCGGAGTCGTGAGTGCGGGCCCTCAGTGCAGCCGGGGGCGTGAGGGGTGGAGCAGGAAGCCCGGTGCGTGTCGGGCTCCTGAGCGCGGGTGCCGGCGTGAGCCGTGGACCGGGGCCCATGGGGGAGATGGTTGGAACCGAAGGGCCGCAGGTCCGGGCAGGGGGAGGGCCAGTCCTCGCGGTGCTTTCACTGACGCTGCCTCCGAGGAAGACGGGCAGTAGTGGGCCAGCTGTGCTTTGCGAAGCTTCTAGGTCTGGTGTGGAGTCGTAGATTGAGACTCCAGCAAGGCGCAGGCGTCCGGCAGGGTGGGACGTTCCTGCAGAGAGAACCCTGGTCTGCTTTTGAGTTCCTGCTCTGCCAGGAAGCGTCCTGGGCGAGGTGATCAACCTGTGTGTCAATATTGGGCATCTGTATGATAAAATATTAATGACTAGTGAGATGCCCGAATTCTAGGTGAAGCCCTTGGGAATCCTAGTGTTAGCGTGAAGTTGTATTTGTGAGGTTTCTTGGCATCTCTCCTGGAGTGTGGCAGCCCCTTCATGCACTGGGTACCTGCCTTCCACTCCCACTTTCATTTTTGAAACTTTTTACAAGACCTACCTGGATTCCAGAGACTGAGTTCTAGGAGGGATATTTGGCCTCTGCGTGATGCTCCTGTTTTCTTTTGACAGGTAGCTGTTAGGAAGCATGGAATGGCAGCACAGGCATGTGAAGAATAAGCTACCTGGAGGTCAAACCCAATGGCTTGAACCTTCTGTCTAGCACTGCAGAGCAGAGGAAGAAGCATCGCAGAGAGGAGATCCTGCCTTAGTATGGCTAAGTAATTATTGCGGTGTCCGCCCAGCGTGAACAAGATTTGGGCGATGCTACCTCCTTCACAAGCTGTGAAAGATTGTGGGATATTTGAAGTTTGGATCAAGTTTCTGGAGGCCTGGGTTGAGAGGGGTAGGCAAACATCTAGAAAATGTTCCTTATTGGAAGGGTCTCTGGCATCCTCTGGGGTGGAGGGGCACCTGTCTTTCCTTTCTAAGCACACACTTATTCCTTCATTCTCACTGTTTCCAGAACTGGACCTCTCTCAAACCTAGTCCATCATGAAATTTGGTGTGAAAAGATAATGCTGAACCTCCCTCTGTCTTGAATGTTCTTCCTAGTAATTCAGATCTGTCAGGGTGTTTCTGCCTTATAGGAAAGATGAAAATAATTGGAAGGATTCTGCCTCTGCCGGGTTACATGACCTGCTTACATCAGGCTGCTTGAACTCTGGCTAACACTAACCACTTGCTGCAGTGTAACCAAAACTTGTTTCTTGATGGCTGTTTGGTTTGTTTTTTGAGAACTGCAGCCTCTGAGGGCAAGCATGCCTTAGTAGACCTTGCCTTAAACATGCCTGTCCTTTTTCCCTCTGTAGCTGTCTGTGGATTAGTGAGCTCTAGTGGTTCATGGTAAAATGTTTCCCACTTAAAGTTTAATTTTTTCTCATAATTGCTCAATTGAACCTATTCTTCATTTGAAATAGGAAAATTTGACTGCTTTGCATGACTTTTAAGTAGTTTCTCAAAATGCAGATCAAGCACAGAACAATAACAGCTCAGAGTGGCGTGTTGTGAAAAACTTAAAATGTTGACTTTTGATCTGCACACAAGGCACTTGATTGATTCCCGTGGTCTTGCTTAGTCCAGCAACCTCGCTGAAGTCCATCTGGTTGACATTCTCGATGCTTTTTAAAATTTCATCCTGTTGTGCTGGTCTCTTGATTATGTCTGATGTGTGATTCAAGACTTCCCCGCACCCCCCCCCCTTCATTTGTTACAAACATTGAGTTAGGGATTTAGATCTGTCACTGAGCATTTGATGTACAACTAAACTTCTCTGCTTTTCATTGAAACAAAACACCCAACCATTTCATGTGCTGGAAGTTTTATGGTTCCCCTTTCCCGGCCAGGCTTAGTCAGCCCTGTTGCCTGGATGACAGGTACAGCTGTGATCATCTAGTACCTTGTCTGAGGCTGGTTGTTGGAGTAAGATGACTGCATTTACTTTTCTGTTGGTTTGTTCTGGCTGTTGCCCAATCCATGTGCCCCAACAGCTACCCCCAGGTGTCCTCACCAGATGGCAGCATCCCCAGAGCGCAGACTCCAGTGAGAAAAGCGCTTTCCATCCTATACATCATCTGCTGACTTCCTTTCAGTTAAAGCAAGCCACATGGCAACACCTGCTCATTGCTGGAGGAGACGTCCCCAGGAAACGAATCCAGGGCCACAAGTTTTGGGGAACCTGTACAATGACAGCGTACCACCAAAAATGTGCATTATGTGGGCCTTTTCTCTAAAATCCGGGGCCACAGAGGTCTTGTAAGTAAGTGCTTTTAAAATTTTAAATCAGTTCTTACCATTAAATGTTCATAAATCAGTAGGAAATGTGTGCTTTCATTATATTAAGGGTAAACTTAAATCCAGAATCTAACCGTTATTGTTCTTGTGGGTCCTTTCCTGCAGCTTCTGAGAGTGTAAGACTATGTTTGCCTCTCAGAAAGACTCTTCTTTTCCAGCTAATGTGTGCGGTGCTTTGCACTCGAGCACCTTGGAGCAAGGCGCTCCGGTCCTTCGTGGCTCTGCTCCATTTGCCTTTGCTCCCAGCTCAGCTTCCACAGTCCTCAGTGCTTCTAAGTCCAGGAGACAATGACTAAGTCTGTGGTGAGTCAATGTTTATTATTATTATTATTTTTTTCCAATGATTACTTTCCTCAGCTCTCTTTATGTTGCACTTTATGAAGTTTTATAAATTAAAATGAAAAATAGAAATAGGATAAGTCCCCTTTCACGGGTCTTTCCATAAGAACATAAAGGTATGTAGAGCCTGCAGGCCATCGACCTTACAGGCATCCAGGGTGAGCACCTATTGTCTCCGGTCTGTGCGAAACCAGGGCCCGAAGACAGACGCACTGGATACCTGAACAGAATGGGCTGCTGAGGGCTGCGCGCTTCATTCTCAGGCACACAGTGGGAGACAGTGTCTCTCTGACTACGCACATCCCTGGACAGTGTCTCATTACCAATCTGGAAACCAGCCTTGGATGGTGGCAATGGTTCCCTCATGCCACTGCCCAGCAAGGTGAGGTTTCTGTGGAGATGCTGGAGTGTGTGGTCCTGTACCTCCCGACTTGACGCAGGGAGCAAACTTGGGACATTTGAGGACTATGTGCTTAGCGGGCCTGTACGTGCAGGTTGCATGGCAGACTGTTCAAGGCTGGAGTTTCTGGCAGGGTTTCTGCTGCTGTTTTGCTCTTTGACCATCTCAGTCTAGTCCTCTTTTGTTTCTTGTGAAGCTCACAATGCCCTCGGTTAGTCTGATCAGTGACTGTTCTCTACCGTTTCAGTGCAGTGTCCTGCCATGTATGAAACTGTAGTCGTGATCCTCTCCTGGAAATTCTTGTATGTTAGCTTCTGTCACAGTCTGTTGTGATTTTTTCTGTTTCCCTGAATTCTTGTTGCTTCTGCTTATCCTGCTCATCCTGGTGTCCAAACCCAGGCCCGTTCTTAGCGCTGTGCAGGTCTTCCTAACCAAGTCGGCCCTTGGGTTTGCAGTCCCAGCTGGGACCTCCTCCCTACCCTTTCCATCAGCGTCCCAACACTCTGATTGCTTCTCTTAGTGTCCAAGGGCCACCTGGAGCTCAGGAAGTCCAAAATAAAACCCACATTCTTGTGTCTGTCCTTACATACAGTATCACTTCCTTCCAGCCAGTGATTCAGGCCTCAACATGGGCATTTCTCCTGGACTCCTGTCTCTCAGGAGTAATCTTAAGTAATAAAAATCCTACCGCTTTTATCTTTCAGTTCTTTAGTTAATATTATCAGATATTTTGTTTGGTGCTGAAAGAAACACAGTAACTTTTTCCCATGAGAATTGTCATTTTCGGCAAACCTGAAGGATGTGTTTGCTCAGTGATTGGGCTCTGTGCCAGCTGAAGGAGCCCAGCGGGCAGGGGGATGGGGGGCACATGCAGGAGTCGGTGAGACATGTTTGCACAAAAACAGGAACCTCACGTTGGCATCCAGTAGTCACAGATTTGTATCACTCTTGGGTTTTCTTTTATAAATTCACGTGTGTGATTTTAGCTGTAGTTTTGAGTACTATGTGATTGTGTGTTCATCTCAGAAAATGCTCTGTTACAATCTCAAACTTTTTTTTTTTAAAAGATTCATTTTTCCTTTAAACAATAGCTGGGGTATAGGCCAGAGGCGTGGCGGGGGTTGGGGGGAGCAGAACAGGCAGATGGACTGAAATGCACTGCTGAGGGGAGCAGCGGGGAGATAGGAGAGGTCTCCTGTGCCACTTGGATCAGCTCCCTGCCTGGGACTTGACCTCATGCTGCAGTGGCTGGCTATAGCTTCATAGTGCTGAGACTTAACCTCTTTGCCACCAGGGAAGCATTTACCATGTTAAGGAAAATCTCCTGAACACTTTTCTGTGTTATTAAAAATTATAGGGTATTTTTATAGATGCCACTCTTTAAGTGGATGGTCATAGGATTTTTTTTTCCACAGATAAAGTAATGTGATGTCATATAGTAATCAATTTATTGCTGAGATTTCCTTCTTCCTGACATCATTTTATAAAAGTTCTTCTTTTTTTTTTTAAGATTTATTTATTTATGCATACAAGAGCTGGGACACAGGCCAGAGATGAGGGTGGGAGGGGGGTGAGAGGATTCACCAGAGACAGAGTGGGGAACAGAGCAGACAGAACGACTGTAATACACTGCTCAGGGGAGCAGCGAGGGAGACAAAAGAGGTCTGCTGCGACATGTGGGTTCTCTCTGGCTGACCAGGGATTGAACTTGTGCTGTAGAGGTTGCGGATTGCTTCAGAGTGCGGTATTTAACCCCTTGCGCCACCAGGGAGGCCAAAAGTTCTTCATTGTTAATGGTATATTTCTCACACAAAAGAATGAACTCCCAGACTGTTTTCTGATCCAGGCTGATGATTTGAATGAAGGATAAATGTGTCATTTTAGGGGATGGTGACCTTTGAGGACGTGGCCGTGAGCTTCACCTGGGAGGAGTGGCAGGACCTGGACAGCGTTCAGAGGACCCTCTACAGGGATGTGATGCTGGAGACCTACGGGAGCCTGGTGTCCCTGGGTGAGCCAAACTCCATAGTAACTGGTCACTGTAGACACTCTTTTCGATGGTTATATGAAATACCTGTTATTTAGGTTTGAGATTCCAGGTCAGAAAAGAATGTGGACATTTACCTCTCTAATCAAAGATCCAAACTAGCCGTTTATTGCATAACCTGTAAAGATAAGCTCTTACTCTTCACAGTCCCTGAAACTTAACAGTTTGACCAAAGACCTGTTCATTCTCATCACTAGGGCACTGCATTCCTAAGCCCGAGGTGATTGCCAGGTTGGAGGAAGGAGCAGAGCCGTGGTCTGTGGAAGGACCCCCAAAGCAGAGGCTGTCAGGTCAGTCAGTGCCTATGGGGCAGGGGAGCTGGGAAGAGGGGGGCCCAGAGGTGTAGATGGTGGTCGTATTGTGCTGTTTTTCCCATTGATTTTCTCCAAGTCCAGGCACAACCCAGGCTGCCTGTGTCAGACTGACGCATTAAGTCCCCAACATGGCTCTTCCTAGTCAACCTCCCCCTCTTTTTTTTAGCCGCTGTATGTATTTTCTTATTCTCATCCAGCATTTAATTCCTGAATGCATAGTCTGGACACTTTTTCTTGCTTGCTTACTTTCTCTAGATTCTCTCTGTCCCCTCCATTTCTCTATGCCTAGACTATTGATTTTTTTCCTCCATCATTTAATCACACATTTGGCTATTCTGTCAACATGCTAACTAGGAAGATGGCTTGGTCACTGGTCTTTTTTGTAGTTGTGAGATAAAGTAGTAAAAGAAAGGCAGTCTTACAGACGTTGTATTCTATTGATGGGGGAAAAATAAAACATACATGTTAAATAGTGAAATGAAGAGCCACAAAGAATGAGTAACCAGGATGAGAGAAAGAAATGAAGGGTATCTTTTAGGAAAGGTGCTGAGAAAGCATATTTATGGAGATTATGAAGTGTTTTTATTTGCTAAAACTTCGGCTTGAGGTGCTTGTTTTGCACTCTGGCGTGTGTACAACTGAGAGCTCCACTGTTAGAGGTGCAGCCAGGAAGTGGTGGCTCACGCTGGCAGCATCAGAGGGGCTTGCCTGGGAGCTCGCTGAGGTGCTGGCCCCGGGACACAGCATGAGACACTTGCCTCTCAGGGGGATCCACAGGAAGGGGTAGTCGTTGGGGGCAGCAGGAGCTAGATGGTTAGGATCCTGGGGCAGGGGGTCAGAGTTCAGGGTCTGGCGCCTCAGTCTTTGGGAGTGGAGGGTCACATTAGTATCCTCTCTTTCTGTTGTGAGAATGAGTGAAAAACTAGGAAACCCACAAACTAAAGAATGAGGAACATGTATCTGACTCTTGTTTCAGGTTACATAGGAGACATCTGAACTCAAAAATACAGGATAAAAGTTTCATAAACAATGAATTATCAAGTATGAATATGTGTACCAAGAAGCGGGTGAGGACACTGGGGTCTGTCTCAGGAATCTGGAAAGAGGCTTTGTAAAGATGGTGGGCACAGCCCGAGTCTCACAGCTGAACCTCTCAGGGGAGCAGTGAAGGGCTGCAAACATGAGAGCCTGTTATGTTCTGAGAAGCCCACGATGTCATGTTTAATTAGGAATTTGTAAAATACTGTTGTTGTATGGCATGGGGTTGGTGATGATGCCTTTGGAAAAATCCCCCAGTGCCTATAATCATGCTCCGCTGAGGGGTAAAAACTATAAGCTAGGGCCTCCCCAGTGGCGCAGTGGTTGAGCGCTGGGTTGCGAAGCTGCCTGCAGCCTCTGCAGCGCCGGTTCGATCCCCGGCTGCCGGGTGAAGGTCCCACATGGCGCGCAGACCTCTCCTGCCGCCCGCTGCTCCCCTCAGCAGTGTACTTCGTTACTCTGCCTGTTCTGCTCCCTGCTCTGGCTCTGGTGAATTCTCTCACCCTCCTGTGCCTCTGATTGTACCCAGTGTTTGTATAAATAAATAAATAAATCTTTAAAAAGCAAAAGCAGGGCCTCCCTGGTGGCGCAGCAGTTGAGTGCTGGGTTGCGAAGTTGCCCGCGGCCTCTGTGGCGCTGGTTTGATCCCCAGTTGCTCCCCGGCCACCGGAGGAGGGTCCCACATGGCGCGCAGACCTCTCCTGCCGCCCGCTGCTCCCCTCAGCAGTGTACTTCGGTCCTTCTGTCTGTTCTGCTCCGCGCTCTGGCTCTGGTGAATTCTCTCACCCTCCCGCGCTTCTGACTGTACCAAGTGCATGTATAAACAAAACAAACAAACAAATAAAAAATAAAACATGCCTCTATTTAAAAAAAATAAATAAAAAGCAAAAACAAAAAAACTATAAGCTAGATACAGGGATCCTTGCTCCCCTGATCTCCTTATCCTCCTGACCTTTTTGTCCCCCTGACCTCCTTGTCCTCTGGGCCTCCTTAGATTATAGAAATGGACCTCCCGTCACCCAGTAAGTAGCTGCTCAAAGCAAGTCATGCCATATTCATAGCTTCAGTGATTAAAAAAAAAGGTGGGAGCACCAGAACAAGGTACAGTTAATATAACAGGGGGAATAGAGACCATAAAAGGGAAAGCATATAGTGGGAGTGAATCTCTCTGCTAAGCACTGCAATTTGAGTGTGTTTGAACATATTGACAGATACTTGCTCATGATCAAATAAGTAAAAATGTAGCAAAAAGAAATTATTTGATATTAGGCTGTATTACTATGACATTAATTTATCAAGGAGTAAAATCATATATCATAAAATCAGTACCCATTACTGATTATTTAAAATCTTACGGTACTAAATGGAAGGAAATTTGTTTATATTTACATCAGTATCTCAAAGGAAATGGTTAGATGTGCTTCACATATATGGTCATTTTTTTTTTTTATCTTACATTAGATGTCCACACTCTGGATGACCAGACTGAGGCCAGCCAGGACGATCAGGGCAGACACTTGTGGGAAGTTGTCACCAACAGCAAGACATCAAGTAAGGGGAACACTGACTTAGGACAAACATTTAATTTGAGCACAGTTCATATTCCAGACCTGATTATAAATAATGGAAATTGCTCAGGAATGATGCCTGGGGATTTTAACGTACATGAAGACATGTTTCTCCCTGGTGAGCCTGAAGAGAGTCCGGAGAGCCGTAATCCACCTGGGAAACCGCTCAGACGCCCTAAGCATCCTGGGCTCCATCAGGTGATTCGACCTTTTCAGCAGCCTTTTGAGGTTAGTGGACAAGGGAAAGCCCTCAACAAGGAGGAGCTACTCTTTACACATGGGAGGGCTCTCATGGGAGAGACTGCCTGTGAATACGACGACTCTGGGAGAACATGTGAAGAGTCAACTCTCGTTGCCCAAGATATAACCCACCTGGGGGAGACTCAGTGCAGGTGTAACACATGGGAGAAGACCTTTTTTGAGAAACCAACACAGTTGAATCTCTGTAGAATTTTTGAGGGTAAATGTCCTAAATGTAGCCAACATGGGGATTATTTCAATAAGAAATTGCACCTCACTGAGCTTCGGGGCACTAGGTTAGGTAAGGAAAATGCTGAATGTGACATATGTGGTAAAACGTTCTATGAGATGTCTAGTCTTAGTAAACATCAGAAAATACACACAGGTGAGAAAGAGTATAACTGTCAGAACGCCTTTGAGAACTCAACCCTCAAGGGACACGAGGAAACTCTTGCAGAAGAGAGACCCTATGAATGTAAAGATTGTAGGAAAACTTTCAACTACAAGTCAGCCCTCACTAGACATCAGAGAAGTCACACAGGAGAGAAACCCTATGAGTGTAAAGATTGTAGGAAAACATTCTCCCAGAAGTCAAACCTCACTGCACACCAGCGAACTCACACAGGCGAGAAACCTTATGAATGTAAAGATTGTAGAAAAACATTCTCCCAGAAGTCAGGCCTCACTGCTCACCAGAGAATTCACACAGGCGAGAAACCCTATGAATGTAAAGAGTGTAGGAAGTCTTTCTCCTGGAAGTCAGACCTCACTAAGCATGAGAGAATTCACACAGGTGAGAAACTCTATGAATGTAAAGAATGTAGGAAAACGTTCTACATGAAGTCAACTCTGACTAAACATCAGAGCACTCACACAGGAGAGAAGCCCTATGAATGCAAATTGTGTACAAAAACCTTCTCTTGGCTGTCAGCTCTCACAGAACATCAAAGAAGTCACACAGGAGAGAAACCCTATGAATGTAAAGAGTGTAGGAAAACTTTCTCCCGGAAGGCAAATCTCATTGTACATCAGAGAAGTCACAGCGGACAGAAACCCTACGCATGTAAGGTGTGCAGGAAAACGTTCTGCTACAAGTCATACCTCAGCAAACATCAGCGAACTCACACAGGAGAGAAACCGTATGAATGTAAGTTATGTTCGAAAACCTTCTCCTGGATGTCAGCTCTTCGTCTGCATCAGATAACCCACACAGGAAAGAAACCATTTGAATGTAAAGAATGTAGGAAGTTGTTCTCCCGAAAGTCATTACTCACCGTCCATCACAGAACTCACACAGGCGAGAGACCCTATGAGTGTAAAGAATGTGGAAAAACTTTCTCCTGGAAGTCAACTCTCACTGTACATCAGAGAACTCACACAGGAGAGAAGCCCTATGAATGTAAAGAGTGTAGGAAGGCTTTCTCCTTGAAGTCCGCCCTCACTATCCATCAGAGAGGTCACACGGGAGAGAAGCCTTATGAATGTAAAGACTGTAGGAAAACGTTCTTCTATAAGTCCTCCCTCTCTAAACACCAGAGAACCCACACAGGAGAGAAAGCCTATCAACATAAAAAATGTAGGATAAGCTTCAAGTAAGACATCAGTGAGAGAAACCGCACAGGGCTGTAGATCTTTATCATAGAGATTTGCCATTGTTTATAGAAACTCATTTTTCTGTTGAACATCCTGCATTTCGCAGCTTCCCTTAACTACGTGTGACCTTGTACTTGAACTCTGGCCGGGAAAATATGTACACAGGTGAACAGGACCACTTTTAAGCCAGGCCTCAGACAACCACCAAAGTCTGCAGGCATGTCCTGTGACCCTGGAGTGCAAGGGACTCCCTGGTTTGCCTTGGAAGCCACAGGACGAAGGCATCATGACTTAAGACAGTTGGGGTTGTGGGGTGATAGCAATGTCTTCCAACATTATAGCAAATGTTTCCATTTCTGCTTCTCCTGAGAGAGAAATAAATACTTGCTTTGTTGAGCGCTTGCATATGTCATCTCTGCAGCACTGGCGACCACAGTCACTGTCTAGGTGTGGGGCCGCCCTCCATGAGACACTGCAGGCCAGGCGCAGGAAGCCAGCCTGGGAGATACCAGGCGGTGGTGTCTTTCATCCCGTGATTTTTTTTTTTTTAATGTACTTGCTAATGGTACATGGGTCCAGCTTTTATGTTTTCTTGGAAAATTCTTTTTTTTTTTTAAGATTTATTTATGCATACAAGAGCCGGGGCACCGGCCAGAGGTGTGGGGGGTGAGAGGATCCACCAGAGACAGAGATGGGAGCAGAACAGGCAGACCGACCAAAATACACTGCTGAGGGGAGCACCGTGCGAGATAGGAGAGGTCTGCCGCACCATGTGGGTTGCTCCCTGGCTAGGGATCGAACTCGTATTGCAGAGGCCACAGACTGCTTCATAGTGCGGTGCTCAACCCCTTGTGCCACCAGGGAGGCCCTCATCCCTTGATTTTATGGGAGAATCAGTCAATAGGAAAAAACAGTTCAACAAAAGGAAAACGCTTTTGCTGGATGGAGAGAGCTCTTTTAAAGACGAAGAGTAAATTAAAACCTGACATTTTGAAGATGGCAATGTTTTAAACAATTCTAAACAGCTTTTTAGTTTCTCACCAGAATCTGTAATGTGGCTTAGGTAATGTGAATGAAAAGTTTCACCTAGAAATGGTAACATGGTGACCGATGTGAACAGATTCATCAACAGGGAAGGGAATTAGGGGGCTGTGAAGTGTAACTTGCCTGTAGACACTCTGAAATCCAGCAGACCACACCAGTGCTTGGGATCGGGTGAGGTGGTTCTGGGAATGTCTTCCAGCGTGCTCCATTCTGCACCCATTGTTGCCTTCCCTTTTCCTCAAACTTAGCCTGATTCTGTAACTGACCAGTTAACTTCAATTCAACTTCTTGCCCCGAGGAGACTTCATTTCAGTGTTTTTAAACCTTTTATTGTAAAAGGATTTAACTCATTTAAAAATTACTTTGAATTTCTGCTAGGTTGGGTTAGAATCGATTCTACTTGGTGGACGCCACGCCCCCAGATCTGAACAGAATCCACCTTATCTGTGATTAAGAGTAAAATGGGGACACGGTGTCTGTGAGACTTCGGTGTCCAACAGTACCCTTTGTCAGGCTGTATTTTGCTGGTAGTTGGGGTCCTGAATTTGATCTTCACCTAATCTTGTTTATTTATACATATAAACACTGGATACAGTCAGAAGCGTGGGAGGGTGAGAGAATTCAGAGTCAGAGGGGAGAGCAGAGCAGGCAGACTGATGAAGTACACTGCTGAGGGGAGCAGTGGGCTGCAGGGGAGGTTTGCATGCCATGTGGGACCCTCATCCGGTGGCCAGGGATCAAACTGGCACTGCAGAGGCTTTCACAGCCCAGTGCTCAACCGTTGTGCCACCAGGGTGGCCCTTCACCTAATCTTTACCTAAGTCATTTTCATACTTTAAGATTCTGACTTGAGCAGCTTAGGAGCAAGTTTTAAGTTTTCCAACCTGGGTGGTTTTTACCTACTTTCTGTTTTGCCTTAGTCATTCATTTTTTTTTTTTTAAAGATTTATTTATTTATACAAGAACTGGGATACAGGCCAGAGGTGTGGGAGGGTGAGAGAATTCACCAGAGACAGAGCGGGGAGCAGAACAGGCAGACAAACTGAAAACACTGTTGAGGGGAGCAGCGGGTTAGACAGGAGAGGTCTGCTGTGCCATGTGGGTAGCTCCCTGGCTGGTTGGGAATTGAACCTGCACTGCAGAGGCTGCGGACAGCCTCACAGCTCTATGTTTAATCCACTCTGCCACTGGGAGGTAGAATTGTGTTTTTTAACTAATTCCCTTGACACATACCTTATGGTGTGACTCAGGAGTTTCGTTATGTCTAGACAAGAGACCACCATGGTTTGCTCTGCTGTGTGGTGCCCTTTTCTTGCTGATATGGTTTTTGACTTTGTCAGTTGAAGACCTGGAGGGTGATTTCAAGGCTCAGCAGAAAGAACTTCATTTGTCAGTGTCTGTGTGAAGGGGACATGGAGACAGGCAAAGCCAGAGGGCCCTTGTCCGTACTGCTGACCCTTGTTCTCAGTGGTGACTGGCACCTTCTGGCATGTTGCTTGGGCTGTAGCGAGTGGCAGCAACTGTCACATGTCCCTGAGCCATAGTCCTCCACCTAACATTGTTGGGGGCAGGGGGAGAGCATACCCATTTTCCTAAGACAGCCAAGCCTCTCTCAAGTCAATTCCAGTTTTCCTGGGACCTCCTCGTGTTCTTGCCCTCAGCTATTGGGGGAGAAACCTCTCCCTGACCTCACAATTGTGCCTTATGCTTTTCAATCTCAACCATCCTAGTTCATTCTTTATGTTAAAATTTCCTAGCTCAGATGCCTAGTGTGGATTCTGTGTCTTATATACACCCTCACTGACGAGTGGGTAAAAGATAGATGGTACTTTCCAACTCCACGTGGACATTTACTGGCCAAATTCAACAGTCTAGTCAGCAATTGCCAAAATTCTCACCTGTGCGAAACTCGGGGTGTCATTTTCTTTAACCTCCCATTTTCTAGCCGTCCTTTACACTCCCATTGAAGATGTCCTCTGTCTTCCCCTGACACCTGGTCCCAAAACCATCCACGTCTAGATTTGCTAAGGTAACACCTCACTGTTAGGTACCAAACATCTTCAAATTGACTTGCTGTGAAATAAGCCATCTACAATATTGAGTAGCTTATCAAAATGATTTATTTCGCCTCAAAGCTCTGTGGGCGGAGGGGGTTCAGGTGGCCTGCTCTTGCCCTGTCTCCACGCAGCTCTGTTCAGCTGTTGCGCCAGAAGGCCCTTCCCAGAGCATCCCTGAGGGTTCAGCAGACCCTTCCTTGCCTTCCTGCCCTCCAGCCCCTCTTGCTGGTTCGGTTTCAGCAGGAACCTGAACACTGCCAGCTCTTCGGAGCTGACTGGGGCAGGAGTGGGGGAAGAAAAGGAGTGATGGGGCGTGAAGGGGCGCGGAGAGACAGGCTGGGGAGCGGACTCCTGAGCCACCCTCCCCTGCATGGTTGGGGGAGGGGTCCTTGCCAACTGTGCTCTTCGCGTCCGGTCCGCAGCTGCTCCTGCTGCTGGGCAGCGGCCTCCAGAGCCCCTCTAGCAGGGGCCGCAGGGGCAATCAGCCCAGGAGCTCCTCTCGCCCACTTCTCCCCAGAGCTGCCTCCTCGCCCGGAGGACGTGCGTCCCTCGCCCCGAGCGCCGTCAACCCCCGCCCATGGCTGCCGCGTCTCGAGCGCCGCGAGGAGGGAAGGCGTCCACGAAGCCTGCCTCGTTTCCCAGTCAAAGGCCCCTGCCCGCCCCGCCGCCCGCGGGGAGATGCCTGTCTGCGTTCAGGCTCCTGGAGGGGCCACCGCCCACTCCCCCACTCCTCCCCCTCACCCCCTCCCCTTCCCCTTCTCCCCTCCCCTCCCCCTTCCCCCCTCCCCTCCCCCCTCCCCTCCCCCTTCCCCCCCTCCCCTCCCCCTTCCCCCCCTCACGTCGGGGCTCCAGCCCGCGCGGCGGGTCGCCGGGAACGAACGCCGCGTTCTCTGGCGCCGGGCGCGAGCGCAGAGGCTCATGGGAAATGGAGTCCGCGCGGACCTCCGCGTTCTCCGCGCCGCGCGCGACCGCCCCTCTCCCGCCATCCTCCGGGGGCGTTGCCGGTCGCGGGGTCGCGGGGTCGAGGCCCGTGAGCTGCGGTGAGTGGGGGCGGCCGGGAGGGGCGAGGTGTGTGAGGCGCTCGCGTGCACGTGCGAGGGGGAGGCGGAGCCCGGACTCGGCACGGGGTGGGGGGGCGCGAGCGGCAGCCGGGGTGTCGGGGTGCTGGAGGCGGGTGCGGGCCGCGGGGGCCGTGGGGGCGCGGGCGGCGCTGGCTGCGCGGTCGGTGCCCGCCTCCGCAGGACGTGGCGCCGTGGGCCGCGAGGTGCAGCTCTGGGGCCCCCCCTGCGGGGAGGCACCTGGGCGGGGACCAGCCCGTGTGACCCCAGCTCTGGCATCCGCAACCCGGGCGCGGTGCCGGCCGAGAGCCCCGACGCCAGGAGGAACCGGGCTCCCCGTCGTGGCCTCGTCTTGCAGGGAGGCAGCCTCACTCGTGGGGTTTGCTGGAGGGACTGATGCGTCCGAGAGTCGGGGCCCCCCTGCACCGGGTAGCTCCCCCCGCAGTCATTCGCGACCCTTTCCAGGGGCCGAGCTTTAGGGGCCTGTGGGGTCTGGAGGGTGTTCCTTTCCCTTGGCTTCGGGGTAGCTGTCAGGGAGCCTGAAGGGCGCGGCCCTGGGTCGGGAGCCCTCCCCGGGCACAAGCCAGTGTCCTGACCTGTGACCCGCCGTTCAGAGCTGCAGCAGAAGGGTCCAGAAAGGAGCCTTCGTTGAAGGCCGGGCCCTTGAGTGCTCTGCTTTGTGTCACGGGAGAGAACCCTTCAGAGCTTTAGGAGAGCAGGGAAAACGGTGCTGAAGATGGCAGGCGGCCCCGAGGACTCATTCCCTAGGGGTCCTAGGGTACTGCCCACCACTTGCAGATCTTTAGTAAGGGCGGACCGTTGGTAAAGACAGAACCACCAGGGTGATGTCCAGTCGTGTATTCTCGTTTATGATTGGTGACTAAGCTTCTAAGCAGAACACTTGGTTGGCGTTTGTTTCCAGGGAGCCTGTCAGAAGTATTAAAAGGGACTCAAACATTTAAATAAGGTTATTATGAAGTAAAGGTGATTATCCAGGTAACCAAAGGAATTATTATAGATTTTAAAAGTCGTGTGTATAAAAGTTTCACATAGGTTTTAAGCATTGCTTGGCTTTATGTTGATGAAACTGCATTTTCTTAATTAAACGTGATGATAAAGATAACGTGAAATGGAAAATTTTGCTTCCCGTGTAGATTATTAAAAGATTATTAAGGGACTCCCCTGGTGGCACAGCGGTTGAGCGCTGGACTGCAAAGCTGCCCACAGCCTCTGCAGTGGAGGTTCCATCCCTGGCTGCCGTTGGAGGGTCCCACATGGCGCGCAGACCTCTCCTGCAGCACCTGCTGCTCCCCTCAGCAGTGTACTTCAGCCCTTCTGCCTGCTCTGCTCCCGGCTCTGGCTCTGGTGAATTCTCTCACCCTCCCGCAATTCTGACTGTACCCAGTGCTTGTATAAATTTAAAAAAAAAAAAAAGCAAACTTAAAATAAAAGATTATTAAAATGTGAAGAAAAATAGATATATATTTTATTACATGTTAGATTGTTTCTGTTAAAAAGGGACTGTTTTCTTAACTGGGAGAAAGCCAACATAAAGAAATCTATTTTAGTTTGACTATACGTAAAATTAGTTTTGAAGAACTTATTGAGAAACCTCAAATCTAAATCTGACGATTTCCTTCCCAGGATGTAAGAGAGAAGATTGAATATCCTGTTGTTGGCCTTGCAAAGCCCGGCTATCTGTGACTCTTTGGCTTCAGCTCTAAAGAGCTGATCACCGGGTACAGGACACTGGGTTTGTCCCCAGGGAGGATTCCCACACAGGCCAGCAGCCTGTAGGTTTCCTAAGAGCTTCCTTGCCTAAAAAGACACAAATTGACATGTCAGGAAACGTAATACCTGGCCTTCTGATCTGCAAACAGGATTATGTGGTTTACCTTAGTACAAACTCACCGAGTCCATCTACATGACATTCCTTTTGCTTTTCAAAGTTTCTACATGTAGCTGTGAAATTATCTTACTATAAATTCAAGACTTCCCTGTAATTTGTTACAAATACTGTGTTTATGGGGTTAGCCTCGCACTTGCTGTATAAACAACCAGAATTCAGTGACTTTCTAAAAGTAAAACACGTGGACCTGTTTCTTTTTTTCTAAATATTCTGCAATTCAGCATTGTGCTTTTTATTTATTTATTTTTTTCTTTGGTTCAAACTTTTGGGCTACTTTAGTTTGAAAAACTTTGTGTTTCTGTACTGCAAATTTGGCTGTGGTCTTCTGGTGCCTTGAGTGACGCTGTTTGGTTTTATCCAACCTCACTTTTTCAGGGGGTTGTTCTGACCTATACCTGAGCCATTGGGCGGCACCCACCCAAGAGGGGCCCCCCAGGAGTCTTAACAAGAAGCCAGTGTGCCGGGAAGTCACGGTTCTGTGATTGACACTGTCGGCCTGTGAACTGGCCATGCCCTGGTCAAGTTGGATGGTACTTCACCCTGAAATGAATCCAGGCAGCAAGTCTTTGGAAGATTTACTGGATAGTGCAGCCCCATGAATGCACGTAGGGTGCGACTTTTCTATAAAGTCAAGGGGGAAATATAGTTTGTTGTAGTAAAGATCTTTAAATTTTAAATTGTTAGCCTCAAGTGGTTGTAATGGAGTTGGAAATATGTTCTCTCGTTCCTTAGGGGTAAATGGGCATGTAAGTTCTGTCCACGCACTGTTAGGCCCTTCTTGCCCCTTCCAGAAGGGCATAGACTGTTGTCCACAGAAGGTGCTGGTTTATTGTCATTTCTAGCAAGTGTGTACAACGTTTTGGTGGGAGACTCTGAGGAACACTAGTCTGCTGGAGACTCCACTCACTCCATTCTTCTCTCCCAGCTCTGCTTCCGGAGTTTTCCACGTGTTCCCAAGAAGATCAGAAAATGAATGAATCTCTGGTGAGTAACTTCTTTTTCTCAGCTTGTTTCGTATGGAGCTTTACGAGGGCTTATAAGCTGAAATGAGCAAAAGAAAATGGAAAATGTGCACTTCATGAAATCAACATACTCAGGATGAAGGAAACCCATGGACACAGGCAGGATGAGGACGTATGTTTCTCGTCTAAGTGATCAGTAAGGTTTTTCATGCTGGAATTAGGTCACATATATAAATGAAGCTTCACTTTATATACTGATCTCCTTACTGCTCAGAATCACACACTGCACATGGGGCTCTCATCAATTTCATGATATTGAAAACTGTGCTTCATGTTATCACATCTTTTTTTTTTTTAAATTTACTTTTTTTAAAAAAAGATTTATTTATTTATGCATATAAGAACTGGGGTACAGACCAGATATACAGGGGTGAGAGGACTCACCACAGACAGAGTGGGGAACAGAACAGGCAAACTGACTGAAATCTGCTGCTGATGGGAGCAATAGGGAGACAGGAGAGGTCTGCTGCATTATATGGGTAGCTCCCTGGCCAGGGATCGAACTTACGCTGCAGAGGCTGCGGATAACTTCATAGTGCTGACGCTTAGCCCCTTGCACCACTGGGGAGGCCTTATGTCATCACATCTTCATTTCTGCTACAGCCTCATCTCTATGACAGCAGGTGGTCCACATGTTCTTCAGGCAAGTGCCAATGGATGGCGCAGCGGGGTATTTTGTGGTCACTTCACGGTAGTCTGCAGTGAGCATGTTTTTGACAAATCCTCAAGAACATTATTCTAGGTACTTTTGTACGTCTCCAAGTCAGATTATGAAGACACTTGAGGAGCTGAATTAAACTCTTTTGTTCTTAGAATGAAGTTCATTTCCAGATTTATAAGACAAACTGTTTAATAATTTTTGGGGAACTAGTAAGTTAATATACAGGAAGTTTCTGCTGTGATGTCTGTATGTGCCACAGTGTACAGAGCACAATAAATCCTATATAAGAAAAGACACACAAAAGTGATCTAAGGTATTCAAACTCAGGATGCTACCTTGAGTGAGGAGATGGTGCCATTACAGGGGATGGTGACCTTTGAGGATGTGGCCGTGAGCTTCACCTGGGAGGAGTGGCAGGACCTGGATGATGCTTAGAGGACCCTCTACAGGGACGTAATGCTGGAGACCTACAGGAGTCTGGCGACCCTGGGTGAGAAAAGCTTCCCAGTCACCACCCAGTGCAAGCTTTGTTTTCTTCATTGATACATGTACAGTTTTTTATAATTAAGTAGGAATTTCAGATTTCAGGCTAACTAGAATGATTATTCAGCTCTCTAACAAATATGTGAAATTAGCCCTTCACTGGCCAAAAGCTAAAACTCTGCTGTTGTCACTCTTCAAAGCTTTGATACTTAACGATATATTTCTCATCAACAGGGTGCTGCGTGACCACACCTGAGGTGATCGTCAGGCTGGAGCAAGGAGCAGAGCTGTACACTGTAGGAGCACCCCCACGCCCGAGCCTCTCAGGTCAGTCACTGTGGACCAGTGACAGGCTCAGCCTGTCCCCAAGTTCAGGGTTAGGAGAGCTAGTCTGCATGTATCAGATGTATTTGTTATCCAGTATACAGTTATAGCTCTCCCACGTCCATTCCCACAATTTTTATTTAATTTTTACTTTTTTTTTTAAAAAAGATTTATTTATTTTTGCATACAAGAGCTGGGGTGAAGGCCAGAGGTGTGTAGGGGGTCAGAGGATTCACCAGAGAAAGAATGGGGAGCAGAACAGGCAAATTGACTGAAATATACTCCTAAGGGGAGCAGCGGGGAGACAGGAGAGGTCTGCTGCACCATGTGGGTTGTTCCCTGGCCAGGGACTGCACTTGTGCTGCAGTGGCTGCCAATAGCTTGATAGTGCTGAGACTTAATCCCTTGTGCCACTAGGGAGCCCCCCTCCCCCACTCTTTTTTATTAAATGGTAAGTTTCCTTAGACTTAACCAAAATCCAATACCTATTGCCTGCTTTTGGAGCTTTATCTTGCGCTGTCACTTTCCTGGCATCTTAATTTCCTTATTCTCTTCTTCCATCTTTATGGACTCGTTTTCTCTTTCGGGCGTTTATTCCTCAGTTGTTTGTTCTTTCAATGTGTTCATTGGGTGACTTTAAAAGCAGATATATTTTGTAGTTGTTGGGATAACAATAATAATCAAAGAAAACCCTTTGTTCTCTGCAGCTCCTTCTCTGTTTAGAGAGAAAAAATAAATGTATGTGTTAAAGAGTGAATTAAGGATTACAAAGGAGGGCCTCCCTGGCTGCGCAAGGGATTAAGCAGGGATTAAGCGTCAGTACAATGAAGCTGTTGGTAGCCACTGCAGCACTAATTCCATCCCAAGCCAGGGAGGTGACCCACATGGTGCAGCAGATATTTCCTGTCCCACCAGCTGCTCCCCTCAGCAGTGTATTTCAGTCACTCTACCTGTTCTGTTCCCCACTCTGTCTCTGTTGAATCCTCTTACACACTCACCCCCCGCACCTTTGGCCTGTACCCCAGTTCTTGTATGCATAAATAAATAAAATCTTTAAAAAATAAATGAGTAAAGAGGTTCATGAACAGACCTCGGGATCCACATTAGAAGCCGTGCACCTGGGGTGGTCCTGGCACACTGTTCAGTATGGAAAGGGGCGGCTGTGACATGGGGAAGGAAAGGCACGGTGCGGGCGCAGTCAGGACAGCTGGATGTTTCCAATCTCAGACTTTGGGAGTGGAGCTGCAGGTTAGTATTTCCACTTTCTCTTGTGGAAATTACTTTTTAATAGAAAGTGAGAAATGTGTGGACTTTAGTTTCAGTGTAAGTAGGCAATAGTCGAATATCTAAAATCCAAACCAACATCTTCAGATGTACTGAATTATCAATCGGGACATTGTTACCACGAGGTGGAGTGTATATACCAGCACTGCTGATGGCAGGTTGGTGTGGAAAAGCTTTTTTAAAAGATGGTGGGCACAGCCTGTGCTGTAGAACCCAAATCCTTTAGGCCTCAGGGAAGGGTGGCACAGATAAACCACAAGTTCCTCTCTGCTAGGTTCTGAGAAACCAGGGACACAGTATTTAGGAATTTGCAAAAAGCTGTCTCTGCTGTGCCTTGAGGAAACCCCACAGTACTTGTAATCTTTCCCTTGGGAGAAGTAAAAATTAAATAGAGGAGTAAAACTATTTCTACTTAAACAGACAGGTGGCCCTCCACCAAAGCCATTAAGTAGCTGGTGCAAAAAAAAATCTTGTCATCTTCAAAGCCTAATCACAAAATACTCAGTTATTAAAAGAACAATGCAGAGAAATAGAACTAGGTTAACAGATGATTGGTGTAAAATCTGTAGCCAATATCTGCAACTAGAGAGTAGGTAACAATATTGACCAAATATTTCAAGAATTTTTTTTTTTTGCTTCTGTATTTTGTGTAACCTTGATTTGCTATTAGGTAATATTTTCATGTAACTTGTATTAATTGAGGTAATCGTACTTTTCTGCATGACATGTAACCAGTGCCAGTTATTTATTTTTGCTAAAATCTTATATTTCTATTGTAAGAAGTAAGTTCTTCATCTTTACAGTAACATTCCACAGGAAATGTTTAGTTATTGTTTAAGATGTGGTTATTTTACTCTCATTATAGATGTCCAGATTATGAATGACTTGATTGCAGTTTACCAGGAAAATCAGGGCAAACATTTATGGAAAATTGTGGTCACCAACAGCAGGACATTGCCAAATGAAAGAATCAACTTCGGAAACCCATTCAATTTAAACTCAAACCATATTTCAGAACGCTTTATAAATAATCAAAATTATTCAGAAAGGATTGCAGAAGACATTAATGGTGGGTATAAGACTGTATTTCCGGGCCTCCCCGGTGGCGCAGTGGTTGAGTGCTGGGTTGTGAAGCTGCCCAAGGCCTCTGCAGTGCCGGCTTGATTCCCTGCTGCTCCCCGACCACTGGAGGAGGGTCCCGCATGGCGTGCAGACCTCTCCTGCCGCCCGCTGCTCCCCTCAGCAGTGTACTTCAGTTCTTCTGCCTGCTCTGCTCCCCGCTCTGGCTCTGGTGAATTCTCCCACCCTCCCGTGCTTCTGACTGTACCCAGTGCTTGTATAAATAAATAAATAAACAAATCTTTAAAAAAAAAAAAAAGTATTTCCCCTTGGTGAGCCTGGTGAGGAGCCCAATGGAGACACAGCAGGTTACTGTCACCTCTGTGGGCAACTGGCCCACTGTCCTGAGCATCGTAATGGGCAACAGATGATTCAGCCATTTCAGCAGCCTCCTGAACTCTGTGGGCAAGAGAAAGCCTTGAACAAGGGGTCAGTAGTCTTTGCACATAAGACAGCTGTTGTGGGAGAAACTCCCTCTAAATATAATGAGTGTGGAAGGGCCTGTGAGAAGCCGGCTGTGGGCAGTGAAAGAGCTCACAAAGGAGAGACACACTTTGGATATAATAGATGGTGGGAAATCGTGATTGAGAAGGCCGCACAATTAATATTTCATGGAGATCTCCAGGATGAACACCGTAAACCTAATCAAAGTGGGGATATTTTCAGGAAGAAATTGCACATCACTCGGAATCTGTCCACTAAATTAGGAGAGGAAAACAATGAAGATACTAAATGTGGTAAAACTTTCTACAAAATGTCTGTCCTCACTAAACATCAGAGCATAGAAATAGGGAAGAACACTGAGTGTTTGAAAACTTGTGAGAATTCAACACTTAGGAGTCATTGGAGAACTTTCTCTGAAATGAAACCCTATCAATGTAACGAATGTAGGAAATCTTTCTACCAAAAGGCAAACCTCGCCAAACATCAGCGAATTCACACTGGAGAGAAGCCCTATGAATGTGAAAAATGTAGGAAAACTTTCTACAACATATCAGCCCTCTCTAAACATCACAGAACCCATACAGGAGAGAAACCCTATGAATGTAACGAATGTGGGAAATCTTTCTCTCAGAAATCACACCTCATTATACATCAGAGAACTCACACAGGAGAGAAACCCTATGAATGTAAAGAGTGTAGGAAATCATTCTACCAGAAGGCACACCTCACGACACATCAGAGAACACACATAGGAGAAAAACACTATGAATGTAAAGAATGTAGGAAATCTTTCTACCAAAAGGCGAACCTCAATAAACATCAAAGAATACACACAGGAGAGAAACCGTATGAATGTGAAGAATGTAGAAAAGCTTTCTCTCAGAAGTCACACCTCACTATACATCAGAGGTCTCACACAAGAGAGAAATCATATGAATGTGCAGAATGTAAGAAAACTTTCTATCAAAAGTCTGACCTCACTAAACATCAAAGAACACACACAGGGGAGAAACCCTATGAATGTAAGGAATGTAAGAAAACTTTCTACCGGAAGTCAAACCTCACGGAACATCAGAGAACTCACACAGGAGAGAAACCGTATGAATGTAAAGAGTGTACGAAATCTTTCTACCAGAAGTCAGACCTGACTAAATACCAGAAGATTCACACAGAAGAGAAACCCTACATATGTAAAGAATGTAAGAAATCTTTCTACCAGGTGTCAGCTCTTATTGGCCATCATAGAATTCACGCAGGAGAGAAACCCTATGAATGTGAAAAATGTGGGAAAACTCTTACGGAAGTCAAATCTCTCTGAACATCAGAGAATTCTTCACTTTACATAAGTGAGAAATACTTACTATTATAAAGAATGGAGGACATCTTTCTCCCAGAAGCCACACCTCACCTTTGATCAAATAATTCACACAGGAGAAAATCCTTATGAATGTTAAGATTGTAGCAAATCATTATAGCAGAAGTCATAGGTAACTGTGCACTAGAGAACTAACAAAGAAGAGAAGCCCCATTCATTTGAAGATTGTTAGAAAACTACCATAATCAATCTCATTGTACTTCAGTGAAATCATCCTGGAGGGAAATCCTATGAATGTAAAGTGAGAAGTAGGAGTACTTTCTCACTGATATCAGCTGTCTTTACACATAAGAGACCTCACGAAGGATGCAATGCTGTATGGCACAGTCTGATTACATAGTAACAACCCCCTCTTTTTTTGTGGCTACACACATGTGATTCTTCTCCATGTATAGGGCACTGTAATCTAGATCTGGCCAGCAGAATATGGACACAAGCAATGAACATTACTTATAAGCCAGGTCATAAAAAACCTTAATTCCCCTCAGAATTTTCCCTTCCTGTGGTCCTTTGGTGCTAATGACCTTGTGGGTCTCCCTTGGAGTCCATAGGGTGAAGAAGACACCGTATTAAGGACCATAGCGATTGTTGGGTAGCGCAGAAACTTCTGTGCTTTATCCGTAAGTCTCAATATAGACTTTGCCTAGTAGAAATAAATATGTGTTGTCTTAAGCTCTTATGTGTGTGATCTGTGTACAACAGGATTTATCCTGTGGCCAACTTGCACTTCAGTGAAAACATCGTGAAGGGAAATCCTTTGAATGTAAAGAGAATGTAAAGTTTCCGTGTGGGACAGCCTCCTATGGGAATTTGAACAGGAAAGAAAATATGTTTTGTCAAGTTATTTGATGGAAAAATAAAAAATACAGGAAGAAACAGTGTAATAAAGTGTAATACCTTTGCCGGGGGGAGACAGCTCATTGGATACTGAGTGTTAAGTAAAATATTACAAATAGCAGTGTGCCCAACTGTTAACAAAACTTCCAACTTCATCAGCATTTCTAATGATATTTAGGTAATTTGGATAAAAAATCTCAAATACGTATGTAGACTGTTTTGAAGAAATACTTTCTAAAGTTACTTCACTACGGGCCTCCCTGGTGGCACAAGGGGTTAAGCACTGCACTGTGAAGCTGTCCGCAGCCTCTGCAGCACGAGTTCAATTCCTGGCCGGCCAGAGAGCAACCCACATGGTGAAGCAGACCTTGCCTGTCTCGCCCGCTGCTCCCCTCAGCAGTGTATTTCAGTCAGTCTGCCTGTTCTGTTCCCCACTCTCGGGTGAATCCTCTCATCCCCCACAGTCTCTGCTCTATACCCCAGCTCTTGTATGCATAAATAAATACATTAAAAAAAATTACTTCACTACAACCCAGTGGTTCTGGGGAATATTTTGTCCCCGAAAGGAAATTCTGAAGTGCTACTCCTGGTGCTGTCAGAGTTCAACTTTCCCTTTTTCTATTGCTCAAAACATTGCAGGTTTCCATTAAAATTCTATGGTGTGTAGAAATAGTCTTGCTTTGGATGGAAGTTTTCAAGTGGCACGTCCCAGAGTGTGTGGGGTGGGTACAGTAATGTGGCCCCCTTTGGAAGATGTGGAATGACACGGTCCACCTCTGGCCCTAGAGTTTGCAGCACTTACCCGTGCAAGTCAAACTACCAGCTCTGTGTGCACTGTCCAGAGGTGCTGGCTGTGGTCCTATTCCCTGCCAGCGCCCTAGCCTGGCTGTAACCCTGTTCCCTTGGGTGAGGTTGATGGGGTAGATACAGATGCTGAAAGCAACTGGACACAAGTTTTGTTTTTGCAGTTTTGTGGGAAGAAACGGCACGCCTACAGGGCTGCTCAGTGAAAGACAAGGCAGAGGGGCGCTCAGCAGGCAGGGCCAGGCAGGACAGACCAACTTACTGCCACTGTGAGGAATCTTGTAGGACTCCAGGGCACAGACAGCTCCTTTAGTGTGTGTGTGTTTTAAAGATTTATTTGTTTATACAAGAACTGGAATGCAGGTCAGAGGCGCGGGAGGGTGAGAGAATTCACCAGAGAGAGCGTGGAGCAGAACAGGCAGACAGACCAAAGACACTGCTGAGGGGAGCAGCCGGCGAGACAGGAGAGGTCTGCTGTGCCATTTGGGTTGCTCCCTGGCCGGCCAGGAATCGAAACCGCGCTGCAAAGGCTGCAGACAGCTTCACAACGCAGTGCTCAACCAGCTGTGCCACCTGGGAGGCCCTGTGTTTGTTTTTTTGTGGACTGGCCCTGGGGTGGGTGTACATTGGGATGGAGTAGGAAGTCCATGGGGTGACTCCAGGTCTGTCTGCAAAGGGGACATTTGAGCTGAGTAAAGACTTGAGGTTATAGGAACCTGTTATCTGGGGAAACAGCCTGGGGAAGGCCCTGATGTGGGTGTCCTGAGGGTGTTTGGGGAAGTTCCCCCACAGATGGGAGGGGGTGGCTGGTAGGACCTGAGGTCAGAAAGGGGGCGGTTGCTTGGCCACAGAAAGGATGTCCACTGTCAGGAATACTGGGTCAGGGAGTCGGGGCATTGGGGAGCTGGGTGCCCTTGCACCATCACATGAACCCAGTTCCCTCTGCAGGGCTCCCCATCACCCTCAGGGACATTTCACAAGTTTCTTCAGGTAAACCTAGAGGGTCCCTGGCAGAGCCTTGCCTTCCCCGCAGCAGGCTGGTGAGTGGATGCGGGACAGCTTTTGGGAGACCCATGCAGGGCTTCAGGCGCTGCTGCCACAGTGCTCAGCACCCCTGTGGGTAGCATCTCCGCAGCCTGTCCCAGATCTAGGCTCATCTCACCCGCCACCTCGAGGATCGCAGTGCTCCCCGTCTCCTGCTCAGCGATGGAGTCACCCCATCATCTCCACACCCCCAGCACAGCGCCACCCCCCAACGGCGCATTTAATACCTTAGCGGGTCACCTCCCTCTCCAGCTGTGGGCACTCCTGGGGGTGACTGCTCTCTGGCCGGGCCAGCCCCCCTCACCTGACCCACCTCCCTGTCTCCCCTGCAGCACACGCGTCCTCAGGCTCGGACCTGCCGATCCACACGTGGGACGCTCTTCCAGGGGCTTCAGCACCTGCCACAGCCTGCAGTGTCCCCGATCAAGCCGTGCAGTGACAGTGCGCGTTAAAGATGAGGTGCGAGGACCCGTCCCCCCTCCCCAGGATTCCGGCTCAGGGGTGTCCCCAGGCGGGGACCGGGGTGAATGAGCAGGGCGCAGGCTGTGGGCCCTGGGGAGCAGGCCTGCGCCCCCCCCACTCTGTAGGGCCAGATGGGGCGCCCATACCCACCATAGCAGCGGAGTTTGTGGGCCCGAGAAAACCACTTTGGGTCTCCACAGGGGCGCGCAGGTTACAGGGTCAGTCAGAGTGACCTGCGTTTCCAGACCCTTCCACGCCCCGGGCGGGCGCAGGTGCGGGCGCCGCTGACGCTGAGGACGCGCGTGAGGGGCGGCCCCATGGAGGCCGGGAACCCGGCCCCGCGCGCCGCCGCGGGAGGAGGAGGCGCAGCCGCAGGTGGGGTCGCACGCGGTCGGGGCCGCCGCCCTTTCCTTACCGCGGACGCTCGCAGCCCCCCCGTGCGCGTCTGTCCACGCGACCCCCGCGGACGCCGCGCCCGCGCCCCTCTGCCCGTCCTCCCCGTCCAGGCCCCTCGGGCGGGGCGTCCGCTCTGAGCCCCGACGGGCAGGGACCGAACGCGCCCCCGCGGGAGCCCCCGTGGGCCGTGTCGCCCCAAGTTGCGCGTCTGGGGGTGGGCCGGGAAGTCGGGGGAGCGGGAGGACGGGGAGCCTCGGGTCGGGCCAGAGGCGGGGTCCGGGCCGGGGACACGCGGGGTGGAGTGGGGGGCCCGGCGGCCGCGGCGGAGCCCGGGGTGGAGCCGCGCGGGCCGCGCCCTCGGGCCGGGCTGCTCTGCGCGTCGCGCGGGCCCGGCTGCTCCCCGCGCCCGAGTCCCCGGCGCCGCCGCCCGCGCCGAGCCCCGGCCTGGGCCCCGACGCCCGCGGCGCCCGGGATGCTGAGTCTCCCCGCCCTGCTCGGCGCCCCCGGAGCCGGCGCCCGCGGCTCTCCGGGGCCCACGCGGGCCGCGCCCGCCCAGGTAGGCCCTGACGCGTCCGACCCGGGCTTCTGCTCCCCCGCGGCGCCGCGGGAGCCGTCCCTGGAAATTCAGTGACACGAAATCCCCTCCCGCGGCGGGTCTTCCCGCCCCTCCCGGGTTTCCCGTCAGGACTCACCGGGAGCGCAGTGAAGGGTCTTAGAAGGCGCAAACGATGTTTCGTGAATTTGTTTTCCTTGCCCTGGTAACGTCTCCTGCTGCTTTATGTTCACTTTCTCGTCAGGCCTCCCTCGGCCTCCTCAGGGGGTTTGCTTTGGTTGGTACCTGCGGCCTGTCTTGTTCTCCGGGGCGGCGTCTCCTCAGCATGTTGCTCGCAGTCACAAGGGCAGACCCACTTTTTCTGGCCCGGAGGAGGAAGAGCTACCCAGTCATTTTGATTTTGATTTTTTTTTTAAAGTCTGGAGGAAGGGGTCGCACGTGTTGTAACTTTAGATTAATGATAAGCAGGAGGGTCTTAACTTAGACGTTGCCAAGAATAAACAGTGGTTAAAAAAAAAAAAAGGCACAAACGTCCTAAATGTCCTGCAGGGGCGCCCAGGAAAGGGCTGGGATGATAACATCTGTCCCTTCTCTGATGTTCTCTCCTCTCCTGGGTTGCAAAGGTAGAAACCCCCAGAGTCAAGCTCCCTTCTCTGCTCAGCGGGGCTGCCCGTCTCAGCCTGAACCCGGCACCCTTGGGAGCAGCGGACAGAGCGAGGGGTGTGCCAGGAGAGACAGCAGCCGCACCCCAGGTAGGTGGGATGAAGGAACTGGGGCTGGGGAGGGTCCAGGTGTGGGCGGAGCCAGACCCGAACTAGTGGGTTGGGGTTCTGCTTCAGGAAATGAAGGGGGGCCTGGGTTGGCCTTTCTGGCTGTCGGGGTGCTCTCCCGTCCCACTCTTGGCATGGTCCTCAGCCCCAGTGGAGACTCCACCCTGATCCAGTATCCTATCACCACAGTGAGAGCCCCAGGCCCCCAGGGCCTGTGAGGGTCCCCAGGATCTGCCTGCTCTTCCATTTGCTTGGGTGGATGGAAACACACGCACACACAGACACACACACACACACACCCACTCCTGGGTGGAACCCACAGTATGAGTTTGCTCTCCTTTGGGTACCTTTGCCTCCTGGAGTCACCCACAAATTCTGCCCCATAAATGGGATGTGTGATAGATGGACCCTCCGGGGTAAAGCTCGTTAAGAGCTGACTTGTCCATGGAGGCCTCCCATGTCCAGACCCCCAACTCAGTTCTCAGCACAGACTGGGGGCCTCAGAGCAATCTCCTCAGTTCATGGAGAACAACCCAGGCCCCCACATGCCGGATGATGGCTGCTCATAGAATGTGGGTATGATGGCCCCCAAAACTAGGCGGGTGGCCTGGGATGGGGGGGCAGGTGGGCTGGGATGGGGGGAGGGTGGGTCTGCTGGGTTGGGGGAGGAGAGGGTGTGTGGTCTGGGATGGGGGGAGAGCAGGTCAGTGGTTCTGAGGGAGCTCGGATCGGTTGTTCCTGTGCATTTGTGCATTTTGTTCATTTCCAATGTGGATTGTGGGGGCACACCCCAGACAGGGTGCGTGGGGTGCTTGCCAGGGTCACTTTAGCCACAGAGAAGGTGACTCACCAGATTATGGGCTCCCTGTCCTGAGTCAGAGCTCCATGCAGTCAGAAATGCAGCTCTGGGCACTGGGGAGTCTGGGGAGCTCTGGCCTCTAGTCTGTTTTGGGGGTGGGGGGGAAGGTGCGGATTCGGGTCTTGGTGTCAGAGGTCATGGATGTGCCTGCATGTGAATTCTGGGGCCATTGAGCTCTGTGCTCCCCGGTGTTAGACGTGAGCTCTGGAACAGACCTGGTGGCCTCCAGATCCCTCGTGGGGGTGGGCCTGGCGGGTGCCCCATGCATCTGGGGCGGCT